ACATATAGAATGTACTACCCTGCGTGCAGAGTCTAGTTAAACTACACTCTGCCTAGTAGAGACCATATTACAGTTTAGTAGCCCCGCCCCCACGACAGGTACTGGTAACAGTTTGGGTAATAAATCACTTTTTGCCAAATGCGTTCTAATTAAATATGAGCATGTCATTGGTCAATTCCGGGCTCAACGATGACGTCAGAAGGAATGACCATATATACTTGTAGAACGTCGGTCAAATTTGGCCGACGAACACTGATTGGCGCGGTGAGTTCACAGGTTTATTTTAGTTTGAAAGAGTAAAGACGAAACTCTCTTTTAAGAAGTGAAGTCAAACGAATGCAAAGGGTAAGAATGTAGCATAACAGGCCAAAATCTCATGGCTTCTGGATCTCTTAGTAGCCTTCCTAATTGTCTTCGTTCCTAATTGCATTGTCAAATAAATAAGAAAGCTAGGACTAGGACTTGTAATTGTTATTCAATAGATGGACAGAGGCGCTAACAAAGTTTAATCATTTCTTGTAATTACCTGAAGAAAATTCTATGCCATGAGTGGCTGAAAGGGAAAAATTAATTTGCAAGAAATTAGTACTATTAGTACTTAATGCAGTGAGCTGTAAAGGGCATGGCAGGCATTGTTGAGGGATAGATAATTTTATGTACATTTCACTCTTTTTTCTATCATTTTAGCCAGCTTTTGCAAGAGGGGGGGGGGGTATTTCCAATGTTTTTAAACATCCATGTAGGTTTACATTCAATCAGATTGCGGATGATCTTCAACAGTGACCATGCTTTCCTCTTTACAATACTAAACTACCTATATATTCTTTATGCAGATATAACACCTTGCCCATGCAATGCAGAGTCCATGTATGTCTCTGAAAGTGTCCTCTTACTTATTCTTGTAAGAAAATCAAATCTAATGGTATTCCTTAATGTATCCGTTAATGTGACACTCTGCATCAGCCACATTAACCTAATCTGACAATTTGATTTTTGGTGTGTCTCATAACATGTAATGTCAATTGGCCCATTCTGTCCTACAATGCTATTGTGATTTGTTGTGATGTTATAGTGAGCACATATAAACATTTGTTTAGCAACAAATAACGACTAACAATACCAAACTTTTTTAGAAAAAATGCATAATTTCCGCATGCTTTAAAATAATTAAAATAACAAGTTATTTTGATATTTATATGTTATAATTAAATTGACCTGCCTACCCTTAATACAGGTTACCATGGCAGCCTTATCTCAATGATAATTTAAGATATAGCTATAATATTTTAGCATTGTATGTGTAATTACATAGTCTACATTTTCTGAAAAAATGAGAGGGATATGTGAAAAAATCACAAAATGAGAGCATTTTTATCAGAATATATGGATCGCCCCTTGTAGAACGTCGGTCAAATTTGGCCGACGAACACTGATTGGCGCGGTGAGTTCACAGGTTTATTTTAGTTTGAAAGAGTAAAGACGAAACTCTCTTTTAAGAAGTGAAGTCAAACGAATGCAAAGGGTAAGAATGTAGCATAACAGGCCAAAATCTCATGGCTTCTGGATCTCTTAGTAGCCTTCCTAATTGTCTTCGTTCCTAATTGCATTGTCAAATAAATAAGAAAGCTAGGACTAGGACTTGTAATTGTTATTCAATAGATGGACAGAGGCGCTAACAAAGTTTAATCATTTCTTGTAATTACCTGAAGAAAATTCTATGCCATGAGTGGCTGAAAGGGAAAAATTAATTTGCAAGAAATTAGTACTATTAGTACTTAATGCAGTGAGCTGTAAAGGGCATGGCAGGCATTGTTGAGGGATAGATAATTTTATGTACATTTCACTCTTTTTTCTATCATTTTAGCCAGCTTTTGCAAGAGGGGGGGGGGGGTATTTCCAATGTTTTTAAACATCCATGTAGGTTTACATTCAATCAGATTGCGGATGATCTTCAACAGTGACCATGCTTTCCTCTTTACAATACTAAACTACCTATATATTCTTTATGCAGATATAACACCTTGCCCATGCAATGCAGAGTCCATGTATGTCTCTGAAAGTGTCCTCTTACTTATTCTTGTAAGAAAATCAAATCTAATGGTATTCCTTAATGTATCCGTTAATGTGACACTCTGCATCAGCCACATTAACCTAATCTGACAATTTGATTTTTGGTGTGTCTCATAACATGTAATTTCAATTGGCCCATTCTGTCCTACAATGCTATTGTGATTTGTTGTGATGTTATAGTGAGCACATATAAACATTTGTTTAGCAACAAATAACGACTAACAATACCAAACTTTTTTAGAAAAAATGCATAATTTCCGCATGCTTTAAAATAATTAAAATAACAAGTTATTTTGATATTTATATGTTATAATTAAATTGACCTGCCTACCCTTAATACAGGTTACCATGGCAGCCTTATCTCAATGATAATTTAAGATATAGCTATAATATTTTAGCATTGTATGTGTAATTACATAGTCTACATTTTCTGAAAAAATGAGCGGGATATGTGAAAAAATCACAAAATGAGAGCATTTTTATCAGAATATATGGATCGCCCCTTGTAGAACGTCGGTCAAATTTGGCCGACGAACACTGATTGGCGCGGTGAGTTCACAGGTTTATTTTAGTTTGAAAGAGTAAAGACGAAACTCTCTTTTAAGAAGTGAAGTCAAACGAATGCAAAGGGTAAGAATGTAGCATAACAGGCCAAAATCTCATGGCTTCTGGATCTCTTAGTAGCCTTCCTAATTGTCTTCGTTCCTAATTGCATTGTCAAATAAATAAGAAAGCTAGGACTAGGACTTGTAATTGTTATTCAATAGATGGACAGAGGCGCTAACAAAGTTTAATCATTTCTTGTAATTACCTGAAGAAAATTCTATGCCATGAGTGGCTGAAAGGGAAAAATTAATTTGCAAGAAATTAGTACTATTAGTACTTAATGCAGTGAGCTGTAAAGGGCATGGCAGGCATTGTTGAGGGATAGATAATTTTATGTACATTTCACTCTTTTTTCTATCATTTTAGCCAGCTTTTGCAAGAGGGGGGGGGGGTATTTCCAATGTTTTTAAACATCCATGTAGGTTTACATTTGACCATTTTGGCTTACAATCACTTGAAAAGTGCTCAGAATGGTGAAAATCTGCAAGATTTGATAGATTTTTTGGCCACAGGGAGGATGGGTTCACTTGCACCCCCTGAACACCCCTGGCTACAGGCCTGAAGCTTTATTCATTATATCTCTTGCATGCAGAATAGAATTACAATAATAAAGCTTTGGGTTTTAACTTTACTTTGAAAGACATGACACTTACACTGGCTGTTATTTGAATGTGTCAGACCAAATCTCTATAGGCCAATCAAGTAGTCTGTCTAACACATCTAACAGTTTCTTTAATTCCCTGTCCACTACTTGGTTCCTTCTTTGGCAAGAAAAAAAGACTTTAGAATTGCACTACATCATATTCCCTCAGAGCAACCACAATATTTTAAATAATTAGAAGTTAATTGTTTTAAAAGTCATAGCAGGTATGTAAATACAGTATATGTAAGTGTAAAGTACTGAATGTATTGATAAGGAGAATTTTTTTTTTGGAAGATGATAATCCAAGAGGAGCAGCCAGGCATGTGAAATCCAGTACATGGCTTGTGGGAATAACATTTATGATGCCCATCGAGAATGTTTTATTTCAATAAAATGACATTATCGCAGAATGGCCTGCAAGTTTTACATCTGTAAATCAACCTAAAGCAGGAAATGGATTTTATTATCTCTGGTTATTGTTTCTATAAAAGTCAATGTGACATTTTGACGTATAATCTCTGATCCGTTAAATTAGATGCTAAAGAGAAAAGTGTCTCCTTTTTTGTTTTACGACGTTGATAAATATGAATTGCTAATTATGAGAAGATTAGTAGCAGAGTGTGTCATGTTGCATTTTAAGTAGAATAACAATGTTTTATGACTAAGAGGGGGTGTTCAGTGTGGGAAGAAAAAGTAAATCTATGAAGAGGGGTTACAAAACTCATAGAAATAGTTGTTTTTTCTATTACAAGAAATTATAATATAAACAATACATTTATGAAACAAGATCCCTTAACATTGTCCTCTTAATATCGTCTTCTTGAATCTGACCCTAATAGTGGGGAAATTGGAAATCCTTTGTTGGGATAAAAAGAAAAAAGATTGATTTATACCCCCTCATGTTTAATTATTGGAGAAAAACAAAGACTTACCATAAGTATTGACACTCGAACTGGTAAGGGTTGTGAAATTGAGAACAAGGAACTGAAAAATTTCTCATCATGAATTGTCCAACTCCTCATAAGTTCAACTTTTGGAAATCCAAGATGACGAAAACAGAAAAATGTTTATTTGATAAAATGAGTTTACGCCAACTGTATAATACTGACATTGATACTAATGCCCAAACGTAATTTAATAGAGAGAGACAAATTTTCAAGAAATGAAAATTAATAGCAAACAAATTAGATCTTGATTTGAATGGGGTTTAAAAGCTTTATCATTCATTCAAATAACTTCATTTTGAAGCTAGATTGATATATTTGTTGCTTCAATCTGGAACCGTATCCCCCATGGGCAATGAATATCTGCAGAGCTCACCCAGCCAGCCATTCCCTAATTAATCGTTTAGCCTAAGAAATGACACAGAATTTAGATGAGAGAAATCAATTAGGGGCCTGTAATGACTTCCCAGATACTCAAAGGGAATTAATAATCTTTCAAGAGATGCCATCATGACATGTTGTTCCTCAGATAAGAAAACAAAAAAACGAAGTTTGCATTTTAGATGGTTTTTGGCAGTGTCGTTCTTTTGGATCTCAATTGTGTGAATTAAAAGTTATGCCCTACATGTACATGTATTTATTTATTTATTTATTTTGACATATGCCTTTTTAACAGCAGCACACTGTGGTAGCGGCACATTGTACATAATGTTATAATAGATTTGTTATTGTTGTAGGCTGTCAAGAACCAAACGGTGGTTAAGATGACTGTGGTGTCATGTCCCCCAGTGGTTGAGGTGCTCATCAAACGACCAGATGTCAAATATCAACTGGGCTTTAGTGTGCAGAATGGAGTGGTAAGTAAACTGTTCATTGATAGGGTTCGCACAGGATAGGGTAAGCGTTGGATAGGGTTTGGGCACATCATAAGGTTCTTAAGTCATCATTTAAAAGTGGTGATATTGTAATAGCCACCGTATTTATAATCACTCATTTTTGTCCTAGCGAACACCTCTCTCTTTTGAACATCTGTGTCTCCTGAACACCTCTTCTCCACTGAATTCTGTATAAGATTGCTTCTCTGTAGTGAACACCTATAGCGAACACATCTTTGTGGCTCCATAAGTGTTCACTGTACACAGGTTTTACTGTAAATGGTTTGTTAAACAAATGACCGAAATTGAATTTCATTCCTGTTATTATGGCATTTTATATTGTATATGCTAAAAATCAGCAAGCCTCTAATTGAAAATAACTGACACCGGACCTTACTTTGAATTTTCTTAATAAACCATTTAGCCTAGTTTTTGCAGAAGACTGACTTTACTTGACATAACTATCTGATTTTTAAATTGCTATTATTCAAAAGATTAGGAAATGTAATATCCGACTATTCAAGCATTTAATTGAAAACCCCCAATCACAGAGATATAAAAGACATACATAAGAGCTTTGTTTGTTCAAAGTACATCCGAATTTCAATATCACCATGGTTTTGTTTAAAAACACAAAATACGTGAAAAGTGTGGATTCAGTGGGGAATGAAGTAGCATGTAGTATAACTTGAAATTGTGAAATGTCAAGAATTGATGTATTCTGGGAAGATTTTTTGCTAGATTAGATGGTATATGCATATCTGCAACTGGAATGTCATTAAAGACAAAGACGCTAGAATAACTTACGAAGATTTACAAGGCTGTTTACTTAAACTATCAATGAAATATTGGAGATTTGTGCAAGTTGGCATGATAATAGAGTAAAATATACAAAAGGAAAAATTTAGGAATTACAATTAGGCATTACAGAGATTAACTGAATCGGGTAATTTTTAAATAATCCACTGTTGTTATGATATAGCTGTTTTAGAGCCAATGTAATTTGCCAGTTAAACGCCAATCAGGTTGGTCACTTAGTTACCCTCTGCTTGGCACAGGATTTGCCAGACGGGAGGGTCATTTTCCATGGATATTGTCATTTTTTCGTTCATCCACTTTAATTTTAAAAATGTACTAATCTACTGGGGTCTTAATCAGGAATGAGGCCATTAAGATGTACATTGCTTTCCCTGAATTTATTGTGAAATGTTATACACCTTTTTATCATTCTAAAAAATCCCATGACAGCAATTAAATGGATTAAAGTTAGTTCTAAGTAAGAAACAATGGCATTTTGTGCTTAAACCTCAGGCCCGTAGCCAAGGGGGGGGGGGGGGGTTATGGGTTCAAGCGAACTCCCCCTGGCCAAGACATCTTTCAAAATCATGCAGTTTTGCACCATTCTGACACCCCCCAAAAAATGTTTTTGGAAATTTTTATTTTTTTTGAAAAAAATGTTTTTTTTCTTATTTTTTTCCATTGACTCATACACTTTGAAAGTGCCCAGAAAGCACCAAATAACATCTTAAAATTGTAAAATTTTCTAAGGGGAGTGGACTAACCCTCACACCCCCACAAAACAATTGAAAAGTTCTGAATTTATTTTATGTATTGTCTCAGACACTTTTAAAGTGCCCAGACATCATCAAATAGCTCCTTGATATAGTCAATGTTTCTGGGGGACTAACACTTGCTCCCCTTCTGGCATCCTCACCCCATCTCCCCCTCGCGCCCCCCCCCCCCCCCTTGGACCCCCCCAAAAAAGAAAATTAAAAAAAAAATTATTGTTTTTTATCATTTTTATTGACTCGTACATTTTGAAAGTGTCCAGAAAGCACCAAATAGCATCTTAAAATTGTTAAATTTTCTAGAGGGAGTGGGCCACCCCTCACACCCCCAAAAAACAATTGAAAAGTTCTGAATTTATTTTATGTAATGTCTCAGACACTTTTAAAGTGCCCAGCCATCATCAAATAGCTACTTGATCTAGTCAATGTTTCTGGGGGACCAACACTTGCTCCCCCTCTTTCATCCTCACCCCATCTCCCCCTCTGTCATCTTCACCCCACCTCCCCCTCGGGCACCCCCCCCCCCCTTGGACACCCCCCCCCCAAAAAAAAAAAAAAATAGAAAAAAATATGATTTTATCTTTTTTATTGACTCATACACTTTAAAAGTGCCCAGAAATCACCAAATAGCATCTTAAATTGTAAAATTTTCTATGGAAGTAGGCCATCCCTCACATCCCCACAAAACAATTGACAAAAATTATGAATTTATTTCATGTATTGTCTCATGATACATTTTAGGTGCCCAGACTTCACCAAATAACACCTTTATATGGTCAATGTTTCTGGGGACAGATATGGGGGACAAACACTTGCTCCCCCTCTGGCACCCCAACCCTACCTCCCCCTACCCCATCCCTACCTCCCTCTTTGGCACCCTTTGACACCCCTAAAATTTGACAAAATTGTGATTTTTGTTCATTTTTTATTGACTCATTCACTTAAAAAGTGCCCAGAAAGCACCAAATATCATCTTAAAATTGTAAAATTTTCCCCCACAAAACAAGTGAAAAATATGAATTTCATGTATTATCTCAGAGTCACTTTTAAAATGCCCAGACATCATCAAATAGCACCTTGAAATGGTAAATGTTTCTGAGGGAAAATATCTTGCTCCCCCTCTGTCTTCCCCACCCCACCTCACCCTTTTATCCTCTTTGACACCCCCCCCCCAAAAAAAAATTGAAACATGTTTTACTCATACACTTTGAAAGTGCACAGAAAGCATCAAATAGCATCTCAAAAGTGTAAAATTTTCTAGGGGGAGGGGGGAACTCCTCACACTGCCCCCACAAAACAATTGTATCCCAAAAACTAAAGCATTCATTTACTCAAACACATTATAAGTGCTCAGAATTAACCAGACAGCATCTTGAATTAATAAAATTTTCCTGTGCTGCTCACTCGCTCCTCTTAGAAGAAAATGATTAAAAAATCAGAATTTCTTTAAATTGATTCTATTGCCTTCTAGCACACCAATGTTTCTCCAAATTGCTCATACAGTATTTAGTCTAAAAACAATATGAAAACAATAAAATACTACAAAATAGGCTGAGTGGCCTTAATATAGAGAGTAACTGACGCCCCCCCCCCCCCCCTCTGACTTATGCGATTTGATTTACGCGGAAAAAATGACAATTTTTCTCTTTATTAAAAACTGCACCCCCCTTGGAGAAAAGTGTCTTACGGGCCTGTATGTCACTCCATTTCTCTCTAAAATTTGAATGACGAGTCTGATTTTTTAGAATTTGGAGAATTGACTCTATGCATGTTTGCTTTATTTCTTGCTTATTCCACTCCTCTTCACCAAACAATGGATTCTAAAATATGACCTTAATGACAATTTTCTCATGGTATGTGTCAAATCAGTAAATTATATATATTTGACATCTTTTAACGATCCCTATGAGTATTATATCTTTCTCTTCTCTGCATTTCTTTATGTCGGCCACGTCTGAATCTATTAAGTTTATAATCATCAGGCTGATTGCTAGAGATAAAATTCCATAATTTTTCCAATTTGCCAGACGTTAAAGGATTTTGTTATGACATTTCCAAGTATTTGCTTCCATCAATATGCAATACCCAATGTTAATTCCTAATGTTAATTAGTACTGCCAATGAAATAAAAATACATTAATGGTGAAATCATTGCTCAAAGTGCTATTGTCTCAAGGGTAGCTCACTGTTGTTTTTACCAAGATAAGCTATCAATTTTTAAGCCTATTTAAATGTAGATTTCAGATATGACATCAATTTATTCTGATTGCTTAAGCATGAAAATCCCATTTGTTTCTACTGTTACCTGGGAATATCCCAGATGCGAGTAGAAATAATCTTGATTTATGTCATTAAAAATTCACAATTCAGTGAAACTGATGTCATATTTGAAATCTACACGTAAAATTACATTTAGAAATGTGGTTTTGAAAAGAGTTAATCAACTTTGAAAATTTAATTTTCTTTGAAAATGTGACTTCTAGGTCGGGGAGATTCCCCAGCCCATGTTGTAAAACCACAAAAAGTGAAATATCTTTTCTTGTTTTGGGCAGATAATATTTTCTTTTACTGGACATATTTTAATTTGTATAACTATCAGATACATAAAGATAATATGAAAAGTGAACCATTCAAACTGATGCATATTCAAGTTTAAGGGAATTTTGTAATACCCTGCCATGTTAATTCCCCCGAATCAGCCACCTGGTGGCAAAACTGGTAACTACCTACTCGCATCTGAGTAATTGATCAATTTTATCCAATTTTACGCAATCACTCTTTGTTTTATATGTTGTATGATTGGTAGATGTACATTGTCATTTATATGTTCCCTCTATATTATAGATATGCAGTTTACTACGAGGGGGTATAGCTGAGAGAGGGGGCGTGAGGGTAGGGCATAGGATCATTGAAATTAATGGCAACAGTGTTGTTGCAGTGCTTTATATGTTGTATGATTGGTAGATGTACATTGTCATTTATATATTCCTTCTATGTTATAGATATGCAGTTTACTACGAGGGGGTATAGCTGAGAGAGGGGGCGTGAGGGTAGGGCATAGGATCATTGAAATTAATGGCAACAGTGTTGTAGCAGTGCCTCATGAGAAAATTGTCAACATGCTAGCTTCATCCGTTGGAGAGGTGAGTAAAAAACATTGTTATAAACCAGGATGTGTTCCTTGAATTACCTACAATAGATATTAACCATGAATTTTGGAATCTTCAGTTAATTTAGGGAGAGCACTCAGTTGTTTGACATGAAATAGTCAGTGAAGACAATGAAATCACCCCATTGAATCTACAGAAATTTTCACGAGTGAATCTTCAGGGTTTGATGAATGCTAATAGGCACATTATCTTCCCTCTTTTATTTGAATTGCTCTCTGTAGGCCATATTAATACTTTCAAAGGTATAAAGGCATGAAACAAATCCAGAAATCCCATGCTTAGTTTTAGTTCTGGATTATGAAATTTATGCTTTCCAAATACATTTACAAATTGTACCCAGTTTAGATATAGAGGGAATTCATTAGAAGGTTTAGTTACACGCTTGAGGGGCCATATGATTGATGATGTAAAATTAGTTTGTGTTGGAAGCCCTGGATGTGTTTGATTCGTTACTGATCAGTAATCTTTGTATGGTGTCTCCTCTTTATCAATTTTACTCCCTTATAAGGAATCAGTTCTATCGCCAATGAAGAGTCTTAAGGGGCTTGCTTTTAATATCACCATTATATACTGATCCAGATTGTAGATTTTTAGTGAAAATTGGCAAGGTTTTGATTTTATGAAAAATTCATTCATTTTTGGCAAATGTACCAATATTCTATTTTAAAATCAATGGAAAATCAGATCAGTCAGGGATCAGTCAGGAAATATCTCAGAATTTCATTTTTGAAAATTCCTTCACATTTGGCCTATTTGCTTACACTTGAAGGGTATGTTTACATGTTTATGTATTTTTATCGCATTTTATTTCCAGATTGCAATGAAAACCATGCCAACCTCAATCTTCAGACTGCTGACTGGCTTAGAAACACCAGTGTATATTTAGTACCACCTAAGATGTCATGTGACATCTATGATGTCATTATGGTGATATCATAATACAAGCGACATACCATGCAACCTGGGAAGAGGGGAAGCATTGGTGACTCTTGCACCGGAGTTATTCTGGGCTTAAGAACTGCCAACATGGACAAAGTGCAAAGTAGGACATCAGGCCAACAGTTGTGTTAAAGCGTCCCAAAAGTCAATCTAGGACATGGAAATATTGACAATGAAGACAATGCAGTCCATATTGATCCTATGAGGACACAAGTGCACGATCGTCAGTACATGTGCATGGTCAGCAGAACAAAGTGTTGAAATGCACACTAGGACAGAAATAACATATACATATTATGTACATGTGACCTACCAATCTGAAATTTCAGGTTTAACATGTCCAATGTGACATGACAGGGGAAAGTACTATTCCTTCTAAATGACATCAATTTCTCCTAAGTGACATCAACAATGGGAATTGATAAAATATTGTGATGAATTGATCAAGGAAGTAATTTTTATCATGAGAGATGAATCATTATAACATAGTATAATTTAATTGGTCCTATGGTTACGCTGTTATTTAAGAAGTCAAGGTGACCCAAAGACTTGGAAAAACTAGTCTTGTATCGAGCCCCTGTCTTTGCCCTTTCTCCCTTAACCAGTTGCGCCATATTCTCTCAAATAGACTGGGTAAACAGGGGCTTAATGCAATACTAATATATTATTAAGTTATATTTAATTGGGGCTCATTGTAACAAAGACTTTTCAAATTAGAAAGGATGTAATTGTCAAAATAGGTGGAGTGATTTGACATCCCGATTGACAAGCAATTAAAAAAGTGACTAAACTGGGCCTTTGTAGATGTGTTATGTTACTGTGTATAAAATGGTAAAAAAAACATTATGAATAATAAAAACTTATGATGGTAATATATGGTCATATGACATCAGATTTATTTTGTGATGTCAGATTCAATAATGAGATGACATATGATTGTTGATGTCAGCAGTACAGAAGAAAATATTTTAAAATACTGCCTCGTTTATTCCTAAAAATGATTCTGAAGTTCTCTCCAAAGATCTCAAAGAATCCAACGTTTTACATATCAAGGATCCGCTTCAATTGTAAATGCCCTTATTTGGTTCCCATGACAGTGCATAAAATGGATTCTTAAAGAAGGAAATTATACATGTTAAAGATACAATGTAGTTAACATGTATTCATGTACTTACACATGAACAATATTAACATGTTCAATTCTTCTTGAAATGTTCATGTTCAAAACATCAAGAAGAATTCACCTCATATAGTATTTAAATATGAGTGATTAAATGATGTACTGTATCTACACAATAATAAGAAACCTCCATAACTTGAGTTTGGCAATTTTGCATATATTAAGTCACACACATGTATGTATGTATTTGTGTCATAACAGTTGATGTAAAACCGGTTGATTAAACCCATGACAACCCCATGCTAGACATGCTTGAAAATGAGATGGGGTTTCAGAATTTCATTTTCTAATATTACAGATATCAGGTGGATTTAATAGAATTGAGAAAAATCCATTTGATATGTATGGGATGGAAGCAGTTACATTATTTATAGATTAGGACCATTCACTTTAATTATAGGAGTGAAGAATTTGATCATCTTAAGATAATATATTATGCAATTTTGGCAAATAACTTCCTAAAAAATAAGTAATTTGATCTTTTTTCAGAAATTGCTTTTGTACAAAAATAAAAAAGTAATAACTCATCCATTTGGTGACAGGTTGATAAAGTAGCTTTCCAATTAAAAATATGAAACTGTTAAATGATTGAAATCAATTGCATTATGGACTAAGATAGGATTCCTAAATGAGGAAACAATTGCTTGTAATTTAATGTGTCATACAATGTAGAGTTGAAATGAAATTACCGAAGAGACGGTGGGCCAGTCTTGAAACTACAGCTTGTAAATCCCAGGGAGTTAACCAAAGTTCTTGAAAATATTTCTTTTTCAAAATCAAGATTTTGTTTGAATAACAAAATTACAAAAGTGATTAGATTTAAATGCAGTTTGTATTTGCGTCTTGACATAATGTCCTAAAAAATATCATAAATTTTATCACAAAACGTTTTCTAGAATGGTTGTGCAGGTTTTGGTATTGATTGAAGTGTCTTATGTTCTCTAATTTTTGTACATTGTTAACTAATTCCTTCCTGACCTATTCATTTTAAAACATGACCACCATTTTGCATGACAGTGTTTTCTCATGGGTATATCTACATTTTCTTGTTATATAATTTATTTAGTATTCGTAGAATGTAGTCCATAACTTATTCTGCCTTGGATGCCAATATGGCCCACGGTGTATTGGTGAATGAATTCAAAGTGTAAGTGAAGTCAAAGTGATGAAGTATCACATTATCACAAACAAAGGTCAGTTACAGAGGATATTGAACATGTAGTGAATAATAATGGTTGTACCATGTAGTTGATGTAGACTATGTCCGATAATCTGAACTTTGGACCCGCTGATATTCTGCCATATAAGAAAAATGACATGATAGCAAATTCATAATTTTAATCAGTAGATCTGAATTGCATCTGATAATGTGAAATACCCTAATGACATGTATGTCAAATGACAACATCTTAACGCTGTCAACATTAAAATGACACGCTGGGAATTGATTTGTATAGTAATTTTGTAGATAATGATAAAAAATGTAAAAATAGCTGTATTAATTATTAAGTTGCAGTACTAGTCAGTGAAGTTAGCTCCGTAATAGTAACTTTTAAAAATAGTAGAATGAAATTATCAGTCCGAGGCACAACCTCAAAAACTTAACTGGGTCCATACCTCCTCCATTCATTTCCATGGGCCAGTTTTCTGGGAGTTGTGTGCTAGGCTGTTATCACTCTGTTCGATTATTATAAATCTCAGAGCTCATCCCAGGTGTATACACAGGTAATATTCAAGAGATTTGAACCCATATGATACTTTATGCTCCACTTCTAATTACAAGGGAAATCATGGTATCATCGGGGCTACAGCTCTTGGTATGATGGCTTTAGCAAGGGGCTACTCTTGGTATAATAGAATTGTCATTTTCATTTTTGGCATATGAAAATAAATCTGTTGGGCCATTTGTATTTTTGACAAAAGACATGGAACTTAATTAAGTTGATTTTTTATTATCCCAATGAGGATGCATTTACTTTGTTTGCATTCAGTATTATAGCAAGAGAGGGGATTTAACAATTGTAGTGCAATTAATTAGTGTAATTGATTATCAGGAGCTATTTCTGTCAAAGGATGTGACACTTTTTTTCAAATGGAGGTAAGGTTAAGAATACAGGGTGTCCCAAAAGTAACAGTACTAGCATTTTGCTCACATTATGTTAAAATTTTCCTTTAATATACTGTTATGTATTCGGACTAGAGATGTGTAAACGAATGATCAAAACTCTTAACTCTCTGGAGTTCAGTTGGTTTTTGAGTTGTTTTCACTAAAAAGGCAGCATATTGTGAAAGAAGTGAAAATTGGACTAATGATGTGAAATTCCCTGATCTGAACACTTTTGCTGATATTTTGACTCTATTTGATATCAAGTCATGCATTCAACAGTACATAGGTTTTGTTGAAAGTATCCTCAGAGTTGAATCTTTAGAGGTGGGTCATTACATGTTCTGGCAACCTAACTTTTATCTAGAATATCTTTCTATTAAAACTACTGAACCCAATTTTTAAACTCAGACATGAAATAATTGGTCCTTTAGTTCCAATTCAAGCCAAAATTATGTTTGCTTATTCAAGGTCAACTTTTCACAAAATGACAGGTGCCCAGTGTGTAACCCCCCTCAATGTGTAATGCTCCCCTTCTTAACATTTCCCCAATGATGTACAGTAAATTAACATGCATACAATTAAACAAGTTTGTATGCTACAACACAGGAGAATATATCATATCAAATGAGGTGTATTAATTTATGTAAAAAAATGATTATGAAATAAATGAATAAATATCAATAATACAAGTCTTACTAGTTTATATTTTACTTAAATACATGAAATATAACTTTTAACAATTGAACTAGCAACAGCTGTCGAAGTCTCAAGATTGTGTATACCATATATCCTGGGTTAAATTTTTCTCTTAATGTTTTAGCAAAATTAAATTCTGCATTTCCTTTGAACACTGGGTTAGGGCGAGGCAAAAAATAAAGTGGTTGGCATTTTCTTCCTTGTCCATATGTTATTCTGGACACCAATTATTTTAACATTTTAATAACAGAAATATATATCTTCATCTCTTGCATTAATTACTTGCACCCTTTCAATATATAAACAAAAATGAAAAGCACTCTTATTCATTACCAAAGTACTGCACAACATAGAATTAAAGTACTCTAGCCTCAAATTCTCACTTTAACTATACACGTACACTGTAAGTGGTGTTGAAAGAGTTGGTCAAAATGTGGAAGATGTTTTTGTTAGTTTGGTTCATGGCAATGATGATAGGTGTGAAAGGTGAGTCCATTGGATCAAACTTAAAAGAAACAATTACTCATTGTTTGTAAATTGTAACCTGTTTCCTTTCTAACAATATGTGTGTTGTTACTGTGCCTCTCTCCTTTTTGGAATTTTGATACATAACAATATATATGTCTGGAACACATTAAAGCACTGAACACTTGCTCAAAATATGTTTTACACACCCTCATTTCAGAGAAATAATATTCTGGCTGCGTATGTGTACTGTGTAGTCCATACAGTAACACATAATTGCAAATTTATTAGTGATTTTATGGAAGTGGAGACAATCTCTTTATTACTTTGTCAGTAATAATTTACACTTTTAGAGTCAGATACCTATTGTGTAGAACCTATTAGCAAGTCATATATTGTACTTTGGATCAATTCTTGTAATAATTACAATTTAGAAAACCTGACCTTGAAGAATGAGGTCCATGAGAAATCAATGACGTTGAATTATTTTAGGAGAATGTACAATATTTGTATGCACACAAGAGGATTGCCAAAACGAAGGAGGTACCTGCGTCCCAGATCCAAATTATCCTATTGATTTCCCATGCGAAGAGGGTACTGAGCCAGCAAATGATGGATTGTGTTCTGATGCAGACGGGAATGCTCTTGAACCATTTTCAACATGTTGTATTCCCGTGTCATTAAGAAATGGAGATTAGGTGCCCTGCAAGGTGCCAATATATGATAGCCTATATATAAAATGTTCAGCTTTTGTTATATGCGATTTCTACTATTTTGACCTTTCTGGTGACCTTGATAGTTGAATTGTCATATTTACTTTGAGATAGTATGATGGTATAGTCCATGAGATGGAATAGCACATGCATACATGTACTTGTCATTTGTTCTTTTTTAAATGAGTACATATTTTTGGTACATATTTTTCCAGATTTTAGATTTTCTGGTTGCATTTTTATGATAATTTGAAATTGTAAACAGACTAAAACACATACGTACAAATTTCATTGTCGTATTTGATATCATTTCATTGTCATATTTGATATCATTTCACAAGAGTGGGCGAAGGTATAAAGCAAAAAAAGTACGAAGAAATAATGCATTTTGATTTCGCATCCACCAGTCGCTGTGCCCTTATACCTTTTAATTTTCAAATCACATGGATGTTAAATGCATTGACATCCTTTAAAGGTAAATTATGACAAACTTTTTATCACTTTTTACATGAAAATATGCTAGTTTTCATAATTCAAATCTGAAACATAGTTATAGTCTGATAGTCGAATGGAATCCTTTTTTCATTCTTCCGATCTACGAAGTGGCCAATTCCACGTCTGCAAGCAGCGCATTGGGATCATCCTTCTTCAAAGGACTTCATTTATGCCTAAACACTTGTAAAATACCCTTGCAGCAAGGATGCACTGGGATTGTCGTTGTTTGTAATTAGTCATTCGAATGCAAAATACTTAAATATTGAAAAAATGGGATAATCACAACCGCGTGTATGTGTTCATCCATGGGCTTTGTTTAATCCAAGCAAAATTTATAAAAACTATTACATTTTAAGCACGGACTACTAGAGTAGTATACTAGAGTAGTATCAAAGATGTGTTCGAGCGTACCGAAGAGAGGGATACGGAGGTCCCGCGTTCGAGCCCCATGTACGGAGTTCTTGATAATAGTGCTACAGGATACTCGGTACGAAGGTCCAACCTCCGACCCTTGGCATGGGTTGGTTCTCTCATGGCATGGCTTATGGCCGCTCTTGTCGGAGAAAGATTGTGAGACTGTGGTTGGTTCCTCCACTGACGTGCTAAAGTAGATTCAGGGAGTCATACAGTATGGAAGCGAGCCCCAAACCAAACAAGGGCAGTAGTGGAACGACACGAATAATCGGTCCAAGTATGGTAGCTTTGCAACTGAAGAGACTCGAGGAAATCATCCCATCCGCGGCAACCCAGAAAAGGCTTTTGCCTCTTGATACAATCTTATTTTTATTTATCATTTATTCAAAAAATAAACATACGTATTAATACTCAGAAACGTTTGTGAAGCTCCAAGTGTTCCGGGTTACCCAAGTATTCCGACTCTTGCCGAAGTATTCTGACTTGGCCCAAGTATTCTGGGTGGCTGCCTCGTGCACAGAATGCTTTCCATTTATTCATAAAAACTAACAGGGTACCTTTTGGGAATGTAAAATCCCCGGTTGTTAGACATTTGCACCATGGGCATCTCCTGAGCAATAGAATATTTAGACAGAACATATCAATATATTTAGGCTGGGTCTCAATTTCAGGAATATACCCCATTTTTGGAAAAATGGGCCTCGATTTAAAAAAAATGGGACCATATTTTTAAAAATTTGGTCAAAACTTTCAACAAGCAACATTTTAGGACTCTCTTTTTTCATCCTAGCATTTTTTCAGCAAAATTTTATTTTTTGAACCCTCTCTTGTGAGTTATAAAATATGATAAATTAAGCGATCTCGGAACACTTGGGTTGTCAGAACAGTTGGGCAAGAGTCAGAACACTTGGGTAGGGCAGAACAGTTGGGCTTCCACAAACGTTGTTTATAACTTGAGTCTCATAGAATGCGTAAACTTTTATGTAAAATTGTCTTAATTACACGATGGTCTAAAAAATTGGAACATCTATAGTTGTAATTATACAGAACATTTATTTATCCTATAAAATACCATGGAGATGCCGGCCAGATTCTTTTTTGTAGGATCAGAAGCTCGATAAATATTCCTACCAGTTATTTAAATAGCTCTAAAGATCAACCCTATAGTTTGTGTTCTGTGAATCAGAATCCTCGAATATACTAAAAAAGCTTGTGATTGATTACTTCGCGTCGTATCAATTGCGACAATACCAGTTTACCAGTTGAAACAGACTGAAAGGAATCCATCAGTAATAGGCTACACCCAATTTTCTCGGAACACCCTGTATTATATGCTACTTTATGTTTCTATGCACATCTTCGAATTCCAAGTGGTCATGATAACATGAAGTTGGAGCAACTAAAACCTTGAGGTATTCAAATGCAAAAGTAAACAATCATACACAGAGTACTATCCAAAAATACTCCATGGATGCTCGATCGTGGTATGAAATAAATGTGCTTGGACGATAGCACTCGAGTACTTTCGATAAAAACATCTAAGATAACCATGAACTAATACACAGAATACCATATCATAGAATCAGGAGGAGTGAGGAGCTCCCATAATTCTTTCATATTCTATCGTATTCGGGGATTCCCCATTACATCATCTCTTGCATCATCTCCAATCAAATTGCAGGATTCGATCACGTGAACAATTATGGGCACATGCTCTCTCAGTGCTGCGCATGCGCAGAGTTAAATTTTAACTCGTGAGAATGGCGTTTACATCAGTTCAACATCGTCATTTCAAACCTACGGTAATACTATTGAAGTTACTCGATCCATACTTGTAGAGAATACTCATAAAACTACAGTGAACATTTGGAGATCCATTTCAACGGAAAATTGAGGCCTGTTTATAAAATTTGTTTTCGAACGTGCTAATATGATAGGGCATCTTTGGGAAATCTCCCCCCCTGTCATAGAATGCAATAATTCATTAACTAAAAGGGGACGACCTTGATTCTACACACACAATTTCTCAAGTTATAAAGTGTAACTTAAATCTCCCACAATGGAGATCTGGGGCATCACAGCCTACTGATATTTGCATTTACTGTAAGTATACATGGACATTGACAACCTCCTTATTCAAGACTATGACATCATAGCGTCGACAAACCTACACGTAAGACTATATACGTAGAATTCAACGCAAAGATACTTTCAACTATGACAGCCCCGTGGCGCCCGTGCTCAGTGGGGGACATGATGAAAGACATCGACACTCCAGCGCTGGTTGTGGACCTCGACTCTTTGGAAAGTAATATTAACAAAATGTCTAAGATTGTAGAGGAGAACTATCCAAATGTAAAGATCCGACCACATTGTAAAACACATAAATGTCCGAACATAGCACATATGCAGGTATGTTAAAATGTTAATACAATAATATAGACTAATACTGTATTGTAGTTGAATGCAGCAGACATTAATCTTAACATTATGCGAGGAAATGACTAAAAAGGTAACATCATGAGGTAACATTTGCAAATTCAACTGCCGGTTGTCGGCTGACGGTTTAATTGCAATTTTATGGTGCATCTCGATATCTGCTAGATATCGAGTCAAACCCTTTTACTATTAAACCTAAATAATGATTAAACTCAAATACTCAAGAAAAGCTATTAATATTTATATGCAAATGACCACGCATCCCAGAAAATACCTCTGTAAGCAAACATCTATAATGATATACTTACATGTAGTAGGCATTAGTTGTATTCCTTGCAAAACTTGAATCCATGTTTTGACACATTGAATAACATCAATGATATTCAACGTGTCATATATCCTATATAACTCCAGATGAACAGTGGCGCGGTAGGGTTCTGTTGTCAGACGATCACAGAGACGGACGCCTTGGTCAACGCTGGGATAAATGACATATTCATTTCAAACCAGGTAAGGCTCATTATTCCACAGAGTTTTATAAACATGTTCCAATATATCTGACCATACAGTACTTTGCCCAATGTCCCTACACAACCTTCCCTCCCCAGGTCATTGAATTTAAGTCCTGGAAAGGAAGGAATTTCTACTCGAATGCAAATTATACTAGAATTTACGTTTTGTATTTGACAAATACTTATAACAAACATAACTACATTTATATGAGTATGTCGAAATCTATTTTCTTCTTCAGATTATAGGTCTAAGAAAGATTCGTAGGGTCGTAGGATTAGCAAAGATTGCCAATATTTCACTGTGCGTGGATGATGCTGACAATGTACGTGATATCGACACGGTTGCAGGCGACTTGGGAATCAAGATGGATGTCGTCGTTGAAGTCCACGTCGGAGCCTACAGGTCAGTTAGGCTGAGTGTCAACATTACATGACCTTACCAGGCACGTAGCCAGAATTTTCCAAGGGGGGGGGGGTCACTTTTCCAAAATATTCTAGGGGGGGGGGGGTTCACTTTGGCAAATTTGGCCAAAAGTCACTCAAAAAATAGTCAGAATGGTGAAAAACTGCATGATTTTTAAAGAAATTTTGGCCAGGGGCCTGCCTCACTGCCTTACTGTATACAATTGTTGACCTCTCCAGAGGTCAACCGGCAAAATTGTATACCGAGGGTCGAGGTCAACAGTAGTTTCAAGGTTTACAGTCGAGATATATGATTTTGACGGTTGGCCGAATGGAGAGGTCTACACTTGTTTTGTTAGTCAGAAGAAACTAATAATACACATAGACGACAATCATCAAACTTTTTTTTCAAAAGTAGCACTTAATAGTACCTAGTGGCGGTCAACAGTACATATTGTTGACCGCTCACCAACCAATCAGAATTGAGTATTCCAAATTGAGGTACTAACAATAATTATTTGTTTAACTGTGCCACTAGATAATGTTAGCGGTGGAGCTGTCGGTTTATTTACATGGTGGAGATGCCAGTAAATATTTGACGTTGTCAGGAAATAATAGGTAGGCTAAGTTACTGTATTTAAAAAAACGTGTGCGTGTACGTGTACAATTATGGTCCTGCCTCTATGGAATAGTTCTCCCATTTGAAGTGTTTACTTGGCCGATTGAGTATAAAGGTATACGGAAAAAAATTGTAATGAGATTCCTGGGAAAGTATATTGAGAACGGGACAGTAACCCCCGGGTCGAAATATTACATGCTCACGTACAGGTTCTCTTAAAACGTGTAACTTAACCTCCCTAATAAGACTCATTTGACTGAACTTAACTGGCGTCACATAATGTTAACGCTTCTTTGGTAGTGGAGCTGTCGGTGTACATGCATTTACATGGTGGAGCTGTCGACCGTGTACAATGTTTTACATGGTGGAGCTGTCGGTGTACATGCATTCACATGGTGGAGCTGCCAGTGAATATGTGTTAACTACGTCAGTAAATAACACTCATTTGATCAAAAGGGCGTCAACGTTTCTTTGATCGAGGTTTTAATGGATACCAATCATTGAATTGTGCTACAAGTGAATGTAATCTTTTATGTCGTAGCTGTCAATCAATGTCTTTAACTTTCTCTTTCCATAGATGTGGAGTGAATCCGGGTGAACCTGTAGCTGAACTGGCTCAACTCATCACTGAACTCCCAAATGTCAACTTCAAAGGTTTACATTGCTATCAAGGGTAAGATTGCACGCTTCTTGTAAACTTCATGGAAACATTTGAAAATAGTTTTGATACTTCAAATGGAGACTCCAGACGTTGTCCATGGTTCTATTCATTCTTATTCCAAGAAAGGGACATAAAGGTGATATCTAGAGCCTTGCATACTGATGAGCACTAGTACGATACATAAAACTATAATTAACGGTGTATGAGAGGAATCTTGTATGCGTTCATTTATTTTGACAGCGGACTGACGCAAAGCCTGTGTACATTTATAAAATGCATGACATACAATAGAAGTTGGAATTGGACTAGATAGAATATAACATGTTCTTGGATGAAAGTAGGATGCTGATATATTTTCCAGGCGTAACCAGCATCAACGCAAAGAGGGAGACCGGAAGAAGGAAGTTGAAAACGTAGTCGCTTTAGTAAAACAGAGTTTAGAGGTATAAAGTTTAGCTCACAGCTCAAACATGTTGCCAATTAGCCAGGTGGCCCATTGAATAGTTCAAACAATTGTTCCAAATGTTGTTTAGCATCTTGACCACTATCAGAATAATGTTCTCTCTTTTAGGCACTCTCCAAGAGAGGCATACCGTGCGAATACATTACCGGTGGTGGAACAGGGTCGTTCAAGTATGAGGCATCTAGTACAACCTTTACTGAAATTCAACCAGTATCCTTTATAAAGGTGTAGGTAGCCATGAGGCAAGCGAGTTAGTTCATAGGTAGCAACGCCCAATTGCAACTATCCATGTCCTTACTAATTTAGGGTTATTCCATAATTCGACCTGCACTTTATTTTCTTGTCCCTCACAAAAAGTAAATATTACTATCGTATTTTTCCTTCTGTCAACACATTGGGGGTGAGACAGGTATACGAAGTCGGACTATATTCTCTTTAAAAAAGCGGCGTTCCACACATTCTCATGGTAACTTATTCCGCGTGTACAAATCGTACACAAGAACAACTCATCCAGGACTGAGGTTCATATGATACTCTTGATAATATTTTGAAGAAATATTTAAGTCAATGTCTCCCGGTGGTGTTTACTTGCTTAGATTTAAAAAGGTTCTTTCAACGATCCAAGTATGTGATGGAAATCTATAACCCCCCCCCCTCAGCGTCCATTGTTATTGTCAAGCCTTAACGCACTCCAGGGATCGTATGTCTTTATGGATGTGGATTACGGTAAAAACCTCAATACTGACGGCAGTTTCTATAATGAATTCAAGAACAGTCTTTATGTCTTGTCAACCGTCCAGAGCAAAGGAGTAGGTAGCGAACATATAGTCACATGATCTTACTTCCAAAAACATGACATATAATATATAAAATAGCACTAGTCTATACTGAATTTTCAAATTCGCCCATTATAATGTTAATGAGTATATACGTGTACCTCACTTCTGATTACTATTTCTAGACTAATCCTAACAGGGTGGTAGTAGACGCTGGTATGAAGGCCCTCAGCGTTGATTCTGGGGTTCCTCTGGTAAGTTGCTATTCTTCTGGCTACACGCTACCAGAGCATCTGATTTTTGACAGCCTTTGCTGCTTAACAAGTATATTAAAAGGGAGATTACCACATTTATGCAAAGCATTTCCAACTTTGAGAAAAACAGCGTGCTTACAACATGAACAAAAGCTTCCAATTTCGATCATTTAAGACTTGATCACCTTTTGTTTTCCAGCTCAAAGATTTCCCATCGATAACGTATAATATAGGAGGAGACGAGCATGGTGTATTGACTAAGATGGTAGACGGCGAGCAGATGCCAAAAGAAATAGACGAGTTGAAGGTACATAATTCATTCATGTAGCAGTACTTACTATTGATATAATGATACTGCCAGACACTATTATTTTTAAAGATTTGTTTCTTATGCATGATAAATGTTGAGTTTATCTGTTTGTGAACGATATTTGGTGGAGCTGCCGGTAAATGATAATTATTTTATGAGGTCGCCATTGTTAATTGTCAACTAGCCCCTGGTAAATAATTTCTATTTGTTTAGGCCGTCGCTAAATGGTAATTGGTGGAGCTGCCGGTAAATATTGACTTGTATATATTTCATAATGTTATTTACTAATTATCAACCAGGAATTCTGTTTCAGGTTGGTGATATTATTCGACTCATACCTGGACATTGCGATCCAACAGTTAACATGCACGATTGGATCATAGGGCTGAGAGGGGACAAAGTTGAATGTATATGGCCCGTGGCAGGACGTGGCCCTGGCGTCTAAGGAAGAACTCTTGTTACTTTAAAGTTGACATTGCCATATTATTATCAATTCATTGTCCTGTGTCGTCCACGACTTATCCGAAGCATTCATATGTTTTACCATCAAGTACGAAACACCATTGTATTAAAGTTAAAGGAAAAATTGAGACCAGCCATTCTGATACGCAGACCATCTCTGCTATGCACAAGAAGGAAACTGAGAGAAGGCTGTGATATCTCACAATGGAGACCAGCAGGGCGATTAGATTTATTGCAAATTGTAGGTGATATCATGGACAACTCATGGTGATATTGAACATATTTCCAATATGACCAAGCTGCAACAGTAAATGTGTCTGTTATGGATTTGTTTCAACATATTGACAATTATATGATGTACTATAAATATCAGCATGTTACGAACAACAATAAATAAAAAAGCTATAATTTGAAACAAATCAAAAAGGTTTTGATATTTAGTATACGAAAGTATTTATATTTTTCGTCTTTCTAAATGCACGTACATATACCAATGTTTTTCAGTAGAGATTATCCCCTCCCCAAATCTACATGTACGTCTGTTCTCTTGTGAAAATGAGGTTTTGAATTATTTATTGTAACTACAAAACGCGTCCCAACATCCGGTCTTCAAATGTCGCTTTGCCCTTTTGATATCTCTGTAAATAGAAAGGCTGTCAAGAAGGATAATCATCAAGATAAGCATTATAAGCACCGACAACCATATAGAACCAATGGCACTAGCCCCCTGAGCATCCTCAGCTTCATATTCTATTGGCTTCGCTCGCACGTACAATTCAGCAACGGGAACAGTTGTGTTAAACATGATTATGAATGGTAAACTTGTAGTTGACATTGTATCAACTTTTGTTGTTGTTGAATCTATTGTTTGGGTTTGTTGCGTCGACTCGTCTGTTTGCCTTGGAATAGTTTGCATCGTGGAGTGATCCGTCGTTATGTAGTCCGTATGATCATCAGTGGTGCGCATCGTGGACTGATCCGTCGTTGTATAGTCCGTATGATCATCAGTGGTGCGCATCGTGGACTGATTCGTCGTTGTATAGTCCGTATGAGCCTCAGTGGTTCGAGAAGTACTTACTGCAGAAACACATGATGGTGCCTGTGACCATTCCTCATTGGCTTCACACAAGACTGCCGAGCCGTTTCCAACCAAGACATAGTTGCTATGGCAACTGTATATAACTATGGTGCCATAGTAACTTTCATAATCAGCGGGGAATATACTACTGTGTTCTACTTCAGGCACAGTTCCACAGTCAACAACTATAAATATGAAAAATAGTGGGCCTATTAAAATTACTTTCAAGAAACAAACAGGACGATATTGTTGCATACTACAGTATAAATGCTGTATCTCAACTACAGTTAACAATAAGCAAATTAACAAAAAATATCTCAATGTTGTGGGGTTGATTGATTTATGTTGATATCTCAGATGTGAAATCCATTTGATAATGGGAATTAAAGCTATCATAACAGTAATGAAAGCATGTATTCTACTAAGAAACAAACTTACATGGTACTTTATGATAACACCAAGGTACTCCATTTACTTGGTCGTCATAGCAACAGCCTTTCGAAATACAAGATGTTTTTGTGATTCCCAATTCTCCGCAATTTGATCTTGCATTTATGTTCATGTTGGTACAAGTCTCAGCTGTAGTATAAGAATGTCACAGAAATGATATAATATCGATTAACTAATCAACCAAGCAATTATTCAGTTAAACAATCAATTAATCAATCAATCGATCTATTCTAATGATGTACATTGAATGATCGAGGAATGTGTCAACATACAAGCAATGATAATGTGTACAATGTACATGCATGTTAACGTGTTAATCATGCCAAGGAAAGTTGTCGCTGGTTTAAAACGCAACAATTCCCGTATAATTGGTTACGCCCTAGATTGCTAGTTCTTGTTACTGTTATTATTGAACAATCTTTACAACACTCAAAAAGTTTATTCTTTCTTTAAGACCTTGTGACCCCCTACATGCATGACCTGAAATGATATGAAGATGGGGAGGGAGTCCAGAGATATGTGACAATATAAAAGACAAAGGAGACATCATACCACACACTACTGAGATGTTTGGAGCAGCGTTCCAAATGCCACCTCCCCAATATTTCCAGCTAGTTTGATTCACGAGTTCAGGAGTAACAGCATTGTCTTGCGATAGTATCCATCCTAAGTGTAATGTGAAGTTTGACCCAATCATCCAGTGTTGTCCTGGATGGTATAAAACAAGTTTTGTCTGATGTCACTCTTTTAAATATATTAGTGTGTGTATTTTAAACTAGGTCGGCCTAGAAAGATATCATCTGTGTTTTTTATTGACTTTACGTTAGTTGTTAGCAACAAAAAAATAACAAGGAAAGATTTGCTTACTGTTCCCGGTCCAGTAAAGGTGGAGCAGCTGGTCGGTTCTGGTGTAGTATGGCCGGCCTTTGCTGATATTTGCGTATTTGTATATCCCTCCGTATGGCGAGGCAGGGGAGAAAGAAGGAACGATCACATCGAGTATACTGCAACATTCTGAAACAATTTAGTTTGATTGAAAAAGAACCGGACACATTTACACGTAATTTGATGATGAAATATGAGCGCAAGATTGTGCATGATTATTACATGGAATATTAACAAAATTCATATTAAAAAAGTTAAATCTCAAGAATTATTTTTTTTCTATTCACAAATTCGAATGGCTAAAGCACCAAAACAGAATATATTTTACACCATTAAATGGTTTAAATTAAACATTTAAATTAAACATATATATGACGTGCACGGACCTGGGGACAATTAGAGAAATACGGCCTAATGTCACCTTTAAACGTTAATACCCGCCTAAGTAAAAAACCTAAGTATGTGTTTCATATATCATTTTGAAGCTTATTTTATGCGCGTTTCAGTGATACTATTTTTGCTCGAAAATTTCGATGTGATCTACCATTTTTTTAAAGTTAAAACTACCCCAACATCGAAAAATACGTTGTAAGACGTAACACTTTTCCCTTAAAGGCCCCGTATAAAGTTTAAACCACTTTGGCTTATATTGTAGTCTTACCCAATGTTATCAAAGTGTGATATGTGAAACTTTTTTTTTAAATTTCAAAAAGTGTTTTTTGATAGACTTTTTGTTCCAAAATTTGTGAATTTATTTAAAACCAACTTTTAGAGGTCACTCATATCTTTTAATTAGCCACAATTCATACCAATGCATAGCAGTCATCCTCCCATGTTTTTTGCCGAAAAAATTAAGAAAATCGGTTCATAAATAAGCGAGAAATGAACTTATAAGTGCATGAAAATGGTTCTGAGAAAAATGTAATACAAAATTTTAGTTCGCATAGAAACCAATGGTACAATGATATCTAAAACATAATTTATTCTTCCTTTTAACCTGGTTAGACAATCAACATTGGTTTTTTATGAAAGTCTAGCATATTTAGAAAAGATTGAAATCGAAAAAAAAATTTCAATTTTTTTCAAAAAGTTTTTGTTACCTTAGTGACATCACTAATGTTTCAAAATATTTTTGATATGCTAAAACATTGAAGTGGCCCATTAAATATGGCATTTTATTATTGAAATAGTGTGTCCTTTGTTCAATCTTTGCATTGGTGTTAAAAAAATAAGCTTTTTGAAATGCATTAAGAAATATTTGATGATTAAGAAATTTCAATAATTTTTTTTCAAAAATCTCTAAAATCACTTTTTAAGTCCTGACAAATAGTAAATGAATGATAAGAAAATATTTTGAAACTTTAGACGGGGACTTTAACCGGTTTGTTGAAATTAGGATAACTTTTGCAATAATAATCAGAATCCAATGAAATTTTCACATTTTGTTCAATTGACCATGTTCATTTATGACGTCATAATTGCGTAGCGGCTACAATTCAAATTTTCTTATTTGGACGCTTGCTACAATTTTCAAAATTATGTAAGGTTTTTCATCCGAAGGGGACAAGCGATAAGTTTACCTTAATTTGACCTTCTTATTTAGGTTTGATTTGAATGAAAAATTAACTGCACAATATTGTCACGGCAAAATTTACAAAACAATAACCGGATTGTTTATTTTGCAAATAATATTAAAATAGAGGCTGGTTTTCGAGACTTGAAAAAAATGTGACGCATCGTTTTTTTACCACAAATTCCATACACATCAATTTTCACTAACGCCCCAAGTGGATTTCCCGACCGTTTTTCAAAATTCAAAATCATTTTAGAAATATTGTCCTCGAGATCTTGCTACCCTGGGAATTTTATCGTGTTTAGATAAGGATAAAGGATTTTATTTTGAGGTTGACTAAACTTGACAAAAATGTGACGCTCGTCGTTTTTGACGTTATAATGCTGTTTGCGCCCTAAACTGCTCATTGTTTTGTTTTGGTATTTTGACGCCATAATGTTACCCTAATTGTCCCCAGTTTCGTGCGACGTGTAATAGCTTTTTTTATGAATCTTACTTTTGTATCAATCAAAAAAATAAAAAATCACTTACCATAGTAACAGAAATTCAGCCACAAAACCACAATGACACACGAAATTAGAGAAACCATTTTGTAAACCATGCATCACTTTACAACCTCATGCTTCGGTTCTTTGATGTCAAAATCTACATCATTATTATTGAACATATTTTTATGTCCACATTACATATCTAAGCAACTTTCCCTTCCAAATTATTCACAATATCCCTCAAAAATGGTCTTCAAACCCAAAACGATGCAGGGTGATATATCACGTATCAAATTATGAAACGGACATATAAACATATGTGACGAATGAATCCTTTTATAAATGGGCTTTGTTTTAGGTACAAGAATTAATATTGAATATCAAAGAAGGGTAATTTCTAAGATTATTTACTCTAAACTTCAGAGGTAAAGTAAGGTACATTTATGTTATTTTTATGATATTACAAAGATTAATTGCTACTCGTAGCTAGGAAATATGAATATAATTGAGTCACTTTGGATTGAAGCAATTGATCTTTATTGTTATTTCTCTGATAGAGGAGGAATGTAAAGGAAACGCTCACTGAAAATCTGGTATGAAATACTTCAGTACAAAACCTTTTTAGGTTACATTGATTGATTGATATAAGAACTCTTTTTCAAATAATGTACACTCACATATATATGGAGCCAATCAAATTAAAAATAGAAAATCTGTGTCTTATCTTGAGATTTGTAAGTCTCTTTCAATTAGCTTAGATATATCTCTATTTTAGTTCAGTCACTTAGTAACATGGATTTTGACCTCAAAACGAAACGAAGAGTTCTTCCATCACTTGTAGCAAAAAAACACTTAACATTGCTCGAATTGTAAGGTTTTTCAATTCAAGTGTTCAAATACATATCAATTAAAAGATTTGAGCCAACCTTATTTAATTTTCAATATTTAAAACAAGTATAAAGAATGACAAAAGACAAAATATTATTGAATATCTGTATTTTATTCATCATACCTGAATAGAACACTGGATATAATGTGTAATATATATTGACCTCACATCTTAAAATAATTTCACAACCGACTTTTGGAATTCCAGCTTCCAGTCTGAATTGTGTTATGCATGTATTAACTCAAAATATGCCATTGGTGGAACAAACATCTGTTCAATATTGAGAGGAAGTACAGTGTTTAGGTGAAGTGCTATTGTAAAATGCAAAGAAAATTGAAAACTTGCGTGCCATTCTGCTCTCGCTTATTTGCATCTAGTCTAGTCTCTTTTACTTCACTGCCTCTTTCTTATATATTGTTTGGGAGAGAATATTGGGTAAAAATTCAGATTTGCGAAAAATAATTTCCCCCAGAATTTGTTTTCTAAAATTTTGTCCATTTCAACTTAAAATCTTATACTTTTCAAAAGACTACTTTTGGGAGGCCAATTCTCCCCTAAATTAGCAGGATTAATTGGATTGAGGCAAAACTATGAAATATCATATTCTTGTAGCAATGTTGTTGTTTCTGAGAGAACTAATACACTGCATGACCATATAGAGCAGAGAGATACTAGAAACCATTATAAAGTTAGAAATATGTATGAAAAGGGTTGTTATAGAAAAACAGTGACATCTTTTGAAGAACCTGAAGTCATAAAAGTACAGTAAAACATGTACATGGGAACACCTTTATTTTGTCATTTCTCAATAACGATAATGAACCTCAGTAAGTAGAAGACTTTTTTAGGTACCCGAGGTGTTCCAATTATACAAATTTTACTGTATAATTCAAAAATATACATTTACGGTGAATTTTGTAAACAATCTGACTCACAATTCAAAGAAAATCCTAAATACATCTTATTCGTAAAATCACCCATATCAAATGAGTGCCATGCTGTAAATGCATAAGTAGTGCCCAACAAATACAAAATATAGTGGTCTATTCTTTTGAAATTCACATCATAAATAAATAGAGTACAAATGGACGGAATATGGAAATATAGAAGCATGGAATAATACAAACATGGACGGATTTTTGTTTGTTTTTTTGTTCAAGGGACCTGCCCCGATGAGATCTTACATCAACTTTTTTATGTCTTTGGCATCAAACTGTAATAAATATTGTTTGAAACATCTCTTTTTGATCCTTCATATTTATATTGGATCTGAATCCTGGATCTCTAATTGATCTGAATACTTGATCTGGTTCTAATCCTTTATACTTTACAATTAATCCTTTACACAATAGCTCGATCCTTCATGTAAGTCCTAGATCCATCCCCATCTTTAATATAGATCCTTGATCCTTCAAACTGATCCCAGATCTTTCACACCGATCCTTGATCTTTCCCATTGACTCATCCTTTTCATGGAACCAGTTCACACAGATACAACTTAATACACAGATGTATCTTGATACATAAATTTTGAATCATTTACAGATTCTGACTCTTCAAACTGATTCATAATCTTTCTGCCATGCCTCATATCTCTTAGCCAAGTTTTTAGCTGAAGGTTTAGTCCTTGATAACGCAGACATGACATCTTCTGTTTGAATAGTGTCCAATGTTATATGCAAATCAGATTCTGAAAAAGCAACATTTTTAGTATCAATTATTGGTATCTATGTATTTGGAATAAACAAAACAAAATACAAAGTTGAATACAAAAAGTTGGAGACAATAACACTATGTCACCACCAAAGATTATTTGCCCAATTTTCTCAAGTTAAAAGATTATCTAAATCTGATATCGAAAAAATTATTATCATTTGAAACTATGTTTTTCAATTTCATTTTAGTGTCTGATCCTGTCCAACTACCAAATTCCCCAAGTTGAAAAAACTGTATGTATATGGGAGGGGCGACCAAGGGTGTGATGCAAGACTAATCTGTTGAAACGACCATATACCTCTATATCTATTATCTATAGTAAACATTGTAGATTAAGAAATAACTCACCACCTGTAACCTTTTCTAGAATATCAAATACTTTTCTAACTGGTTTCATAGCAGCCTCCTTACAGACTAGTTTGATATCTGAGCCTGAATAACCCTCAGTTTTCTGCAAAATAAAGTAAATATATTAACATTTATCAAATAAATTGCAAAATCCACATATACAGCATTCAGTATTTGTGAAAAATGTTGATATTAGTGAACTTCAAGTTAAATCTTGATCTTTAGCTTCAACCTACTGACCTATGATTTTACAAATTACTATCAAACTTCAATTCCATTTATCAATTTATTTTTCAATTTAATCAATTTATGCTTTAAAATGTGTGAAAATTAGGTATGTTTTAAACAGAGTCTAAAATACTGAACATTGCATAATTGTTCATCAATGGCAAAGTTAATCTTATACTCTTTCTGCTCACTCACATCAGCAAGAAGATCATATTCTAGATTAGAGCGTAGTTCTAATCCACCTTCTGCTGGGTTAACTATGGGGGGTAGATGGTGACAGAACATAGCTTTCCTGGCATCCTTTGTGGGCAGATCTACAAGGATCCTCTTCTCTAGACGTCTTAACATGGCATGATCCAACTCCCTGAAACACATTATTTAAGTTTTCTTGGATAACACATAAGTACACCTGCATACAATTTCAATGAATTTTAGTTGATAATTAGCTAGTCAATGATCTGTTAAGAAAAATTGATAAAACTCAAAACATTTGGAACATGAAGGGGTTGTGTTAGCCCAAATAAATATGTATAGAGTAGTATATATCCGAAAGTACTATTTCACCTCTGTAGGCCAACGTCACATTCTGTTAGGGAATATTAAAAACTCAAACAAAGGAACATGAGGGAGCTGTGTTAGCCCAAATAAATATGTATAGAGTAGAAAAATAAATAAAGATATGAGAAAGTACTTTTGTACTTCTGTAGCCCAACGTCACATCTACCAGAAATGACTCACTGAAACATTCAGGTTTAAGCCATTATCATATAATCATCCAAAGTACATACATACCATGGCAAGTTTGATGCAGCTAACAAAAATACAAGGTCATCAGTTTTGGCAAGTCCATCCATTTGGACCAGTAGCTCAGTCTTCATGCGCCTACTACCTTCATGTTCCCTGAAATACAATTTTCAATATGGGTCAATCATCTATCTTCACTTTATAAACAAAGGACTAGAAAATAAAGAATCATTAAAATAATCCTTTATTACTTCTTCATTATTTTGAAAGTTATGCTTAATGCATATAAATGTTCTAGTTCATTTCTGAGTCACTAAGTCAATGGCAATAAAGTCAAGGGCAAAAATGGACCATTGCCTCGGCAATAATGGACCATTTGGTGTCCAACACAGTTGTCTTATTACTTACCCCCCTCCTCCCCCTCCCCTCTGACTCATCAGTGACTCCAGCTCATCAATAAATATTGTAGAAGGGGCATAAAATCTGGCTAGCTCAAATAACACCTGAAACAGAAAGCATTCTGTTGTGATCAATACATTCAGCATTATGATAAATATGTAAACTGTAGACATAGTGAAAATTTATGAGCTCATAAAATCAAAGAAATTTCACTGATTCAGTTGTGTCATCATAACAATTTCCACTTTTCATGTTATTTCTCAACATAGGGATTTTCAAGTGAGTATAGCAAACATTCATTATAATTTCCCATAATGAGCAAAACAATCAAAATTAAAAACACTTGAAACATTCCCCAAAACAACAGGCAACAACACGTTTATTCCTACTGCCAATGAAACCTCTAATACACTGGATTGGGAAGCTCCACCCACTCACTCAGCCCTAGATAGGACCTACCCTGACTAGTTTCTCAGAGTCTCCTCTCCACTTGCTGACAATACTTGATGCTGAGATATTGAAGAATGTTGTCTTGCACTCTGTGGCAACTGCCTTGGCTAGTAGTGTCTTTCCAGTACCTATACAATCATAATACAAGATCATTATAGGCTAACTGGTTAAGTTTGCACTACTGGATTATAGTACAGTGAAATGTGTCTGTGGCAACTGCCTTGGCTAGTAGTGTCTTTCCAGTACCTATACAATCATAATACAAGATCATTATAGGCTTACTGGTTAAGTTTGCAATACTGGATTATAGTACAGTGAAATGTGTCTGTGGCAACTGCCTTGGCTAGTAGTGTCTTTCCAGTACCTATACAATCATAATACAAGATCATTATAGGCTTACTGGTTAAGTTTGCAATACTGGATCATAGTACAGTAAAATGTGTCTGTGGCAACTGCCTTGGCTAGTAGTGTCTTTCCAGTACCTATACAATCATAATACAAGATCATTATAGGCTAACTGGTTAAGTTTGCACTACTGGATCATAGTACAGTAAAATGTGTCTGTGGCAACTGCCTTGGCTAGTAGTGTCTTTCCAGTACCTATACAATCATAATACAAGATCATTATAGGCTAACTGGTTAAGTTTGCACTACTGGATCATAGTACAGTAAAATGTGTCTGTGGCAACTGCCTTGGCTAGTAGTGTCTTTCCAGTACCTATACAATCATAATACAAGATCATTATAGGCTTACTGGTTAAGTTTGCAATACTGGATTATAGTACAGTGAAATGTGTCTGTGGCAACTGCCTTGGCTAGTAGTGTCTTTCCAGTACCTATACAATCATAATACAAGATCATTATAGGCTTACTGGTTAAGTTTGCAATACTGGATTATAGTACAGTGAAATGTGTCTGTGGCAACTGCCTTGGCTAGTAGTGTCTTTCCAGTACCTATACAATCATAATACAAGATCATTATAGGCTTACTGGTTAAGTTTGCAATACTGGATTATAGTACAGTGAAATGTGTCTGTGGCAACTGCCTTGGCTAGTAGTGTCTTTCCAGTACCTATACAATCATAATACAAGATCATTATAGGCTTACTGGTTAAGTTTGCAATACTGGATTATAGTACAGTGAAATGTGTCTGTGGCAACTGCCTTGGCTAGTAGTGTCTTTCCAGTACCTATACAATCATAATACAAGATCATTATAGGCTTACTGGTTAAGTTTGCAATACTGGATTATAGTACAGTGAAACGTGTCTGTGGCAACTGCCTTGGCTAGTAGTGTCTTTCCAGTACCTATACAATCATAATACAAGATCATTAAAGGCTTACTGGTTAAGTTTGCACTACTGGATTATAGTACAGTAAAACGTGTCTGTGGCAACTGCCTTGGCTAGTAGTGTCTTTCCAGTACCTATACAATCATAATACAAGATCATTATAGGCTTACTGGTTAAGTTTGCACTACTGGATTATAGTACAGTAAAACGTGTCTGTGGCAACTGCCTTGGCTAGTAGTGTCTTTCCAGTACCTATACAATCATAATACAAGATCATTAAAGGCTTACTGGTTAAGTTTGCAATACTGGATTATAGTACAGTGAAATGTGTCTGTGGCAACTGCCTTGGCTAGTAGTGTCTTTCCAGTACCTATACAATCATAATACAAGATCATTATAGGCTTACTGGTTAAGTTTGCACTACTGGATTATAGTACAGTGAAATGTGTCTGTGGCAACTGCCTTGGCTAGTAGTGTCTTTCCAGTACCTATACAATCATAATACAAGATCATTATAGGCTAACTGGTTAAGTTTGCACTACTGGATTATAGTACAGTGAAATGTGTCTGTGGCAACTGCCTTGGCTAGTAGTGTCTTTCCAGTACCTATACAATCATAATACAAGATCATTATAGGCTTACTGGTTAAGTTTGCAATACTGGATTATAGTACAGTGAAATGTGTCTGTGGCAACTGCCTTGGCTAGTAGTGTCTTTCCAGTACCTATACAATCATAATACAAGATCATTATAGGCTTACTGGTTAAGTTTGCAATACTGGATCATAGTACAGTAAAATGTGTCTGTGGCAACTGCCTTGGCTAGTAGTGTCTTTCCAGTACCTATACAATCATAATACAAGATCATTATAGGCTTACTGGTTAAGTTTGTACTACTGGATTATAGTACAGTAAAACGTGTCTGTGGCAACTGCCTTGGCTAGTAGTGTCTTTCCAGTACCTATACAATCATAATACAAGATCATTATAGGCTAACTGGTTAAGTTTGCACTACTGGATCATAGTACAGTAAAATGTGTCTGTGGCAACTGCCTTGGCTAGTAGTGTCTTTCCAGTACCTATACAATCATAATACAAGATCATTATAGGCTAACTGGTTAAGTTTGCACTACTGGATCATAGTACAGTAAAATGTGTCTGTGGCAACTGCCTTGGCTAGTAGTGTCTTTCCAGTACCTATACAATCATAATACAAGATCATTATAGGCTTACTGGTTAAGTTTGCAATACTGGATTATAGTACAGTGAAATGTGTCTGTGGCAACTGCCTTGGCTAGTAGTGTCTTTCCAGTACCTATACAATCATAATACAAGATCATTATAGGCTTACTGGTTAAGTTTGCAATACTGGATTATAGTACAGTGAAATGTGTCTGTGGCAACTGCCTTGGCTAGTAGTGTCTTTCCAGTACCTATACAATCATAATACAAGATCATTATAGGCTTACTGGTTAAGTTTGCAATACTGGATTATAGTACAGTGAAATGTGTCTGTGGCAACTGCCTTGGCTAGTAGTGTCTTTCCAGTACCTATACAATCATAATACAAGATCATTATAGGCTTACTGGTTAAGTTTGCAATACTGGATTATAGTACAGTGAAATGTGTCTGTGGCAACTGCCTTGGCTAGTAGTGTCTTTCCAGTACCTATACAATCATAATACAAGATCATTATAGGCTTACTGGTTAAGTTTGCAATACTGGATTATAGTACAGTGAAATGTGTCTGTGGCAACTGCCTTGGCTAGTAGTGTCTTTCCAGTACCTATACAATCATAATACAAGATCATTAAAGGCTTACTGGTTAAGTTTGCACTACTGGATTATAGTACAGTAAAACGTGTCTGTGGCAACTGCCTTGGCTAGTAGTGTCTTTCCAGTACCTATACAATCATAATACAAGATCATTATAGGCTTACTGGTTAAGTTTGCACTACTGGATTATAGTACAGTAAAACGTGTCTGTGGCAACTGCCTTGGCTAGTAGTGTCTTTCCAGTACCTATACAATCATAATACAAGATCATTAAAGGCTTACTGGTTAAGTTTGCAATACTGGATTATAGTACAGTGAAATGTGTCTGTGGCAACTGCCTTGGCTAGTAGTGTCTTTCCAGTACCTATACAATCATAATACAAGATCATTATAGGCTTACTGGTTAAGTTTGCACTACTGGATTATAGTACAGTGAAATGTGTCTGTGGCAACTGCCTTGGCTAGTAGTGTCTTTCCAGTACCTATACAATCATAATACAAGATCATTATAGGCTTACTGGTTAAGTTTGCACTACTGGATTATAGTACAGTGAAATGTGTCTGTGGCAACTGCCTTGGCTAGTAGTGTCTTTCCAGTACCTATACAATCATAATACAAGATCATTATAGGCTTACTGGTTAAGTTTGCACTACTGGATTATAGTACAGTGAAATGTGTCTGTGGCAACTGCCTTGGCTAGTAGTGTCTTTCCAGTACCTTTACAATCATAATACAAGATCATTATAGGCTTACTGGTTAAGTTTGTACTACTGGATTATAGTACAGTAAAACGTGTCTGTGGCAACTGCCTTGGCTAGTAGTGTCTTTCCAGTACCTATACAATCATAATACAAGATCATTATAGGCTTACTGGTTAAGTTTGCAATACTGGATTATAGTACAGTGAAATGTGTCTGTGGCAACTGCCTTGGCTAGTAGTGTCTTTCCAGTACCTATACAATCATAATACAAGATCATTAAAGGCTTACTGGTTAAGTTTGTACTGCTGGATTATAGTACAGTAAAACGTGTCTGTGGCAACTGCCTTGGCTAGTAGTGTCTTTCCAGTACCTATACAATCATAATACAAGATCATTAAAGGCTTACTGGTTAAGTTTGTACTACTGGATTATAGTACAGTAAAACGTGTCTGTGGCAACTGCCTTGGCTAGTAGTGTCTTTCCAGTACCTATACAATCATAATACAAGATCATTATAGGCTTACTGGTTAAGTTTGCACTACTGGATTATAGTACAGTGAAATGTGTCTGTGGCAACTGCCTTGGCTAGTAGTGTCTTTCCAGTACCTATACAATCATAATACAAGATCATTATAGGCTTACTGGTTAAGTTTGCAATACTGTATTATAGTACAGTAAAATGTGTTAAGGGAACGGCTTTCAGTAAGGAACACCTCTCTACAAGGAACAGTTTCAAAAGAACCAAGTATTTTTTCATTGACTTACATGTACCTCTTTCTTCACATCATAGGCTTGGAAAATATGTTTTATGAAGAAATTATAATTTCATTTTTCATCACCCAGTTGTCAAGTCCAGTAGAATAAAATGATTTTGAATAAACAGGAATCCAAGAGCTGTTTGTAATAACTACATTTAAGCCATGACTTAAAACAAATTGTCCCCATTATACAGTAAAACCTGAGTATATGGCACACCCTTGGAACAGCACAAAAACATGTTTCACTTAAAGAGGTGTCCTGTATTCATACCTGGTGGTCCATAAAGAAGCAATCCCTTCCATGGAGAAAGTATCCCTGTGAATAACTGTGGGTACTGAAATAAAACATAAAATTCATTCATCATTTTGCCTGTGTAAGTGTCTGTGTTAAAACATAAAATAACCTGTTGAAATTGGATTAGACTTTTACATTCAAGGTGCTGGGAGTCAATTTGTCTCTTTTCATTAATTAAAAACAAACAAGGCATCAACATGCAAAATGTCACTACCTGCCATTTGTTACAGATGCAAAACAGTGAACACCAACCACTGAACACCGTCCACAAAAAAGTTGGAAACGATAACAATAACACTTATGGTGGTGAGTGGTGACATAAAAACTGAAGTTACACTTAACTATTATTACAACTCATGAAATAAATGCATCCTTTAGCATATTTACTAGGATATCTTACCTTAATTGGATAGACCACTGCTTCCTTTGCTAAACGTTTAGCATTGTCCAACCCTATAATATCATCCCAATGAACATTTGTATTGCTACTGTATATGTCCTGAAAAGAGAGTGTTTTTACTTACAAGAAACCCGAATCTTTAAAACAGTATAAATTTCTACAGTATATCGTTCTTACATATACAATGCTCAAGAGATAGTGCCATATTTTTGCATATGTCTAACACATTGTGATATTGTATAATTTCTACAAAGTGGGGAAGAATTAATTTAATTTGTCCAATACTCAGTTTATATTTTTCTCTCAAGCTTGAGAGATGAAGGTATATCTCATGTGTGCTATATCTATTTTTTCATTAATATGAGATAATTCATATAATAAATATAGGGACATAACCCAAGACATAACCCTCACATATAATGAATATAGGGCTTATCCTTCCCATGATATAACCCTCACATATCCTACTCACCCTACTGATAACTTGTGCAAGATCTCGCCATTCTTGAGTATACCCCGCATAATTGCCCAAAGGTCGCTGGAGTTTATCCTAAAAAATTTTTAAACAGAACATTTAGGCAAAGTTGGTCTACTTTTGTATTGCATGACAGTTGAACAATACTGAATGACAAGGGGTTCACACTACATAACAAGGGGAGGGATATACTGTATGATAAGGGCCAGTGGGCCATACTGAATGATAAGGTCTAAGTCATTTATTTGATAATTGGCAAAACTGGGTACATTAGGATGTTAGTATTTTACTTTCACTGTTTATGTAACAAAAGAGGTGTTACCATTCCAGTTGTATCCTGGGAACCTTCCTCCACATTCATCTTTGTTGCATCATTGATCATCGAACGGAAGTCAATAATTTGACCAGGCTGCAATAAAAGTCCAACAAAATGCAATTTAATCAATTTTTTGCGCAAAACATATTAAGGTTGCCCCATCTTATAATCTGTAGTGCAACTGTCTTGTTTATATTCCAAAACCAAAAATAGTACATGTATTCGACGAGAATAATCATGTTTTTTGCTTGATTGTAATAACAAATGACCAGGTGAATGATTTAAAGTTTATGAATATTCACTATGGGCTGTTCAAGTTAAGAGGTTATTTGAAATCTTTTGTACATAGTTTTCAGAATCAATGTTTCTATACAGGAATTAATTACTCACTCTGGCATTCTTACGTGGATCAGGCACAGGTTTTTCATCGTGAGAGTTGCTGCTTGTCCCCTGCACACAAAGTCCCTGTAAGCCTCCTCCCCCTGGAGGCTCATCTCCATTACTGACAGGCATGCTCTAAATACAATAAATTATAATCTTATCTTATTGATTAATCGATATCTCTACTCCACCAGTAGCACCCCACCAGTATTCATATTACCCTGGCCTTACATTTGAAAAAAATGTACAGCACATGTATATTTAAATTAGATGCAAAATATGCCTGTTATTTATAACAAAATGTTGATTTCTCTATATTAGTTTTCTGCCTAATTTTAAGGTACTTCCCACACCTAACTATATAGGCTTGACATTACATTACCAAATAACTCAACTCGACACAAACATATTCCCAACATTTCATTTAACATACCATTCTACACTATAGAACACAGAACAACTTATGATCTCTTGTTTACATTGCATAATGTATTTTAGATGAATTATAATCTTTGCAAAAAATAAATATTTCTTATGCTTTTGTGTCTGACTAATAAATACATTACTGTACTGCAAAACAATACTTATTTTTCATGCTTGGAAATAATGTGCTTGTATGAGAAAATGTTTATCAAGCAAAATGCATACACAAGACATAACAGGGTGTTGAATATATACGTAGAAGGCATGCATAAATAAAATTACTGTATGTAATTTTCTCTTTTCATTAAGAATATTGTTTCCAAAGTAGGTAAGTGCAAATTTCTCAGGTCAAAATAAGTGTATGCCGCTTTTCATGATATCTGTTTTAAGTAAATGCAGATAGCTTTCAGGTGAGAGTAGGCTTATATTTGAATTCTCAAGTGGGTACATGTGGGTTTATAGGTGAGTGTAAGCTTATATTTGAATTCTCAAGTGGGTACAGATGGGTTTATAGGTGAGTGTAAGCTTATATTTGAATTCTCAAGTGGGTACAGATGGGTTTATAGGTGAGTGTAAGCTTATATTTGAATTCTCAAGTGGGTACAGATGGGTTTATAGGTGAGTGTAAGCTTATATTTGAAATCTCAAGTGGGTACAGATGGGTTTTCAGGTGAGTGTTAGCTTATATTTGAAATCTCAAGTGGGTTCAGATGGGTTTTCAGGTGAGTGTAAGCTTATATTTGAAATCTCAAGTGGGTACAGATGAGTTTTCAGGTGAACATAAGCTTATATTCAACATCTCAAGTGGGTACACTAGATGAATTCTCAGGTGAGTGTAAGCTTATCCTCAAATCTCAAGTAGGTACAGATGGGTTTTCAGGTGAGTGTAAGCTTATATTTGAAATCTCAAGTGGGTACAGATGAGTTTTCAGGTGAACATAAGCTTATATTCAACATCTCAAGTGGGTACACTAGACGAATTTTCAGGTGAGTGTAAGCTTATCCTCAAATCTCAATTGGGTACAGATGGGTTTATAGGTGAGTGTAAGCTTATATTTGAAATCTCAAGTGGGTACAGATGGGTTTATAGGTGAGTGTAAGCTTATATTTGAAATCTCAAGTGGGTACAGATGGGTTTATAGGTGAGTGTAAGCTTATATTTGAAATCTCAAGAGGGTACAGATGAGTTTATAGGTGAGTGTAAGCTTATATTTGAAATCTCAAGTGGGTACAGATGGGTTTATAGGTGAGTGTAAGCTTATATTTGAAATCTCAATTAATTGGATGAGTGGCTTCATGTCAAAAATGCTGAGAAATCATTGAACAATGAGCTATTAAGGGTGCATAGTGCACATCTTAAGTTGAAGGATGCATCTTCATATCTCATACAGTACATTGTCCTTATTTCTATAAACATAAAATGCTTTTTAATAAATAATCCTACTGTGCATTATTTCCTAATGATTTTGTAACAATTATAGAGTGTGAAATTGATGAAATGACAAAGTATATGTACCAAACATAATTATTAATGATAAATGACAAAAGCGACAGTGAATCTTACCATAGACCTGTTTGCCACCCATGCCTAATGCACAATAATTTACAATTTAGGCAAGTTCAAAATAGAATACAAAAAATAAATATATGGAATATTTCAACATGCAATTCTTTGTAATAATCACCAAAAAGTTTCAATAGTAAATCAATTTAGTAAGGAAATCCTTCATTAGTGGCAAAAACAATACCACCAAATAAATTTATTTTGGGACTTTTTTTTGTACATTCCTATATAGTTCTTGAAATGAAAGCAGTCATTTCCCACTCCTTCTTTCTAAATTTTTTGAAAAATATTGGTCCAGAAATTAAAAGAGACATCAGGATTTTTTCAAATGCACAAACCTGTTTTCCATTTTTACTTGCACTGGCATTACTCTGATTTGATGTTCTTCTATTAATTCCTGACTTAGGACGTGTCAATCCAGGTGACGGCCCATTCTCTTGGGGTTTCTGGGGAATTTTGGGTAAAGCCGGGGTCCCATTGGTCTTAGTATTACTAAAATTATAATATAGGGTTAAAGTTATAAAAATAGATGTCAATATCATATCATTTCTATTATATATTATTATATGCATATGTATATTATATCATTTATATTATTTACAGTAAAACATGTCAAATGGAACACCTTAAAAGTGAACAGTTTTTTAACTCCCAAGGCCTCTTGATGAACATCTATAAGATGAGAAAATACATATACATACTTCAAGTTTTACAGGTACACTATACTGTACATCTTGTATTTTCTTTAAAAATCAATTCTAACTCTTATAAATAAATAAGCATACACACAAGCAATAAAACCAAACAATGAACTTTTCCACCAGTATGGAATAGATTATTTTCCAGCCATAATTACATTTATGATTGGTCTCATAATTAAAGACCAACTCAACAGTGGGTAGTCTTGCTTCAATCCCCTGTGCCCCTTCCCCTACACACATCACTTTGAATTTGTGAAGTATTTGGGGACGAGGTACTGAGGCTAGACTTTGAACAATGTACTACATACATGTCAACTATACTATAGGCAGTATATAAAATGTGTATACCGAGACTTGCACATACAGTGGTACAACAAATTTTCAATTCCAAACTGGTGTGATAACAAACAGCTTAGTATATAACCTAAGTTGATGATTTTGAGTAACTATGACAACATATACTCAGACAAATAGAGATCTCCTTCATTTATAGATGGCAATAGTGGCAAACTGCTACTCTTGCTAAAACAGACAATTAATTGATTATAATTAATCATATTCATCCTTTTTCATTATTCACCAATATTGAATGAAATAAAAGCTGCAAATTATACTTACTTTTTTACAATTTTATTATTTCTTGGTGGCATTTTCCTCTCATCACCTGAAAAATATTTTTAAAAACTGATCAGAATCTAATTTTGTTTTTACATGGCATTAACATGCAAAATGTCACCACCCACCATTTGTTACAGATACCAACTTCTGAATGCTGACCACTGGATGCGGAACCATGTCTACAAAAAAGTTGGAGATTATGAGAATATGTCACCATGTACTTGTGGTGGTGACATAATAAAGCTGATTAAACTTTGGTTTTAATTAAAGTTTGGCTTCCTTGAGGGGGATCAGGGCTCTCACCAGGAAATATTTAGGGTGTGGTGCTAACATCTTCAGAATAACCGTTCAATCGTGATAAATCATATTTATGTTATGTTTTATCCTTTTTACATGCTATTATTGTATATTCAGTCAAGTTTAGACTGTGGAAACAGTCATGATTTGCCAATAGGGTGTGGAGGAAGCTAAATAGAGTGTGGTGCTGCGCCACAGTCTAAAAGCCTGGCGAGAGCCCTGGGGATTGTAACTGGTATGATGTTGCCATATAGAGGGGCTGTTTAGGTCAACAGCATTGATTTTATCACAAAAGAGTTGCTCACAGGGGCATGTTCCAGAGAATGATAAAATCTTGATCTTGAGTGTCACAATACACCAACATTGTCTAAACAGAGACATATAATTTGTTTTCATTGGACAATATGCTCCAGGCAATGCCTTCAGAGTTCAGAAAGATATTTATCAACCTACCACTTTGTGTCAACTTCTTGGTCACTTTTGGGTATTTAGAGAATTTTATGTAATAGTAGGACTCATACTCCATTAGAACAGTTTCTAAATCAATATTGTCACAAACTTCAAAGCGCCTCATGTCTAAGTTCGTCTCTTTGGATAAGGCATTGGAGGCTTCTAGATACCTGTAATAAAAAGTTAGATTATAATTTTTCAGTAAAGAGCAGTTTATTCACCATAACATGAAGATCATTGTCATCAACTATCTCAAACCAATTATCTAAATGATACTTCTTCTACTGATAACGAGCTAGTTTAATCAAAGGCAAAGGCCGATAGAAATAATTTTAAAATAAAGATGGCATGGTAATCGATCTGTGTTTAGAGAAAAAGATAATGCTGGATTCTGGTGGTGCTGCCATCTTTATATTGGCCCAGAACCTATGAGTTTAATTGATGAAACTTTATTTAACAACTGTTCGCATTGTGACTTTGCATCAGGACTTAATTGATGCCTAAATGTACAAACTTGAAGACTCAATATACTCAATGTAAAAAAAAGTTTGCTATTCTACACAAAGAAGAAAATAAAGTTTTGGAAAAGAGTTAACCTACCCCTCTTCTGTAAGATAATGTAGTACTAAGATGAGAAGATTCTTCTTCCTGGATTCACTACGTAACTCATCCTAAAAACATGTAAATTTGTAACGTTACTTTGGAAACAACAAAATACAGCAATTAATTTTTAAAGGTAAATCCTTTTTAGGAGAAAAATGGAGGCATATGCATACTTATACAGTATCACCCAAAGATCCCCAATGGAATTCATTCCAATCCATTCGGGGAGTATTTCCGAAGTTGATGGCGGACAATTTGAAACATTATTGACTCACTTAACTAAACTAAAATGAATGCCAAAAAAAAAAGATTGAGATTGCAGAAAATTTTGTCCTCTTGAAAGCCCATGGTCTATGTTTGAGAGAATCAAAGAACATGGCAAAATTAATGAGTGTTAGAAACTATTGCTATATAGCCTGAGTGCTGAAAAATTATTGGCTTTTGAAATAGGGATCACTCGGTCCTTAGAATTGAGCATGACAATGCCAATATTTGTGAAGCTATATCTCTGAAGTGAGATGGATGCCAATTGCCCACTCTCAAGAAATTTCTTGTAAAAATCATGGGCTTTCAACACCTCTTGAAAGCCCATATAAAAATATAATAACTAGAATATGGGCACAATTCAAATCAATTGTACTGAAGTAAAATAAAAGAGTAATGAATAAATCGTTGAAATATTTGTGTCTATGCCTAGGTTAGGGGGGGGGGTCAATACAGTGATATCTGTCAAAAAACATAATCAATTAGGGGGAGGGGGTAAAAAGCTATTTAATTAGGTGACGGATTCGATTTTCAGTTTTCCGGGGTTTCATCTTTTGCAATTTCTGCATTCACTTTTCGTCAAGTGAACATAAATCCTAGCATTTTCACAATGGTGTCGCCAATTAAAAAGCGAAAGGTCCAACTGAATCTGTTTGGAAACATAGGTAACAACATTTGCATTCATAAAATAAATCATAAGCATTATAATTAGAGCTCTGATTATTTGTCGGAATCGTCGATTGGCGATCGAAATGTCACTTCGACATCGACATAAGCGTCCAAGGTTGACATAGAACGACATAGAAATAATACGATGATAAACAAAGAACATACCTTAATTTCCCAACAAACTTTTATCACTCTTGTTGAGATAATGGTTGCATAATCTAACAGAATTCACAGCGAATTTAAATATTGTGTTTTTCCCCCATTTTATTTCTATATTCTCGATTCACATCTTGTCTCGTTTTTGATTTCGACAAGTCGTCTGTAGGGGCCTCTGATCGGAACGGTAAGTCATTTTATTCATTTTCGTTGATATTCTTACAAAGTTTTAACTAGAATTACAATCCGTGTTAAAGATTACTCCCCAGAGATATTTTATTTCGAAACTTCAAACACAACTAAGGCCTTAATACTGCCATTCGAAGTGCTGCAATGGGACGAGCCGGATCCACCGTAAGTGTAAGTAGCAGAACAATAACAATGGAGGTTCGTATTCAAAGTTTGTTTATTTACTTCTCGATCTCTAACATACATACGTATATGCATATTAATCTATAATATCAATATACAGTACATGCAAGGGGTCGGAATAGACAATGTATGCTCAATTTTTACCGGAAGTAAAATCTAAGTTAACTATTTTTGATTTTTTCCTTTGCCGATTTTTTGTGGAGATTTAATTCCGACAGTCGATACTGTCGTCGACCTTGGGCTTCGACATCAGATTCCATTTCGACCAGAGCTCTGATTATAATTTATAACTACGAAAGATGTGTACACACATATTTGACTAAATATTTTTCCATCTAAAATGTCACTCGACTTTTTGGCAATTAAAAGTCCCTGCCTGCATTTAGTAGTCATATATTGTCATGTGCATAATTTTGAAACCATATCCTAATTATTTCACAAACCCTTTGTTGATTCTGCCATAGTTTCCAATTTGTAAACAGCATTTAGCCTTTTTAATTGGGAACTTTTTTGTAATTTCTAAGATGGCTGCCATGTGATTTCAGAATTAACATGAGTGTGACGTGACATCACAGTTGCTCGTTCCTAGGTAACAACAAGATCACAATTGCTCGTTTCTAGATAGCAACAATATTTTTGATAAAATGGCACAGAATTACCCTGATTAACACCCTTAAAATCCGATTTTCAAAGAATATATTTGGAGAAACAATAAAAGGTAAGTGGAATAAATTAGAAGATGGTTTCAAGTTACCACAGAAGTCAATTTGAAACTCAAGAATGATTTCTTTGACTCATAATCACAAAAAAGTCGAGTGACATTTTAGATGGAGAATTTCTTAGGTTGGATGATACAAAAATTGTTACTGGACGAATAAAGTGGAAATTTCAGAAGGGGGAGGGGGGGGGGGGCAAGACCTAACTAAATTAATTACGTTTTTTGACGGACATCGATGTTTTGACCCCTCCCCTTAGGCACACGTGCTCCCTAGGCAATAACCACCTGTGCCCTTAGGCCTTGCTTTTCTCAAAAAATCTAAGAAAAATTTAAAAATCAAGAAATTAGAAAAATCTAAAGTTTATCATATTTCAGTCCAAATCTGGCGAAAAATCGACATTAAATGTTGTAGAAATATGCATGGATATTCATTTAATGTCAAGTCAGTATACTTACTGCTTCTCGAGACTGATGAGCAGTCCTAATTGCTTGATAACTTAACTCTGCCATAATTTGTTTGGCCGCGACTATGGAGAATCTATCCCACGATGCAACACTCTTGGAGCTCTTCTTCCGGGAGGCGCAAAATCCAAGATGTCAGCTGGTGCTGCGAGAATTATTCAGGTATATTTTACTGTTTTGTGTCTTAATGATACCGTTTTAGCTATAAAACGCGTGTTTTCTTAGTGAACCGATATCTTCCAAACAATATAAAGCAATAGGAATGCAAGTCAAAGTTTAATTTCATGTAATATTTGGATCTAAACTTACAAAAAATTTACAACATATATACCCGGAAGTAACCTTGAAACCAATTACATTTTTTCGAGGTCTCCTCTGGCAAAACTGCCCTAATTCACGTCACCATACTAGTCAATGGGCAAAAGGTCAAACGCCTGACTTTTTATCTCGAGTTATGGATTTATGTGGCCTCACTGGCCTATCTGAGGTTCTAAAGCTATGTCTAAGCTACATCTTGACACTAAACTCAATAGGGGCCAATCATCTACTTTTTGAAATAATTGGTCAATTGTGACACTACCCCCTCTCTCTGCAGACACAAATTGAAATTCACAAAAATGAAGGCAAAATTAATACGCCACTTGACTCGAAATTTTCCTTCAGATAACCCAAATAAACGCATTTTCAGAAGAAATGGCATGTTGTCATTGCAAAAAGATTACAACTGCGCCTACATACTAGCTTACTGACTCGTCATGATCACAATTGTGTTGGGACTACATTTATTTTTGAATACTACTTTTTTCTATTCAGCGGAAGTGACGTAATAGGGCATTTTGGCCTAATAGCCACATGGTTGGATGATTTCTGGCTTTAAATTGCGTTTTTCCAATTTACTAGAGTTTTTCAAGTAGTTTTGTGCAGTTTAAGAATATTCTGACAGCAATTATGAAAAATATGGCTACTTCATTACCCCTGGGGTCATTTTTCCAAGAACCCAATGGTTTTCCTTTAAATTTGACTAGTTTTTCATTCACATCATGAAATCCACTGCCTGATGGTGACATTTTTCATTATCGTGTCAAGAAATTGAGTATTTTATTGCATATTGCGATTTTTAGCCAAAATCACTGAACCGTGAACCAGAAAATTGGACAAATTTGGCCCACTTTTTGGCAAAATCTTACTGAAATCATCACTTTTTCATACTTTATTCCATTCAACAACCTCCTGATTTGAAAAATGATGACAAATTTGATCAGTTTTGACTCTGGCCTAGAGAATTGGGACTTTTGAGATATTTTTTAGCTCGAATGTAGTCATTCAGAGTGAACAAATACATCAAAAATTGACACCTAACTCACCAATTTCTGACTGCACCCCCGATATGTACCTTCTTTCTATACTGGAAACCATAAGATGGAAAATTCAATCTTTATTATGAATAGCAACTCGTTGGCTTCCCCATTTACGACAACAAATGACATTTGGGGGTCACTAAGGACAAAATTGTAGCCAAATATCGTCAAAATCAGTGATTTTGGGGGTAAAAAGCGAAAACTGCTGATTCAGCAAAAACATTAAATTTGTTCATGAAAATTCCCCTTTTTGCCTCCGTCCAAAATATGTTTCACACTAATAAACTTCAATTCTGGGCGATTCTGAGTAGTTTTTAAAAATTTTGGTCACTTTCACATGTGACTAATAGGCAAAACTGCCCTAATTCACGTCACCATACTAGTCAATGGGCAAAAGGTCAAACGCCTGACTTTTTATCTCGAGTTATGGATTTATGTGGCCTCACTGGCCTATCTGAGGTTCTAAAGCTATGTCTAAGCTACATCTTGACACTAAACTCAATAGGGGCCAATCATCTACTTTTTGAAATAATTGGTCAATTGTGACACTACCCCCTCTCTCTGCAGACACAAATTGAAATTCACAAAAATGAAGGCAAAATTAATACGCCACTTGACTCGAAATTTTCCTTCAGATAACCCAAATAAACGCATTTTCAGAAGAAATGGCATGTTGTCATTGCAAAAAGATTACAACTGCGCCTACATACTAGCTTACTGACTCGTCATGATCACAATTGTGTTGGGACTACATTAATTTTTGAATACTACTTTTTTCTATTCAGCGGAAGTGACGTATTAGGGCATTTTGGCCTCTGCCGAAGGCAGCGCAAAGTAGGAGCGTAGCGACTACTTTGCGGGAGACCTCGAACCATTGATCACGCTTGCTCCTGTAATTATTCACTTCTTCACCTCTTTAAAATGTGATTTCAATCAGTTGATCAAATTTTCGGACTTTGACCTCAAATTCAATTATTAATATTTATAAGAAAAAATACTGACTCATTATTATATTTTTAAAAGTCTTTCAAATAAAGTGAAATGAAGCCAAAATCAGCTAAAATTATGCAATGTCGTAAAATGGCGTTACTGGAATATGATGCAATCACCTGTGACGTCAGACACGTATTGCCACATCAACAACTAAACAAACAATTAATATAGACTTCACTGATTGGTTTAAAGATTCTTCGCATCATTTGTGACGTCATAAACATGTTACCCAACCAACAACTAAACAAATAACAAATAGGCATATAGGTTCGTTCAGTGCCACGCTCTTGAATCAGTTATAAACAGGATAATCAACAGATATATGATAGGGTCAGGAATTTTTTTGACTTGGAGACCTCGACTCGAGGAGTTTGCTGCATTTTCTTGTTTACACACTATCAAAATATTCTCAGTTAACAATTTAAATATAAATAATGTAGACTATATCCTCTAGCCTGAACTTATCACGCCTGGTACGGGATAAGCCTGAACTTTTTTTGAAATTTGGAATGAAAATATTCAGACTATAGCCTCCATATGTTGAAATCTTGGATTGGATTATATTTGTTTACATAGGAAGTGCCATTCAAAATGGCAGATTGGGTAAATTAATTTGCATATTTGTTACTTCTCCTAGCTTTATTTCCATTTGACAATATGCTATGTTACTTTTTGTAGCATTTAATTGTACCTTACTACTTAATTGAACTGTTACTATGTTGATTTTTGGGAAGTTGAGCTTTCTAGAATTGATAATTTTGTGCAGAAAATTTCCTGTTTTCCCCACACGAGGAACATGATGATATGTAGACTGAATTTTCAAGATTCAGTCTATTAGATATCGACTAATAAATGATGGCTTAGATAATGTTACTGTTAGCTACGTGTCTCAATTTTAAATGTACTAACAAATAAAATCCCAAATTTTACAATATTTATTTGTCATTGAATTTGAATGTGACGATTGCATTTTACTGACTCACTGATGATCTGCTCGATTATGCTGGTTACTGAACGGTTTATTTCGGTAACAAAATGTCGGTACCTCGAAAGTTTTAATTTGCATAGTCAAATATTTTCTGCTGTTTTAATTACTCAGATGCGAGTAGGTAGTTACCAGTTTCGCCACCAGGTGGCTGATTCGGGGGAATTAACATGGCGGGGTATTACAAAATTCCCTTAAACTTGAATATGCATCAGTTTTAGTGGTTCACTTTTCATATTACCCTTATGCATCTGATAGTTATAAAAATTAAAATATGTCCAGTAAAAGAAAATACAATCTGCCCAACACAAGAAAAGATATTTCACTTTTTGTGGTTTTACAACATGGGGTCTATGGGGAATCTCCCCGACCTAGAAGTCACATTTTCAAAGAAAATTAAATTTTCAAAGTTGATAAACTCTTTTCAAAACCACATTTCTAAATGTAATTTTACATGTAGATTCCAAATATGGCATTAGTTTGACTGAATTTTTAGTTTTTAATGACGTAAATTAAGATTATTTCTACTCGCATCTGGGATATTGGATCTGCATAAAAATAACATGTTATTTTACTATGTTAATTTTTGTATTGATTGGGGGAGGATTGATAACTGATTTGTGGTTCAACCAATTTGTATCTGGACATATTATAATCAGCTTAATCATTGACAAGATCTGTCTTTCAACTTGCATCCATGTATAGTAGTGTCTATTCCAGTTTATCCAAGATGATTATCAAAAATTTGAGGAGGTTGACTTTCAATATATTGTTTATTTTTAGGTTGTAAAACCTCATATACCACTGATCAGATTTCCCAAACATGCTGTGGAAACACTAGGTAAGTATTGGGTGAGAGGGGGGCATTATCTGTTAAAATAAATTGTGAAATTATTCTCAAGCAAAGTATTTCTTCTAAACCTTTAGGGTGACTTAGTAACATTTATGTTTATTCCTTTTTTCAAACTAGTCTGGATGTAGCAATTCGAACACAGAATATTTAATTGAAATTATATGTAAATAGATGAGACAGTAATTGTCATACTCATATATGACATTCTTTAAATCAGCAGCAGCTTATAATAGAGGTTATCCAAACATAACCCATCATGAATTCTAAACTTTGATTACATATACTGGACTGTCTATTAGGCCATCTATTGACAACATACTGGGTGAAATAACTGTCTTATAGCTATTTTGAACAGAATTGAATTGATCTTAAATACTGTATATGTATCCATTCTGAAAAATATTCTAGGATGGAAACAACAGTGTCACAATATAGGGACAGCAAATATTGGCATTTCAAAACCGTTACTTTTGAAATGCCAATATTTTCTGTCCCTAAATCATGACACATATTGAATGTTAGCTTCTTTTTTACTTTATCTTCTATTGTTTTGTATTCAGGAACTCAGTTGCCTTTTCCCCCTGTCAATGAAGCATCAAGTGCCCCAGAAGTGAAACCTAGCAAGATGTCTCCTGGGGTTGCCATAGAAGACAAAGATCTCCCCATGAAGTATAGGCGGAAACTGATAGACGATATAGAAATAGAATATATAAATGTAAGTGAATTTGCAAACCAATGCACTGAATGTCAACAAAAGAAAAATACTGAATTAACTCAACCCCTAAAAACCATATTAATTTATTTAACAAAATAAACCTATGGCCATGTAAGTTGACAGTGAACAAATAATAATTTTGGACAAATGATGCAGTTTTACAAGGGTAAAATCAAATTAGAAATATTACCCAATGTGAGAAATCCCATCATATTATAATCGACTATATTTATGATCCTTGCTAGATTCACTAAGCAGGGAGTTATTTTAACTTGTGGAATAATAAGAGGAATACAGCATGTAGCATGTAAGGCACCTTTGTCAGTATATATTCTATTTCTACAAAATTGCTGTAGCTTAACGTTGCTGCCTTAGTAAATCCTCATTATGTCTCTGTGCATTTAAAGCCTAGTGTTGACTAGAGGTGTGCACTGATGGGAAATCACTTAATCGATCAACAAAATGTTTTAATCGGTCAATCATCGATTAATCGATTCTAACAAAAATGATTGCAGTGTTCTCCCCAAAAATTTCAACTTGGTGCAATTTTTCAAGTCTTAAAAAAATTGGCACCAGCTACACCCATGCTATCTCCAGGTGGCTGCTTACTTCACTCATTTTTCAAATCAGAAGATTAAGTGCATTGTGCCAAGTGGGTGGCTTTTGGTTTCAAGTAGGCCTCCCCCCGGTAAATGTGACCATGGGAGATCATTTCTTGACCATTTCTAAACTAAATAAAATCAGGACAATTACATTCAAATACACCAACATTCACCTAGGATTTGATTGCATACCTCTATTGAATAAACCAATAATATTTATCAGTAAAACACAAAAAACAACAAAGATAAGCATCGGGTAATTAGTTTGTTTGGCAGTTTGAGTTTTAAGCCTGGCACGTCAACCTGACAAGTCAGGTCTCAATCAGTCAGTGGCGTCACGTAAGCTTACTCACGATGGGCTATTGAAGATTAGCTTTTTGAGAATCAGTTAATTGAGTATTAAGAATCTTATTTGATCATACATGTGTCAACCAATTAATCGATGATCGATTAATAATTCACACCTCTAGTGTTGACTCATGAGTCAGTATAGTAAAAATCAAAACATTTATTTAATCCTTATGTATTTTATTTCAGAGAGGGGGACCTGAGTAGGATACTTAAAGAGACTGTATATATAGATAGGAGGATAAAGGATTGTTAAATAATTATTTATTTATTGTTGAGACATATTCATTCTGCATCAGTAATCAGACACTACATTTCATTGCAATATTAAATAGGATTTTAATTGAAAAAATGACTGAATTCAAGGAACAAAAATCAGACAGGATTTGGACATTTTGTAACACATATATGTGTGTATATCCATTATATATTTGCTTCAATCAGTCTTAACTAATTACCTTAGAATTGTCTGATAAGTTATACAATAAAGGAACTAAGTACATGTAATATAAAAATGTTGAAAAATATTTATAATTAACTTGATGGCATGGAATGATTACAATAATCACATTGGAAATATAATGTATTAGATGTAATACTATCATTTTAATTTTCTGATAACAAGTAATATACATTATATCATCAATGTTTTTAGTGAGATTATAATGTAACTGTAGAGAAGATTTTATATTGCAATAAATGTTTTTATTATTATGAATCATAATACGCTGTACATTTTTATAATCTTTGTTAGTTCACTTACAGTAAAACCAGTCAAAGGTAAACATGAATAGACTGCGAAAAAAACGTTCACATAAGAACATTCTGATGACACAGGAGTCAGAGAGATATTCATAGATTATGAGAATTAAAGTGTTCATATTTTGAGGTCTTCACTTGAGTGACATATTCAGAGACATTTCAAAGGTAAACATGAATAGACTGGGGGAAAAGTGTTAACAATACATTCTGTCAAAGATATTCATAGAATATGAGAATTAAAGTGTTCATATTTTGAGGTCTTCACTTGAGGAACATATTCAGAGACATTTCATTTTTTGAGGTTCTTACTTGAGAGGTGTTCAGAGGCATGTTTTACTGTATATGAAATGTTAATATGGTATTTATTAGGGATACAGACCAGACTAGGATTACATGTATATTTCATTTTTTGATATATCACTAATGATTTTCATTACAGGACAAGTCAGATTTTCATTGGAAGTGACTTTATACACTTCATATTCTGTATAATGAAATAATCATGAAACAGTTTAAGCCTTTTACCATTTTAGGCTTACTATTTTTTGCCAGTCCCTTATACATGTTATATATTTTCATGAAGTTGTGGCTAATTATGTTTTTGAGCCCAGTCGCACTGCTGTATTGTTTAATCTTTATTTTATGAATAAATGAAAAATATAAGTCATCAAACAGAATTAAACCCCAACAAACCATTTCAAAATAACATTTTGACACTTGATCCTGTCATTGTACATGTATCCTTATCATCTGATCATTTTAGTACTTTTTGGAGAGTCGGAGTTGTATGTTGATGCTTTAAAGCAGTGCCTGAATAACTGCACAAGTACACAAGTAATATAAAGCTGTGATTTTGCAACAGATCTATTGGCATTTTCAATGCAAACAATTTAAAACATTTTGTTATTTAGACATACTTTTATTGAACTTTCCTTTCATCCTATCTAAGTTCACAACGTGAATTGTTATCATGCAATTGATGCCTTTGAAATAGCACTCTTTCCCCTATTCCTCTTTGAATTCCACAAATTAGGGAACAAATGAGATTTCACATATGCTTGATAGATTTGATCATTTAAAATAATTAGAAATATTAATCCCAGGTCATTAATCTAAATTTACCCGAGCGCCATGGTAAATATTCTGTCAAAGATCAGATTTCCAGAACAGATTTTCTCTCATTTTTATTATATCGCTGCATGTTTTTAATCATAATAGAATATGTTAAACCTGTCCAGTATTGGTCCATTGGGACATGACCAAATATTAAAGGGCCCATTATTTTAATCAACTACTTCAGTATCCACCTAGTTAATACTACATAAAGTGAATGAATAATGATGCCCTTTGTTTATATCTACACGAATTACTGTCTGTATAATGAGTCCTAGAGGACCCACTAGCCAGTAATCGGGAGCAAAAACATATTATTTCAATTTCAGCTTTCACCTCATCTCCACAACGAGTATTAACGATACATGATAGTTCCATCAGAAGCAGAGCATTTTGCATTCTGTAATAAGGTACTAAGTAGATGCTTGTACCTTTAAACCAACCGAATTAAACAAATTAATAGCACCGAAGCTTTCTAGTTAGCGGTAATGAATTATATTGGTTTATAATAGAGACGCAAGGGAGCTAGATTTCGTGACAATTTATGGAGGTATTCGTTGACTAATGGATAATGATAGTAGGTAACAATTAACAATCATAGAAAATATAACTCATCACTGATGATGAGTCTAAATTGACTAATTGGTTTATTTTTACCTGCCTTCAATAGTATGGTGCAATAGTATCAAGGTTATCCATAAGTCAAAATAGTACCTAGTGCTGTGTTAGATCGGAGGAATCAAGGAACACGGTGATAGCTGTCCCCTTTTTTCGTTACGATTAGATTGCTTTTTAACTGCCGTTGTGAGAAAATAATGCAAATTTATATTATTTATACATATGTATTTATTATATTATTTATACATATGTATTTATATTATACATATATATTTATATTATTTATACATATGTATTTTTACGGACTTATCCGTTTTGGACATCCCATAATTTCTATAAGTATTTGTTCGAATTATACATGGTTCATTGGGTCAGGAAAGAAAAGTCCCCTTCTATGAGGACCTACTGTAACTGGCCCTAGGTGAAAATTATCATGAAAACATGTAATTAGGTCAGCCTCTAATTATATGAAGAAATAGACAATTATATCAAGAGCGTATATCTCATTATCGCATCTTTGAAACAGTCTCCACACCTCGATTCATTTCAACCTGTATTTTCTACCATGGCATTATGTATGTCTCTTACCAGCTCTGCTCTTACTAATCTCTGCGGTATGTAAATCAAATGTTGGGGTTTGAGGAAAATAGTACTTCATGAATGCAGCATAAAAACTTGAATTAATCTCATTTAGCTTATTCCTCTGTGTCACCTCAGTCACAACTTTGTTTGTTTATAGTTAAAGACATGTCGTGATGAAATAGATCATAGCAGATGGACTCTTAACCTAGTTTAAGATAAATGCGCAATGGAACAGTCATATTGAAAATAGTCCAACTAGATTTGTCATCCGCAGAGATGAACAAATGGCAACGAATCCATATCTTGATACATATGATTATAACTAGACCGTGTGTATAATAAGGCAACAGTTCTAGTGTTTAATTAGTGTATTGTCATAATTAATGACCACACATAATGGCTTAATTATGTAACGAGAGGATTGAGATTGAGAATATAATTGATTACACTTAAACGTACCAATTAGATTTACGACTGATCAAAGCGCATACAGAGTGTGATCTCCGGGGTGTGATCTCGTCCAAAAGACAAGTTTTGATACACCTTTCCTATTTTCACTATTATTTCGGAGTAATTTGCCCTGATCATTCTTATATAATATATAGCTATATTATTACTTAATTATTATCATAATATTCTGTTGTTGTTTGAACTGTCCCAGGTTAAAAACATATCGCGGTTGCCATTTTGGACTAACAGAAATATTGGTTTGTAAACTCTTGTCTACGCGTTTCCAGCAAAACCATTTGATGAATCAATTCGAAAATTTCCGGGATGCTTCTTGATGTTAAAGTCTACAACTGAAGCATTTTTTGGGCATGCTTGGCAATTCTTTGATGGTCATTTTAGATTTCATGTCCTGACATTTTTGATCTATTGGTGGGGACATGTTGTACAGTTTGTGTTCTTGTTGCTGCATGTTTTCTATTCTTAACTTAAAATGTTCTTCATCATTATTTAGTATTTATTTAGAAAATGTCCAATATAACTTTCTACTTATACAACACTATGTGATCCCAGTACCCATGGTTCTATTTATCACTTACGTTGCATAAGATTACCGTTCTGTAGTTGGCCAAATTAAGAACTACTAAAGAACTACTACTACTACAAGCTACTAAAATAATCAAGAAACCAAACTTAGTAAATATTCAAAAACGCGCACATCATCTCCGGACCCCTCCCACTTCAATCAGGGTACTTGCATTAGTTTCGGCATATGATATTAAATTCATTTGATCGCAGTCACACACGTTAAGTTTTTTTCATTATCAAAAAATTGACAAGTTCTCGAATCTAAATTACATTAAAAATTACTTTCTATTTCATAATTAAAAATGGATTATCGCATTGCGTTTTTTTTATTCAAAATGTCATTCTGCCCATGCAGACTTCGTTTCGTGCACGTGCCGCCAACTGCATAAAACATACCTATCGAATAATAATGTCTAAATTAGTGGACAATTTTAGACCATAACTAATTGAAAACCACAATCTGTAAGTGTATTAATTACTGATTTGATTGGAACCTTTTCAAGTTCTTTTGTTGTATGAATTACCCCCCATTTTCATCCTCAACGAGTCTGTGTTAAATATTTATGACAAAAATTGACGGCATTCAATTCTCTGGGAAGGATGTGAGTATAAACGTTGCACGAATGAAATAAAATGTATGGGGCGCATGGATAATACATGCATACGGGTGTGCGCTGCCTCTGTCAGGCCGGCTTTGACTGACAACGGGATGGGGGTCGGAAAAGCTAGGGCAACAGGTAAAACATATGAAGGGGTATTAGCCCACAATCTGTTAATGTAATTCCGATCATGAGAATTTTTCAGTAATTCAAAACTGAGGATTAATTAGGGAGTTGCTCATCCCAGTCACGGCACACAATTTGATGAAAATGTAGTCGAGTGAAATCATAATGCCAAAGAACATAGGCTACGGCAAATTTATCAATTCAAAAGTAAATGGTCAGTCTCTAAAGTTTCAGGGGTAGGGCAAACGTGGGGTTCATTACGACACCAATTCGACTTTTTTGTACTTTGTACTTTTTTGTAATTTTGTAATTCATGATAATGTTGTCTATATTCTACTACTTGTTTTTACATCTGATCATTCGAAAATGTTCCAAAAAGAGTGACAGACGGGTCGCATTTAGCCTATGGAAAATGAAACGAAATGGCAAAACTTGAATCGGACTGATATTTGTTGCATTACTAAGATTTCTGGATCAGTATTTTTAATTTGGTGTGATTGAGCTTGGCATTTATGTGTTTCTGAAACAATATTTAAAAGGAGGTTAATCTTAATTTATTTAGTTAAAAAAAATGGTGGTTCTACATTTCCACAATAAATCAAAAATTATGTTATGCCTAATTTGAGCACTTTAGAATTAACGCAATTAGTGAACTAGTCAAAATAAGATCTTTACAAACATAATTGTTATGAGGAAAATATCTGGAGAATTAGTTCCTTGTAACATTTTTAAGCTAGAAGTAGGTCTACTCGGCCAACTCATAAATAAAAAAAAATAACCACTTGCACTTGTGTTTTTTTCTTTCTGACAGAGACACGCATCTTTAGCTTGATTACTTTCTTTTGATTACAAACATAAATTAACTCAAAGAAATCTATCACAATAGGTCTAACCATAATTACAGGTCTGCAAAAATGATGGAAAAAACTTCGAATGCTTTGTATAAGCTAATTATACTATCCGCACCGTGCAGCCTATGCCGCTCTAAATCAGTAGTGTGCGCAGTCACGGCGCATCATATCGATACGATATATGGTCTGTTACGCCACGGTGCATGTTTGAATAATTTGAAAGTTGACGTAAAATACATCTTTACAGTAATGCCGCATAATTAGAATCTAAATGACATTGGATTTGAATATTACGAGCAAGAAACGCCTTTATGGAAAATTCAACTTTAATTGAAATGTGAAAGTGTTAACGCTTTTTTTAAGTTCCGCTAGGCACGTGCGCCTACGCAAATCTAATCTCGTAGATGGATACAGTAAATGTCAGAGAAAATCCGGAAATGTTGTCGCTACGAGGAAAAAAGTCGATAATCTCGTATTGTCTATTTGGTTAGATTTAGAACTGGGAAACGTGCACTGACCACGAAAAGTCATTTTTCTTCCTGGCGCTCAGTTTGGATCCTCATTACACGTGCTCCATCGCCATTTTTCTACCGCCTCTCCGTTAGTGTGGGGAGGAACAAAGGGCCACAATAATCAGTGTGAAGTAAATTGTAATTCAACAGTGAGATATAATGAGGTGTGTCATTGACACTTTTGTTGATCAATTTGCCAACCAATCTATTGAAAGTTTGTTTACACGCACTTCGTTTGATTAAATGCATCCTTTAATTTTAAATACTTTTAGACGGGGAATTCGTAGTGTGCCTTTTTCCGTAAACAATAAGTTTGATACAATGAGTGCACGGGTCTCTAGATCGTAATTATGGCATACTCTTTTCAAGGCGACCGCTCGTTAGAAAGGCACGTCGAGTCCCTGTGTTACCTGGTCCCCAGGGGCAAATAAAAAATATTCCTCTTTCCACTTCCATGAATCTAAAAATGCGTCGCTCAAAAAGTCATAAATTAAACATTCATTATTTTTCACATCTATTTAATACAGCATGCCACGTGTTTATGACGTTGCAAGTTGTGTTAATAAACCATTAGCCTTAATTGGATTTTAAAGAACATTTCCCACCAAATACAGTAAATTGTTCAGTGATATTATGCTTATTCATTTTGAAACTTCATATGCAAACACCGCTTCAAAAAGTTTCAATATTTAGTGTCCCTCCTGCTCTCCTTCATTCTACGATTAATATACATACTCGATGATATTTGCGCCGATTGGTTGCTGGTATTTATCGTAATTAGACAGATTTGTCATGTTAATTAGTTGCAGCTTAATACCGAACGGCTTTATTACTTCGCGGAACGCTTCGTCCAATCAGATCACTCTATCTCGCCATTACACTCCCCCTTCTATAGAACTATACGTCCCCGAGCTATTGATTCCAAAGCTCATTCATTAACATATGCCTGTATTAATACCTATTATTTATTTAAGCATGCAAATACAAATAGAAGACCAGTTTCAGGATCTGGTTGTCTTTTAAAGGTACCATTGGATAGAGTAGTCTCTATTGACATTGATGCAACAGATAGAGCAGCAGACGCTCCGAGTAATACACCTAATTCGACAACACATAGAACGATAAATTACATAAAGATAATTCTGTAAATATTGGTAAGTAACAATTATGTTAGTTTATTTTAAAATACATAGTATAAACTAATTGTAAGGAAGCGTTTGTATAATTAAGTAGTAATAAGAACGTGCGAAAACAAAATTGTCGAGTTGTACTCGATTAGGAGCATTTAGGTGTTAATGCATGATTTAACTATTATATATTTCATTATCCTTAAAATCCTTTATAATATAGAAACCAAGAAACATGTTAGCGTTGGTTAAGATGTTACAAACATCTATAAGGGCGTAGTCCAGGCTGCAAAACTTTAATAAAATATGATATTTATATGTTATAACTCGAGATCCAAAATAGGCGAGGGGAAATCACTTAAGTGAAGCAAAACTAAGTAAAATAAAATATCTTTGGGACATTATTCTCACTATATTTTTTGTAAAACCTTTGGGAGGCATTTGACTCGCTTGTCCCATAGCTAATTATGCCTATTGTCTGAAAAAATATTTCAAGAAACAATAGTTTTGCATCTTTTTTATGTCACCTTCAACTGTAATTAAGTCACCAACGTTTAATTAATTTTACTCGGTAGGGATTAAAAAGAAGATAACGAAGCTTTACTGATGTAGTTAATTTGCCTTTTGTTTTTGCTTGGGCCCCGTGGAGGTGGCAATCTGTTGCTTTATTTCTTGTTGAATATATACAATCAATCCACATATTTTTTGCTTTTTAAAAATTGACGCTTAAAAATAATTTTATTTTATTTCGTTTATTTTTTTAGAAATCAGATGTAAAATTGTTCGTTTTCGGCATAAGTTAGGTAGTTTTACCACCAGATTAACTTAATGAACAGTAAGTGCTGGCTTATACGTCATAGCCCCATGGGCTACTAAATAAATAGTTGGCCCTTTTGATTAAGGAACATAGTTTTATGAATACTTGTCCAAGATTTAAAACGCAGATATGTGTTATTCAAAGTTAAGTTTTGAATATAAATATCCATATTAATTGAAATGAACTCATGAACTGTAAAGTGATTTCCTTGGGGTAAGGTATGGAGTTTGGTAGTTTTAGAAAATGGGCATGGCAAGCAGTTGCATTTGAAAAGTCCGATATTTATACAACTTCTAAAAAATAACTTGCCAATTCCGCTTTTTTGCTTTAAATAATCGAAGTGACAGCGTCACTGGCTCATCAGTAGTTGATGCAATTCTTATTATATGAGATTAATGGGCTCTGTATTACGTTCGTCACGCGATCAGTCGGTTCTGCTTCATTGGATCTATATATACGGCAGTAGAGGCCCGCTGACACGTGCTTAAGTGGTAGGGTCTCGTGGACCACACAATACCACCTTGCCTATAACATCGACAACCCATCTGTGCGTATTTTCTAAAAAATTGGTGTTGTTTTTCTTTGGTTTTTATGTCTCAATTTGTGGGGGAATCGGATATAATGTATCAAAGGGTTTTCCCTGAATGGTATTTATATAGTCTCCTTTGGGGTTGGAAAATTAATTCCCGATTGTTCCATTTCTAACGTACCGCATCTTAATTATAAAAATAAACTTTACTTGTTAACATATGGACGGATGAATAGAACAATAGAAAATATCTTTTATTAATTGAAATATTTCAAATGTCAATTTGAAAAGATGTTTAGAGACCCTTGCTGGCAATATCAATCCACTTCCTAATTTCTTATTAATTAAACCAATTTTCTCACAATTTGCAAAAAAATCATCGGTATAAATAAAGGGAATTAATTTATCATAGACTTCGACTCATTTAATTACGCTTAAAGTCAATGATATTAAAAACATAAACAAAAACAAAAATGCGAGAGCAGGATTTAGCGGGAACAAATATAGCACGCGACGTTTTAACACGCATCCTGTATTTTCTTATTAAACGTTTCATTTAATAATTCTGAAGATCAAACTTCCCAAAACAATAGCGTCCATCATCACAACTAGATTTGGAATGTCTCCCTTGAGAAAGTGAGAAAGGATGACACATTCGTAAGGCTGAAAGTCGATTGGTCTCGCTATATATATATTAGGTAATGGCAAGCACCATCGGTCAATCATTGAATCCTTCAAAGAATCAGGGCACACTTATATTTTAATTGGTGCCGATTTTTGTCATTTGTTCTGGCTACGCTACTGCGAAGAATGTCAACATTGAGACTACCCCCCTCCCACTGGGCTAGCACCCTTTCATATTGCAGGGGCAAATCGATGGCTATCATTCATTCAAAAGTAAATCTAAAATTGTGTGCAATAACAAGAAAAATTAATCAAATCGGACAAAACAAGCGCTCAAAAGGAAGTGAAATGTTATACTAAACAAGCTATCAAAGGGGAGTGAAATATTATACGCTTTGGTCAGCCTGAACTTAACACTTCCGGTATCATCGTAAAAAATTAAGCAATTTTCGCGTGAAACAATGACGGTAATTAGCGTTCTCAAATCAAATTAATTATACCAACAAAGAGCAATTCTGAACGCTGGTCGGCTCAGGTGGTTCGCAATGAGCTTTTCCAACGTGTTATTTGCACGCGATCGTCTTATCCCATTGACTCGATCGGGCTTTCATTTTGGCTGCGATACCATATTAGGCCATATCGGTTTCAATAATCTGAAAAGATACCAGTACGTTAATAACTCGTAAAAGAATCATAAAACGTGCAGATATACTCGAACTGTAATTAACCATATTTGATATTTCTCAAATTTTGCTACCTTAACTGCCTACACAGGTGTTTTTGAAGCCATCAAATTTTTATAGTTGATTCTACAGCTCCTAATACAGTTTCAAGTTCAACCTCTTTTGCAATAAGTTTTTCTCCTGACAAACCCCATGAATGCACATTTCGAATGGCGACTTTTGTTTGCATTGAATCAAAAACAACGAAAATGAATCATACTTAAAAAGACAAAAATGAGATACACAGAGGATGAAATGTCTCAGAGGGTGAAATACTTGTACACCAAAATATGTTCCCTTGCGAATATTTCATGAATATAGCTTATTAGACATAGTTGAGAAATAAAGCTGAGAAATAAATCAAAATAGAAAACTAAAAAATGAACGTATTTTACGGATATGAAAGTTTTGGCAAAAATTAAGCAACTGCTCAATTGATTGCAGAAGCATCATGTCGACTCGTTATTGTTACCTGTTCGTCTCTTATATTTATTACTCTCTATTAATATATCGGCCCACACCCCGAGATAGTTGCAAATAAATAATGACAAACACACATCAACTGCGCTCTCTCACAATGTGCGGAGATCCAAATGTCAAAACTATTGTTAATTTGTCGACCTAATCACATGCTAATTCTGCTAAATACATTGAATTTGAACGCCCCAGACGTAATTAATTTTTGACAAGCATTGTTACCGGCGTGAAAGGGTAGTAGAGTACTGTAGTCAAGTAGCGAACAGTTTAAATAGATCTGAGAGAAGGGTAATTGACAAGTTTGCCAGGATGTGCCCCAACTAAGGCCGTAATTGATAAGATAGTTATAATTAATTATATTAATGTCATAAATCTGTCGAGTTGAATAAGACCTAAAGTAGTTATTTGTAATTGGTAATTCGAAACTCCTAAGCTGTTTTCCGTTAATTCACTTTGTTAAACAGTAATTTTATCATCGTCTCCATATCGGGCTGTACATGTATCTAACTAGCGCTGTTTGACTCATGACTGTTACACTTCTACCCCGTTGTGACAGTGTTTGTCCTCGAACATCAGCCGTCTTGTATAAGACTTTGAAAAATTCAAACATAAATAAAACAAATACGGTAACCAATCTTAGTTATCTTTCGGTAAGGGAATATGTGTTCATCATCGAACACTATTTTCGGATACAGTTACTCAAACATTTTTGATGTAATGTATTTCTCTCGTCTTTCCAATGCTTTATATGGTATAGAATTAGCCTAAGTAGGTACATATACATACATACCCTATTTTCTGTAATTAGCGCCTGAGGCAAGTTACAAAATTGAAAATACATCCTTCAAACCAAGCGATCTGATAAGCGAAAAAATAAAAAAAAATAAAAAAAAGAATTAGCCTAAGTATGGTATAAAACGTATCATTTTTAGTTTATCCATTAGATTATACGATGTTATGATTCTTGATCTCAAAATGTGATTCCGATAATCTATCAGGGATATTTGTACGTGGATTTCAATTTGTTAATGACAAGTGTTCGTTGAGGGGTATTTATCATTCATTGAATTAATGGGCAGTTTTGTTTTACAGGATCGTGGAACACGGCATGGCGTTCGTGTCAACAAGTAGTCCCAGCCACAGCCCTGGATGTGAAATGCCATCCTCATCACCGCCTCCTAGTAGTACCCCTCCGCTATCACTAGGGAACCAGACATACACAAACAGCAGACAGAATCAAGTTGGCAACGTTTACCTTGCTGGTGTTCCAATAGTTAGCTTATTCATCGATGGTCAAGAGCGCCTGTGTCTGGCTCAAATCTCCAATACTCTTTTGAAGCAGTTCAGCTACAACGAGATCCACAACAGAAGAGTAGCATTGGGAGTCACGTGTGTACAATGTACACCTGTCCAACTTGAGATTCTTCGACGTGCGGGTGCCATGCCAATTTCTTCCCGACGTTGCGGCATGATCACAAAACGTGAAGCAGAACGCCTGGTGAAGTCATTTCTAGAAGACAACGCCCCACCAAAACTTCCTGACAACTTTGCTTTTGACGTGTTTCACCTGTGTGGTTGGGGAAGTAAGGGTAGTTTTATTCCCTCTCGTTACAACAGCTCGCGGGCCAAGTGCATCAAATGCACCTACTGTAATATGTTCTTTTCTCCCAACAAATTCATCTTTCATTTCCACCGCACTAATGATTCAAACAGTTACTGCCATCCAGATGCAGCAAACTTTAACTCATGGCGAAGACATCTTAAATTGGACAATGATCCGAGTGATGAAATGGAGCATGCTTGGGAAGATGTAAAGGCTATGTTCAACGGGGGTAGTCGAAAGCGTCTGATCAGTTCAAATGCCAACTCAAAGACAAACAACATTAACGTGCGACCTGGTAATCCTCAAGAATCCCAGAAAAGGCAAAGGCTTGATATCGATACCACTACTGGACTCGCAGCTGCAGCCACTATGTCCTATCCTTACCCTATGGTTCCAGTGACGAGCAATCCAATGCAACCCTTTGCTGGTCTAGTTCCGAGAGCTGCACACCCAGCCTTTCCTTTCTCTACTGATGGGCATAATCTTTCCCCCGACTCTGCAGCCAAATTCTCATTGTCAGACATGTGGAAAGGAAAAGGCATGCCCCATCCGTACTACCATCCTTTTGGTATGCTATGGGCGAATAACATGGGACTCGCACAAGGTGCCCCAAAGCCATTTGACCTTTCCATGGCTGCAGACAATAAAACTAAATTCTCACAGAAGAATTCAAGCCAAAGTGCAATCCCTAAGAACTTTAGCATAAGCGAATTAAGTAAAGAAGATGAACGCTCAAAACAAAAAACAGAGAAACTTTCAGCATTCAGACCAGTTAACAAAGACTGTGATTCCCGGTTCAACCTTGATATGGGGCTGAAGAATTATCTAGATAGCTCCGCAATAAACAGAAGCCCGACCACGTCAGATCAAAGTAGTGATGCTGAAGAACCAATTAACACGGTTGAGGATGCGGGTATCATCAATGTAACTGATGTCGATCAAAATGAAGAGAATCGTAAGAAAGATGATGGTAACGATTTTCCATCTTCAACAGATGCCCAACAGTCACATGTTGGTCACGTGTCAACCACAGCAGAACCCGAAAACACAGGGCAATTCGCTTCAAGGGATTCTACAAATCGAGTAAGTTGATCTAAAACAAATTAAGTAGTTTAGATATTTGTATTTGGTGACACAGCACATCGTTATGATCAAATTGCACCCGAATTTATGATTGAACCGTATCATTAAAAATTAATATTTAATTAAAATAAAAGGACTAAATGTTTTGAATGTTCTGAATGACTTTTGAGAAATGTCTAAATACCTATTGTTCACCAGTGAATATATCTACATCAATTGGTTCCACGACTTTATTGTTGATCCCTTTAAAATATTCATTCTTTGGCAGTATTTCATGAATCATTAAAAATCAACGCAATTTACTTAATTACCATCGTTTTGTCGTATTATACATAGACTGGGCCTTATATCTAAACTTAACTACCCCTCGGAGCCTTTTACCAATGCCATTCAAACTAAGGAGACGACTCGGGTATCCATTTAATTACAATGATGTATTTGACATTTCATAATTCTGCCCATGATGCATCTAAAGAATTAACTTAACATTCTATGTAAACGTATTAATTACATCATTCAGTCGAACGGATAATACCGAGTGAGTAACTTTGGAGATTGCAATGAAAACGACACAAAAGCAATGTCATAACTTGAGTTTGCGACCGATTATAAAGTCAATATCACTTTGAATTATTCATCGACGTTTTCTGTATGTTAAATAAATTATAGAAATATCTTTGAATCTGCGGCTCATCATCTCAATGTTATTAATTACTTGTATTTGGTATATTTCTCGTGAGAGCTATTATTTAATGAATTCCATTTAACAGATCGCTCTTTAATCTGTCCATTGTTTGACGTTTTATTGGTGAGATTGAATGCCTTTTCACGGACTTGACAATATGGTGCATTTTAAGGGTCTATACATGCCAATTGGTAATCTCAGTCAATGTTTAAACGCCTTATTGACCCCGATTAGTGATCAGATGGATTAATTAGCAACAAGACTGCAATTTATCGATGTAAGGGGCTTACATGATGCAACACACGGGTTTCCTTTCTTCAGATTAGACAACTAAGTGTTTTAAAATAATGTTTAATCAGTTTTATTTTATTTCACGTGAGTGATGTTCTATTAAAAACAATAAAATATTGAGATAAAAAGTTGAAATATTTTGATTGCCCTGTTTTAATCAATTGTGCAGAGTTGAACATATGGTTGATATTTTGAATAGACTATGACAACCATCATACTGTCTACATAATTTATAACCGATAAACAATGTAACAAATATGTGTGGTATTGTCAAACAATGCCTTTTGAGGAAACTATCCTAGGCTGATTAATTATTGAAAATAATTAAACTATTTGGTTCTTGTAGTTGACAAAACTCACTGAACCTATGGGGAACTGAAATGTAATATATAGATTTCATAGTCTACATAAACACCTTGAAAGAATCCAGGCCTTCATCACGGTGAAGGGGCCTAGAACAAGGGGAAAAGTCAAAATTTGAGGATAACGGGGCTATTGAATTAACCAGTGTTGGTCTGAAAATTACTGACTGGAAGTTGAATATGCAGCAAGCATTATGATCACAGCTGTATCTTATAACATCTTTACATTTTTTATCGATTCTAATTAATCAACACTTTAATTGCTCTTGAAAACATGTAAAACTCTCCAAATTCAAACCATACAAATAAAGACGATACAGCAAATATCGTTGAATGCAGCATTTTTCTGTTTGCCCGTTATTATCATTTTGCAATCTTCATACTCAATATTCGATGTTTACATCGTGTGTATTTGTGAACTTAGTTCAATTACACCTATTTTAGGATATCAATTGTGAAAATTGTTCAAAAATTTGTCAGAATTTGAGTAATTTGAGTAAAAAATCCGCTTCCGATATCCATGTCGCCCTGAGCAGAAAGATATTCATTAATTTGTTCTTAAGAGCACAAGTGATTAGATAAATGTTTCCATTTGATATTTAACAACATTTTCATTCATTTATTCAAATATTGTTACCTCAGTGCCGATCTTTATTTTACCAAGATAATGAATGCCCGGATGTATAATTAGAAATCTAACATATCAATGATTCTTTATTATAATCAAGGGACCTCGGGCTATCACGTTTAATGTAAGAATTATATTGATGTGAGAGTAATTTGTTCAGATATACAATATTCCTAGGCAATAGCCTCAAAGTGTTGTCTTGGGGACAGCTATATAGCAAAGATAAACTGAATTCCTAAATGTTGATCTCAAATGATGAAGACGATACTTCTGAAAATTGAATATGCATCAAGCAGTCATATTACAGTTGAAACAAATTACAATTTTATCGTATATCTCCACATTCTTTACGTATTGTAATTAATCAGCACTAAGTTTTTAATCAAAATGTATGTTTTAAATACAATACGTGTCAGATAGCAAACTTTGATTCACTCGATCCCGTATTGGTTACCCATTTGTAAAATGCTGTGGTAAGATGAACATTGAAGTGGGAAACGTAGAACTGCCCCAGGATAATGAGTAACTTAACAAAACTATATACATATAAACAATCATGTCCACTTATTTATCGAAATACGATTCTCAATACCCGAAAACGCCACTTATGGCGCATGTGGGGTTGACTCGTTTTGAGGCACGCGCTTATCACCCACATTTGAACGGCTTTCTTGAACGTTGTCTCGAATGAGAACGATTTGAGTGTGTTGATGTATAAGTATTGAGTTTGCAGAAGCAGAGCATCTTTAAAGTACATTGAATTAGTTTTCTTTTTATCAATATCCTCAGTTTGCCGAAAATATAAAATTTTGAATATTTACATTTCTAAAATTCGTAATGTATTAAAAACATATTAGTAAAAGTACGCTTCCTTGTGTTACTTTATCCGGATTAAAATTGCGATAGAAACACTTCTCTGATTCAGACTTTTGGAGTTATTATTAAAAGCATGTGCTGTAATTAAATCATACTTTTGAATAACAAACAGTCGTCATTTAATCATGGATTTCAGCGAATCTTTTAAACTAATGTCAATGCCAATTCAATTCGTTTTAATCAAAAATCAAGTTTACACAAGGGATATTATCAAAAGTGTTTTCTGTCAAATATGATTGAATTTTTTATTACTCATCTCGATGTAGTTCCTTTGAACTAAATGGGTATATTCAGAGTAATGTATTTATAAATAGTATTTGTTAAATAATTATTCCAAACAATCAACTGATATTTTCAACATTGCCTTGAAGCGGAGGAAATAGATAGTGAGCAAGCACTTAATCTTCGAGACTTTGTTTAAAATATTTCGTGTGATCTGAAAATAGCACTCGAAAGCACAATGGACAACCCCTAAACAATCATCCGAAGTCTGAAGTGATCAAAAGTGTTTCTGAATGATTAATTAATTTTAAATTCTGTTTGATTTCTTTTTAGACTGAAAGCAATGAGGGACGAGTGAATAACAACAACTGCACAGGTTAGTTAAGCCTTTATAACTCTAATCAACACAAATAAAAAAGAAAATTGATCTTTTTCTTTATAGTTAATAAAACATGAAAGAACAGGTGAATTAAAAATCTCATATTTGTCAAATCCTGCCTCAAATCCGACATATGGTGCAATTATAATTTCAATACTGGTATTGTAGTATATTTGTGTTTATTTTATTGGTGAGTTTATACAAGATAATATGTTCTTGAATTATTCGATACCACTCTTAAATAAATGTGGAATTATTCATCAATGCAAATTCTTAATTGAACCAAATTTAAATGACTCGTCACGCTACTTTGGAAAAATAACATATGTTTTAACAACAACATGTAATTTTGTTGAAAAACTTTACAAATTGAGTACAATAACTTCTATGGAATTATTAGTCACTTTGAATACATACGGGAACACATAAAGCTTCAGATAAAATTGCGCCAATCTTCGATGTAAAACTATGAAATGCGATCCAAGTTTTTACTAACTATGACGTTGAAAATGGAGCCGATCGAAATCCCATCTCCCTAATTTAATTCTGTTGAGTTTCCATTCTATAACTAAACGACAGTAATAAAACATTGCAATTTAATTAATTTAATTTACTATACAGAGTTAATAGAGATAGCTAGGGTTACAAACATTAAGTAGATGAACTGGAGGATGTATTGTCCCAGCATGCCACAGTCCCTGGACGGCAATAGTTGAAATAATGTCTGTGTATATAATTTAACAAATGCTCGATGGGATGGTTCTTCCTTTACTAAGTAGAGGGGTATTGAACGATGATTGGTAATGATAAAAACCCCCGAGTCATATAGTCAGCCTTTAATGATAATGTCTGTCGTCAGTGTTTAGTCTTTGTTGAAACCCACCTAATGTCAATTCCGGCGAAATTTATTTTTAAAAATCTATATTCATAGATGACCAAAGTTAAACTCTTTAGGGAAAATCACATTTATTTATTTTCTCGGTTTCGGAGTATTCGTTGAATTGATCATTATCCCATAACGAGGACATTAATACAGCACGGGGAAATCTGAGACGATGATGTGATGACGAAGTGTCAGAAGAAACCTCACCTTTGCTTAATTAAACTGTCAATGTTTAAAAATAAAACGATGTATTAGACTATGCAATTAGGGTTGTTTTCCAAATGTCAACAGGTCTAGAAGAACGAAGTTACTTTTGTTTGGTGGGGGCTGGCGGGGGGGGGGGGGTCGGGTTGATAATCCATAATCGATGAGCGGGGGGGGGGCATTATAACATTTGGTAATAATCCTTCACTGAATATGCATTTTTGAATTCAAAAGAGCCCGGTATACAGTATATCTATTTTTATTTCTAGTTACGAACGTATGCCCAGCAGCACCCGAAGATGGCCTCCTTATCAGCATGACAAACGGTAAGATTCACTTAACAAATCCCCCAGCTGACACCATGTAATGCGCATTACTTACCGAAACAAATGCATTATATCATGTAAAAGGTTAGAATTTCATGTGATGTGTAGCCATCGCCTACTAATCTGAAAGATTATCTTTGTTTATTGAAAAATGCTGACAACGAAATCTGGTAACGGTATTGAAATCAGAGGTATTCTTCACAGCAGAGGAACGTCATTTTGACGCTAACTGCTGGGTACATTATTGATTCCCAATGTATATGAAGAGTTAATACCTTGATTGAAAATCAAACTGGTAAGCTAGTATGAGCTACTTATAGCTATCAGATATAAACGTTGATCAATGCTATTAACAGTTCTGTAGTTACCAGTCATATGTGGCAGTCTCTTGAGACCATAGCATTCATCGTAGAGAATTTAATTACTCGAGTAGAATAATGGCAGCGTTAATAAAACACTTAATGGAAAATGAACCCATCGTTTATTGTTAGCACAAGAGTGACATTTCAGTCCTTATACAATATTACATATTGTCTGCATAAAACGTTTGGTTTCAGTATACTAAAAGTATAAATTAGTCATATATATTCTTTTTACCTCCGTCTATTCTCACCGTTATATGAAAACGATCAAATTTTTTTGTAGAAGTCAGCGCTGGTAAACACGTACAATGTATTCCATTTCCACTGAATCATTTATGGAATACTCTCATCTATGATAGACATTTACCGAAGTAATAATACATGTACAAATAGTATTAAGCACATTTATTTAGGGCACTGTGTTTCAATGTACATTTGCTTGCTTCCATAGAATTTCCATGAAATTCCGTTGCAATCCAAGATTGTGTGTATTTTATTGTGTATTTATTATGATTATAGATGAGCTCCAGGATGAGTTGAAACAAGTGATGGACGCCAGAGAAAGAGCGGAGATGGAATATCAGGAAATACAAGGTGAATCTCAGAATACATCCTAAATAAGCTCAAAATACACCCTAGTATATTTTCGCCTCTTTAGTAATGTATCATGTCTTTTTTTCTGGAAACTATCTATTATCGTGATCACACGTGATGCTACGTTTCCACTTTGTTAGCCAATGTAAAGCTTCAATTCAGGGTCACGTGTCTAATTAGCATAACCACGTTCTCAAGACTTTTAAGTCAGATAGAGTTTGTGGTTTTGGATAACGTTTAAAACACGTCATTTTCTAATATTTTTAGCATCTTTGCGAGAAAGCCTAAAAAGAGACGAAGTGATCGAAGCACACGATTCAGACCAATCAAAAGGTAGGCCTAATAATTAGCTATCCTTTTATTTCATTGCACACATTTAACATATAATTATCGTGTTTCATTTAAAATAGTGAATCTGAGTTTGGTTTGTGAACACGATCCCAGAACAGAGATAATTGAGTACTAATTTAAGACAATGGTTCGTGATTAACGCAAAGATGGTTTCATATATAGCGTACACACAACAAAGCGTCTTATTGTATCAATTAACTTGTTTTTGCTACATCTATGTTGATCACGTTAATTGAAAGATAACGTTACTTAATTGAAATTACACCGCGTGTGCGTTAGACAATTAAATTATCTCATCTATGATTACGTCAATGTAATGATCCGATGATATTTGAGACTTGTTTTCTAAGACAACCTACACAGACAATCAAAAGTAACTTGATCACAATTAAAACCTTTTGTTTTAAATGCACACGCCATACCACGTTCTTTTGAAAGTATTTGTATGTACCTTAAGTTACAATATATCTATATCGTACTTACAACACACACTAAAGACACCAATATTCACATTTTCTATTGTTTTCATTATATCTGCAGGCGACTCCATACATCGTTTAAATCATGTATAAGTATGTCTGATTTTCCTGAAAATACACCAGTTACGATATACTTTATATCATCTGCATCTTATCTTTAACTTGTATATGGAATTTCTTTCATTTGGTTATTGATGTATGTGTTTTATACATCATCGGACCTGGCACATCTGTTTAAATTGCTGTCATTTACACATTAAATCCTGTCTTAGTGAACACCTCAATCTAGTGAACACCTGTGTTTAGTGAGTACTACTGAGCATCCCTTCAAGACACGTTTTACATCGACTCATATATAAAATCCTCTGTCTGTAGTAAGCACCTATATACAGTGAACGCTTTTTGTGTCTCCATTGGTGTTCACTTTATACAGGTTTTACTATACTTACCTTCAGCACTACATTGTTTATCATTTCACCACCATATGTTGGAATGCCTATTCTATTGACTACACACATGTATTTAAAGGTGGCCCCTCTATATGTTCCAGAGCTAGAGAGACAGATGCAAGCACGAAGAAATGTACAATCTAAACTAAAGGAGGCGCACCAAGCACTGAGTCACTTCTCAAGCAAGATGACGTCATTGAAAGATTTTGTGGACGCTAGAAGGAAAATGGAATCCACCTCAAACTTGTATTAAATAACAATTAAAGAAAATGTGTTGCAAAATCGAATTTTCCATTTTAGTATGGGTTTTGAGCATCAAAAACTACTCCCATATGAGCCAAAGCCAGTAGGCGATTTTGCCTGAATATGAGATCGGGAGAATCTGGTGTTTTGTCAAACGAAATGTGCAATTTAGATGTATACATAATTTGAGTGCAATTTGCTCAAGACAATAGCTCACTCGAGCGGAAAACTCTTATGTTATTTAACACCAAATGTATGCGAGTATGTTGGTCTATTTACAAATTTTCTTAAAAATGATTATATTGTATGTGTGAATGTATTCTTTAAAGATAGATCATTGTGTGCAATTATTATTCAGTAACAATAGAAATATACTTGGCGATTCCTTGAATGTATTAGTGTATCAGTTATAATGTGACAAGATGGTCATTCATAGATCTACATTGCTTTTCTGACATCCTTACATCTGATTGTTATAGTCACAAACTTTTTTGACTGCGTTCGGAGGTTGGCGTCTGTAAAAAATGGCAGGTGGTGACATTTTGTATGCCTTATAGAAAATTAGTATAGTTTTGGTCACGATAAGGCCCCAATCACACCAAACTAGTTCTCAACCGTTCTTTCCTGTCCTACGAAAAATCCATAAAACGGGCTAAATCTGGCGGTGGTCGTGAAATGTCAAAAATAATTAGCCACTTCGTTCATAAACAGTCTTCAATACGTCCACCTCATTCGCAGTTCGTTCAGATCGCACCATGTCGGTGTGCACACGTATTGCAATTGATATCCGATTGCACAACGTTGTATAACGCATCGCTAGTAGGGTTGAAGTACGGCATTACGTTCCTGGTCTAGTAGGTCATCTCGTTTGAAGTACGTTGTCACACGATGTAATTACAGAACGGTATGGTCGCCATCGAATTTTGAATCATTTCAAAATTCGAAAATCACCTTCCCGTCTAAGAACGTTCATGAAGTTCATAAATAGACCTTAGAAAGTTGCAGCTACGTTCATTCCGTTCACACAGAGTTTAAAACCAGTTTTGAAGAACGCAGTAGGAACTTGTTTGGTGTGTTCTTAATCAGTTTAAACCCGTTTGCAATTAGTTGAACCTTGTTATCAATACGTACTTAGATAGTTCAACTCGTTGTTAAAACGTCCCTAGTAGGATTGAAGTACGACGGTTCCGTTCGCAGTACGTCCAGCTCGTCGTTAGTACGTTGTCACTCGTTCTTATTGTAGAACGTGACGACCATATACGGACGGACGGTTTGGACGTACTTATAACCGTTTGGGGTCTATTTACAAACTTCATCGAACGAACTCGAACGGGTAGGTCCTCTAGAACTTAGAACATGCTCAAAATGTTCTCGTGGTCGATACGTTCTACAATTAGAACGAGTGACAACGTACTAACGACGAGCTGGACGTACTACGAACTGAACCGTCGTACTTCAATCCTACTAGGGACGTTTTAACAACGAGTTGAACTGTCTGAGGACGTATTGAGAACGAGGTAGAACTAATTGCAAACGGGTTTGAAACTGATTAAAAACATATTTTAGACTGCTTATGAACGAGTTAGCAAAAGTATAGCTATCACACCAAACAAGTTGCCACTGCGTTCTTCAAAACTGGTTTTAAACTGTGTGCGAACGGAATGAACGTAGCTGCAACTTTCTAAGGTCTATTTACGAACTTCATGAACGTTCTCAGACGGGAAGCTGATTTTAGAATTTTGAATCATTCAAAATTCGATGGCGACCATACCGTTCTGTAATAAGGTCATGATAACCTTCTACACCAAGGAACGCGTTATACGACGTTGCACACCGACCAGGTGCGACCTGAACGAACTGCGAATGAGATAGACGTATTGAAGACTGTTTATGAACGAAGTAGCTAATTATTTATGACATATTTCCCGACCACAGCCAGATTGAGCCCATTTTACGACGTTTTCGTAGAACTGGCAAGAACGGGTAAGAACTAGTTTGGTGTGATAGGGGGGTAAGCATTTTAATTTATTACCTTCCTAGTCTAGTAGGTCATTTCGTTTGAAGTATGTTGTCACACGATCCAATTACAGAAGGGTATGGTTACCATCGAATTTTAAAATGGTTCAAAATACTGAATCACCTTCCGAACACGTCCATGAAGTTCACAGATAGACCGTAGCAGCTACGTTGATACCGTTCGCAGATAGTTCAAAACAAGCTATATTTTTGCTAACTCTTTCATTAGCAGAAATTAATACGTCCGTATTAAATTTAAACCCTTTGCAATTGGATCTTCCTCGTTTTCAATACGTCCTCGGACAATTCAACCCGTTCTAAAACGTCTCCGTTAGGATTAATGTACAACAGTTCCGCTTGTAGTACGTCGACCTCGTCTTCGATAAGTTGACACTCATTCTAATTGCAGAACGTGACTACCACTAAACACTTTGAGCATTCTGTAAGTTATGGTGGACCTACACGTTCGACTACGTTCATAAAGTTTGCAAATAGACCTCAAGCGGTTTTAAGTACGTCTAATCCGTCCGTACACAGTTTAAGCCCGTTTTCTTGAACGTAGCGATAACTAGTTTGGTGGGATAGTAGCTTGCAGGTAGCCAGCTTTTATCAGGAGGGGGAGCTTTTTTCCAGGGGGGGGGAGCTTTTTTACAATTTTGGCTAAAAATTATGCGAAAAATTCTCAGAATGGTGAAAAATGCATGATTTTGAAAGAATTTCTGGCCAGGGGGGGGGAGCTCCCCCAGCTCCCCCTCTGGCTACGGGCCTGAGTAGGGTACAATTTTGAGCAGGTATGGAATTCTGGAGCATCTTTCCGTCACAGCACACCCGATCGTGAAATAACGTTCAATCCGTTTACACACAATTTAAGTCCATTCTGCAGCACTTTTGAGGAAAGTAGTGACTGAGAATTGAGAACTCGGGGTGACTGGGGTGTTATAAAAGATTTAAAATTATGGATGTTATTCAATAGATGGCAAAAATGTGATAAAAGTGAGCTATGCTTGACGGAAAGATTGTATCATACATATGTTATTGAATCTAAATTCGTGTAACAAATGCACGGTGTATGCATTGGCGTAACTACTATAGCTAGCTATAAGCAATTCCTAATTATCAATCATTGCCCCATCCGTATAAATCTTCATCTGAACTTCTATTTTGTATCTATAACAGATCTAGAGGTCCACGATTTACCCCAGACTGATGAGGCTCGGGCATTATGATACTAATATACTGGGGATGGAACCGTCTCAGATTAACACTGGAATTGCTTGATGAAGTACGGGATATTGAACAAATATTTCACTCTATTGAGGTGAATACCTGTACATCTTTCACAAGTGATATTCCACGAAGCCCGAAGGGCAAGTGGAATATCACCTTGTGAAAGTGCTACAGGTATTCACCGAAAATAGAGTGAAATATTTGTTTTATTATATCACTGTCTAGCTAAACATCCCTAATATTATTAAGTCATTAGGTCTTCAGATATTTTTACGAATCTACTCGGTTCGTCTGCCATTTTGACTTAAACTGAACTAAATTATTTACACTGAACGAAAACAAATTCTTTGAAAATTCCCGGGAGCGTGGGATATCGCTAGATATCTCACGGTTGTCTTATCTGATTAGCATTGCCATTGAATATCGCCAGATATCCCACGACATGTGACCCGGTTTTGACCAATCATACTGTCGCTAGCTAGATAGTGATATAATAATGTCGGATATTGTCTATTGCTCATTGTAAAAAATGGTGTACATACATGTAGATATTCACGTTCAGATTTTCAATGTCGCCTCGTAATGTGGGGCACCGTATGGGCTAACATCATTGATTCTTTTCTTCATCGCAGTTGAGATGTATGCAAACGACATCGACATTACCCAATAACAATATACACAGTGATATAGTTTATTTGGTTTGTTCGGGTTCCCATCGGGGAATGATCGCAATTAACCTGATGCGCGTAGGTAGTTACCAGTTTCACCACCAGGTGGCTGATTCGGGTTAATTAATTTAACATGACAGAAAGTTCCCTTAAACTTGAATATTATCAGTTTAGGTGGATCAATTTTCATATAATCATTATGATACCCAAGCGAAAATATGTACAGTAAAAGAAAATATTCTCTGTCCAACACAACAAAAGATACTTCACTTTTTGTGATTTTGTAAAATGGGGTTTATGGGAAATCTCCCCGACCTAAAAGTCACCTTTTCAAAGAAGATTAAATTTTCAAAGTTGATAAATACTTCTTTAAACCATCTTTCTGGTGCAATTTTTCATGTAGATTTCAAATATGATAACCCTTCAACTAAATTTGGAATATTTTATTAAGTAAATCAGAATTATTTTAGTCTTGCTCAAAGACTGTATCCACCCCCCCTCCCCGTCACCTCCACTCTCTTTACCTGGCAATATACAGGAGAAGGATAAAGGGGGGGGGGGGAGTACAGGGTATTTTAAGCAAGACTAGAATTATTTCTACTCGCATCTAGTCTATTGACATTGCAACACGGACACCAAAATTGACTATTGTTATTGTACTGCATGCATGCAAATTTAATTTATTTGCTAACACATCTAAATAGTTTATCAATACCCGTTAGTTAACGGAAACTTCATGCACAATTTAAAATCAAATCAATAAACACAAAAGAACAAAATATCACAACAACGAGTGCGAGAAGATTTTTGAAGTCTAATCGTGCTGCGTCTGTAATGACGGTCTCTTGGTATTTGTGCACTGAATTCAATTATAGGAAAGCTGTTACTGCGAATTAATCTTTCTCCAAAGGGTTGTAATGTTATATGTCTTTATCCCCTAATCGTTCGGGCTAATCCCCAAAGAAATACCGAGAATAAAAGCCCCTATAGGGGACAACCACATCCTTGTTGTAAGGGTATGAATCAAAGCATAAATGAAATCGTTTGAAGAAGGATGGACTACAGGGTGTTCAAAAAAACGCAACCCAAAGAAATTGCTATATCTTGAAAAATCCTGGTTCAATTATGTTCATATTTTCAGAAAATAAAGAAGAGACTGTGTATGTATAGCTCCTGTCAATGGTTAGTTGTAAAACATGATGCCTTGGACACCTGCTCAAAAGACAGTTGTACTTGCAAAATGCGAAAAACGCAGTCAGGGGTGACTGCAACCGCAAAAAAATTAAATAACTTCCTAACCATAGTGTTTTGGCTCTTCAAATTTAGCACAAACCATCTTCATTCACTGTATGATAAATCTGTAGAGTGAAATCAAAATCACTTCAGGGACTTCACTGTCATGGTCGAAATGGTTTCAAATCGCAGTCAAACGCCCTGGTTCAGAGAGACTTAAGAAGGCATTTTGACCATGACTATAAAGTCCCTGGAGTGATTTTGATGAAACTTGACAAATTCACCAAACATTGAATGAGGATAATTTGTGACAAATCTGAAGTGCAAAAACACCATGGTTAGAAAGTTATTTGGTTTTATTGCTGTTGCAGTCACCTCTGACTGCGTTTTCATATTTTCCTAGTACAACTGTCATTTGAGCAGGTGTCCAAGACATCATGTTTTTCAACTAACTAACAAGAGGGGATATACATACACAGTCTCTTCTTTCTTTCCTGAAAATATGAACATAATTGGATAAGTATTTTCCAAGATATCGCGATTTCTTTGGGTTGCGTTTTTTTGAACACCCCGTACCATCATCCCATCATTTTGAGAACTTAATTTTCGAGAACTGGATTTCTACTAGGCGTACATAAGGGTTATATACGGGGAGTTTTTTTGATATGGGGCTATCCAAAGGGATATATGTATATCTACCCGAGGGACAGTAGGGGCCGAAGGTAGATGTGCATATCTCACGCGGGATAAACCCCATATCCAAACCGACCATACATAACTGCTTTATCCTATACCCAGGGGAGTTTCTTGAAAATAGAATTTGAATTTTTTTCTCAATTTTTTTTCAATATTTTTTTCAACTGTTTTTTTCAAAGCGGGAAGATATGCCATGGAGTGGGAAATATTGCGGGAGAAATGGCGGGAGATATGGAGGTTCTGGATATGGAAACCCCAAAATCAGGATACGGGATATATCTTACCAACTTATCTCCCTAAAACTCTACGCATAGGATGAATAAGGGTTATGTACTGGGAGGTTTTGGATATGGGGCTATCAACATGGGGATTGTTCCTTCCTTAACCAAGACAGAAGTGACATATTTCACAAAGCAAATGAGTTCGGTGCTAAAATTCTTTTCTGCAATGAATATTAAAAAACTGATGATATACAAAATGAAGGAATGAACAGGACAGCTAAAGAATGCTGATATTTGAAAAAATGCTCTGATTCGCTGGGATTTTATATAAACGGGTGTGTGACATTTATTTATCGGACAAATCAGTACTTCTCAACCTCATAGACACTTACTTCTTTTATTCTCTCGATTCGAGCATACTTAAATATCCCTGTTATGCTTTGTAAGACGACCTTATCCACATCTGATCAATTTACGTCCTTTAACACATAATCTTCTTCGTATAAAAGTTCGTGGCCATTTGATACATGACTCGACAGAAATTGCAAGACATCCTGCTGAATCTGGACTGTGATTTCCTGATTCCCTTAAATTGTCACTCTCGGCGATAATTGGATGGCAAAAGTCAGACATTCTACTCCGAGTTTGTTATTTGACCATTTTAAAAGGAATTGTGTTTGAGACCATAGGACTTATTAAGGACTAAAAAATATACCTTCTCGAGTAAAGCAAACATAAACGAAGATGAAGCTGGTAATGGACGTTTGCTTATTTGTTTCAGTATCTATTTCAGTGGCGGTTGCGGTAGTTGATTCGAATATATGTGCGTATAACTTTCAGGTTTGGAAACCGAACGAAAATATAATACAGCAAATACAGGATTTAAATTATATCGTCACTTCAACAAGCAGTCGGGTGGATCGGGAATTCTTACGTATACGAAACGAGATTTTCACCAAAACTTTGCGGGATACAAACCTCACAGGGACTTTGGAAAAGGGACTTCTAAAATCAAAAGTGAAAGAGGTTGAATTTGAATCTAAGTTAAAGGACATTATACATCAACTCAGTCGAACAAATGAATTAACTTCCAAGATGGAAGGTGGTGTAAGAAACATTAAAGGAGATGCACACAAGTTGAAACAAAACCACCGGGAAATGAAAAAAGGATTGGAAAAATTCAAAAAGAAATTTGAAACTACTGAAAGGTTGGCCAGCAGTTTAAAGAACGCTTTGAGTGATCTTAGATCTGAGTGGATTCAAATCAAAAGAGAAGTACAAGACTCAAGATCTGAAAGCATGCAGCTAAAATACGGTCAGAATGATATCATATCAGAGGCAGCTTCACTAAACACACGCATTGAATCAACTGAACAAGACTCAAAAACGTTAAAAGACACTCAAAATGAACTGAACACAAATATAAATGCTCTCAAGAGAAAGGTAGAAGAGATAAAAGGAGATAATGTCATTTTGAAAAACAGCCAGAGTAACACAAGATATGAGCACGAAGAAATCAAAAAAAAGTTGGCCCAAATGGATTCTGATTCAACTGCAATGTTACACGATGTCAGATATCTAAAAGAGGTAACCAACAAACTCAAGCGACAATTTCTGACCATAGTTGAAAGTGGCAAGAACACATCGACATCACAAATCACCATTGAAAATTTATTGAAAAAGATAGGTACCTACCAGTTTGAGAAAGATTCAAATGATCTGAATGAACAAAATGAAAAGATAGACATTGGGAGCGATGACGATGTACCAATGCTAAATATTCTCGGTGGTGGTAAAGTTCGCTTACGGAATCCTAAAAACGAACATGTCGAAATCAAAGAACCACCAGAGAGAAATCAACAGAAAACAAGAGCAATACCAAAAGGTAAATAATCTTGTTTTTATTTGATTGATTGGTCTATAGTATTTGTTTATTTATTTGTTATATTGACAATATCGTAATAATAACAATTACACAAAATATTACAATACACGATTCACTACATGTATACTCGCATATCAAAGCATTATTTGATGTATCTTAATATGATTGACCAATGCTTTTTTATTATTCATCAGATTGCCATGATTTATACAAGAATGGTTTTGAAGTCAGCGGTGTCTACAGGATAATGCCCAAAGGGACGGCCATGTTGGATGACGTGTACTGCCAGTATGTCAACAACACTGGTAATAAATGCTGAGCAATATAATATTATGAACAAATATTTTAGAATTCAAATATGTCTTTAAAAAGATGAAACTTTAAATATTCAAATCTTTAAATCTCGTACTGATAATTACGTAGTAATTTATGTTATTTGTGCAATCTACCAGTCTTGAAAAATGCATTACTGCATTCTTAAATAATTGTGTTCGCCATTGCGGATGAGACTAACTGTTTCATAATATGAATAAACACTGATCCGTTACCATGTCATCTTTATTTTATTATTTAAATCGTTTTATACCCGAGCCCGGGGTACCATCTTCGAATTCCAAGTGGTTGGATCAACTAAAACCTTGAGAATCAAGATGCGGGGTACCGAAATAACGTTTCCTGTGTTGCGTTCATCATTCGACCATCTTCATCTGCAGCCGTACGCATGTATATGTGCAAATATAGTTACATAATTCAGTATAAGTATACAGTATACAATTACAAATTACCAACGCAGTACACTACGGGACTTTTAACACATTTTTGTAACGTATTCCTGGGCCTAAGTTTCATACCACTGGGGACCAGTGAAAAGGTTACTTTTATCTTGAAAAATTGCTTATCAGCCCCGTTATCAGCCAAACAAATCAACATTATAAAAAGCAAAAAGAGGCTGCAAGTGTTACACGGTAAACACGATACAAATGTTTGTCATATTCCGCAACGAATATGGCATGTTCACTTGCGGTGTATGGCAGATACACCTGCGGTATATGGCATACACACTAACCAATGAGAACGCGAGACGGAAGTACGCAATTGTCAATTACATCGATTCAACGAACGGGTTAAAGTCTATAAATTATTATAATGATCACTGAATCAAGAGGTCAGTGCATTGAATATATGAACTGATACAATTGAATAACATACACCAGTGGTACCTGTATTGTTTGATGTTGTTTTATATATGTTTTACACGCAAAAACGCACTTCAAGTGATACATCATTACTCATAAATAAAGAACCCACGTTCGAACGTTCGTGAAGCTTATGAGTGACTTTTACAACCAAATCAACAGTTTACCAAGACCAGAAAAAAACTTGAAAAACACGAGTATTTGATCGCGATTAATACGTTACTGCTACTTTCAGATGTATCATTTACCGATCACACGTAATAAACTTACTTAATCACTCCTGGATTCATAGTTAAGTGCTCGAAGCGATAAAAACAATAGTTTTACCTTTAGTGTTGATTCTTTAAACTAATCAAATCAAGGTAATTTTGTATGGCGTTCACCGCGCGGTAAATGCCATATTCCTCGAGTGAATATGTCATATTACGCAGGTGAATACAAGGTATTCATTATATCAAATTTCAATGCAGAATATGCCATACTCACTTGCGGAATATGTCAGATACCGCAGTGTTATTTCGATATTTTTCATAAAAAATCAAGAGCCACGTAGATTGATGAAATTCCTTCTGCAAACCGAGACTTGTATTTTTTTGAATCGGTCTACTGCACGTTACGCCTGCTTAGTGCTTCTGACAATTTTGATATTTTTACATATTGGAGATTTAAATGTCCTCTTTTGAATATTCATAATTTAATTTGGGGGTAATTTCCACATTTTTTTATAAAAAAACTTTTTCAAAAATATGGAACGCTTCACGAATTTGCGTGTCATCCTTAGCGCAGGTGGCCATGCTAATCTTCTCTGTATCGTTCCAATTTTATTATATGCACTGTCAGTGACAGTACATTTAATAGGGACGAGTCAAAACTATTTATACCCATTTAAGGTTTAATACACAAAATATGGTGTTGCTCAAATGTTACTTAAACGATTTTAATCACGTGATCATTACGTTTGTGTTGCGTTTGGTTTGAGAGCAAGGAGGATTGGAAGGCAGAGTTCCAACTCGATATTCTTTAAAGGGGACCACCACCATGGTCACATGATCAGTCGTGTGGAGGTAAGCTCCCAATTGAAATAAAAGCACTGTCCTCCTTTTGTTTTTGTGAAAAGTAGCTAATACCCTCATGTATTGGTCAGTTTGTGTGTCACACGACTTATCCACACCATATGCTTCATTCAACATATTTTATGCTATTAAGCTGCATATAAAAACACTACTTTGCAGTAAAAACGTACTACTGGATGAACTAAGGTTAGGGTAATTAAATTAGTTGTTTATCATTCTTGCCCGCGTGTGGCCCAATCCCCCTCCACCTTTTTTCTGCCATTTCTGAGAAAAACACCGTACCTCGCGCGCATCCATGGCGTTTGAAACCATTTTTTTAAACTTTTTATGGATCAGGATAATTGACAATATCGTGGTACTGATATATGATCAAATATACCAGTAAAGTAGGCTAAATTCAACATATAAATTCAACATAAACCCAGTTTATTTCCTTCAAAATTAGTTATCTGTTTTTACAGATATTTTAAAGAAAAAAATCATCCCGTCCCTCATCAGCATTTTAAATAGAAAAAAGGTAACATAAAAACCGTCATTCCCGTATCAATTTTGAAAAATAGAAGAAAGAGAACTACTAGCCAGCTCATACAGTATACTTACCCCTTGCAAATTGTAATTTATTGAATTCACAGTAACAGAGTAAACCCATCAATTAAAAAAAACACAAAGAATATTGTTCTCATGGATCTATTATTCATGTTAAAATAACTATGAAAATATAAATATGAAATAATATGTTAGCTTGAAGTCATATATAAGATGAAAATATATGTCCATGCATTTGCATTTTTCCAAAGGGAATATATTCCCATGTAAGTAAATACAGGTGCAATATATAATTTATATGTATATCTATGTCATCTGTCTATACATTCGCGTATAGTGATACATTTGAACAAGATGATGGTTCTGGAAAGAAATGAGCGTGGCAGATTTGCTAAAAAGCCACATACACCACAAAAGCAAGACCAATTTGAAAGTAAGTTCATTATTCTCAAGGGTACACTTCAAGTGAAAGCTACATTGCTACAGGGTGGCCTATCATTCTGAGACAAATGTATTATCCAACGATTGTGATTTTCGAAGCTAAAATATAATATCTTGAGCAGATGGAAATACATTCCCATGAGATATGTATATATAGTCAAAAGTGATAACTATTTATTGAGTGTAATGAAACGTATCCTTCGCCAACTGCTTTTGTTTGAGATAATTATCATGAAATATTTTTTAATTAATTTTTATGTGTGTCATTGATCCTAATCCACCCTGTAGTCTGGTGTTTGTAGAGCATTGCACCTCGTACAACTTATATATATAGCTATATTTAGCCTTGATATCCATGATTTTTTAAAACAAAATCTCACCGTTAGATTTCGAGCTATTCATGTTTACTCATTTTTCTAATTGGAAAACAATGCAAATCTCATTTTTTCAAAGGAAAAAATTGAAATTCTAAGATGGTGAAAAATCATTATACAATACACAGATTCAGAATCCGGCAAGCATTTTCCCTTAGTCCTCTCCGTTAAGGAGTTTTGTAAGGTGGTGGATCCCTTTAATCTCCAAGTAATGTCGACATCTATACGAGAAATATGCTGATGGGGCAACTGCAGACTCTGTGCAGAGCCTTCTCTATTCATGTTTCTATTTTGTACTTCTGAAGACTAGTGTGAAGGAAAGTATCATGTTGGACAATAATGCCAATCGACCTATGTGGCTATTATAGAGACAATTAATTTATAAAAAATTCAAATTGACTGCATATACTTTTAATACACAAAATCATCAACATTGTCGGATGAAATTTTCAAAAATATGGAACGCTTCACGAATTTGCGTGTCATCCTTAGCGCAGGTGGCCATGCTAATCTTCTCTGTATCGTTCCAATTTTATTATATGCACTGTCAGTGACAGTACATTTAAAAGCGACGAGTCAAAACTATTTATACTCATTAAAGGTTTAAGACACAAAATATGGTGTTGCTCAAATGTTACTAAAACGATTTTAATCACGTGATCATTACGTTTGTGTTGCGTTTGGTTTGAGAGCAAGGAGGATTGGAAGCCAGAGTTCCAACTCGATATTCTTTAATCTCCAAGTAATGTCGACATCTATACGAGAAATATGCTGATGGAGCAACTACAGACTCTGTGCAGAGCCTTCTCTATTCATGTTTCTATTTTGTACTTCGGAAGACTAGTTGTGAAGTAAAGTATCATGTTGGACAATAATGCCAATCGACCTATGTGGCTATTATAGAGACAATTAATTTATAAAAATTCAAATTGACTACATATACTTTTAATACACAAAATCATAAACATTGTCAGATGAAATTTTCAAAAATATGGAACGCTTCACGAATTTGCGTGTCATCCTTAGCGCAGGTGGCCATGCTAATCTTCTCTGTATCGTTGCAATTTTATTATATGCACTGTCAGTGACAGTACATTTAAAAGCGAATGGTTTAAACTATTTATACTCATTAAAGGTTTAAGACACAAAATATGGTGTTGCTCAAATGTTACTAAAACGATTTTAATCACGTGATCATTACGTTTGTGTTGCGTTTGGTTTGAGAGCAAGGAGGATTGGAAGCCAGAATTCCAACTCGATATTCTTTAATCTCCAAGTAATGTCGACATCTATACGAGAATGCTCATGGGGCAACTGCAGACTCTGTGCAGAGCCTTCTCTATTCATGTTTCTATTTTGTACTTCTGAAGACTAGTGTGAAGGAAAGTATCATGTTGGACAATAATGCCAATCGACCTATCTGGCTATTCTATAGACAATTAATTTATAAAAAAGTAAAATGGACTACACAAACTCATAAACATTGTCGGATGAAATTTTCAAAAATATGGAACGCTTCACGAATTTGTGTGTCATCCTTAGCGTTCGGGTCAAGCTAAAGTTCACTGTATTCAGAACGAATTCAAAACACTGTTCTGAATTCATTGAGAGCTGGACTGTGATTGGTTGGCTTGTTCTGAATTTGTTCTGATTTCGTTCTGAATTCGTTCTGAATTGTTCTGAATTCAAACTGTCCAATCAGAGCCTTCTCTATTCATGTTTCTAGACTAGTGTGAAGGAAAGTATCATGTTGGACAATAATGCCAATCGACCTATCTGGCTATTCTAGGGACAAAAAAATGTAAAATGGTATACTTTAATACACAAAATTATAAACATTGTCAGATGAAATTTTCAAAATATGGAACGCTTCACGAATTTGCGTGTCATCCTTAGCGCAGGTGGCCATGCTAATCTTCTCTGTATCGTTCCAATTTTATTATATGCACTGTCAGTGACAGTACATTTACTACAGGCGAGTGAAAAATATTTATACTCGTTACAAGTTTTCAACACAAACATATGGTGTTGCCCAAATGTTATTAAAACGACTTCAATCATGTGATCATTGTGTTTGTAAACGTTTGCGTTACGTTTGGTTTTGAGACAAGGACAATTGGAAGCCAGGGTTCCAACTCGATATTCTTTAAAGCCCCCGATAAATCGGGCTACGTATACCGCCGTGTTTACATTAGGGGATTAGAAGAGTTTATTTTTTATTTAGGTATGCAAGCTACGTATATCAATATTAGGCCTTCATTCATGTACTCGTGTGCATGTAATCAGCATGCCCTTCAATATTATGTAAACCAGGCTATTCAAGTACTGTATAATGTACACTATTTATGTGTGTACTACATACAATACAATTCCCTGGGAAACAAAACACAAATACTTTTTATATGTTCAAAATGAGCCATTTGATTGATGCAAACACTAAATAGCTTCATAAATAACATCTACAAAGTATATCTAATAGTAATTTTCAATTTCAATGGTGAAACTTCCCTGGTTACGATTATATGGGAAATCATGACGAGACGAAGATCGTTCGCCTTCCTGGCTTACCTCTGAAGCCTGTACCGTGGTAATCTCTTTATATAGTTTAGCGAGAGCGGTGCGCCTGCGCAGTTTTAAACTTTGGCGCACACTTTAATCTCCAAGTAATGCGATGTACAGTTTAACGGCTGCGGGGAGAATGAACGATATTCTCCAACAAAGCTGGCGTCATTATTGTCTGACATTTAGCTGGCTATAAATTCACAGCATTTAAAATAGTGAAAAATGGTCATTAATTAAGCCACTAATGATCTTGATCACTTCGTGTGTATTTTTAATTTTTTTGTTTTGTAATAAGGCCAAAACTTGCGATTCAAATTTTGAAGTGAGAAATACGATTCCAAGACTGAGTTGGTTTTTTGGTACGCGGTATTTATGTGAAAGGAATCCAACTTATTATTGTTCTCCATTTTGAATCTCTTGTGATAGATCCATATATGGCTTTTAGGACCATGTTAGGAAAGCTAATAATACCAAGTAATACCAAAGAATTATGGGAGATACTCACGTCTTCTGTGATCACTTAGACAATCAGTCAAAATCACATTTCTAACTAAATTTTTTTGACTTTTTGAACCACCATTTTGTTTTTGTCATATGCTCAATATGATATACTGTATTTTAGTCATAAAGCAATGCAATAATGACAGAACAAGTGATAAGCTCCCATATTTCTTTGGTATTACTTGGTATTGGTAACTTTTCATACATGGTCCTACAAACCATATATGGATCTATCATATGATATTCAAAATGTCGGACAATAGTAAGTTTGATCCCTATATATATATGGTCCTATAAGCCCTATGGATCTATCACATGTATACTGAGTGACCTTGGAATGGGATAATTTCTTTTCATCCTAAAGTCAATGTTGCCACTGAACACCCTATGTATACAAAAATCATATATGAGAAAATTATAGAGAGTTAAAATTAAAGGTTTGCATCTTTTTTAATTTGTATCTTTGTTTTGCAAGGTTGGACTGTCATACAGAGGCGGGTGGATGGAGTAACTAGTTTCAATAATGGCTGGATAGAATACAAATATGGATTTGGAAATCTTTATTCTGACTTTTGGCTCGGCAATGAAAAGGTGAGAATTCTCAAATAAAAAAGTAGTTATATATTGAAATCCTATGTATCGTCATTACTTTCGATTTTTAAGATTTTTCTGATTCCACCCCCTAATTTTGAAAATCTTAATTTTAATAACAAAATCCGATTTTAGCGGAAAATTTGAGAAAAATAGTGATTGTTTCCGATTTTAATTAACATCTGATTTCATTGAATGACCTCCAAATTTAAAAAAAAATGCGATAATTCACGATTGTTTCTGGTTTTAAATGATAGTAGCTTGACTGTTTCAATTGTTAATGCTGATGCCGGGGTGTCCGATATCGATGAGATTTCGCTAACGAACTAGCAACTAAGGCTGATATGACGGACTCATAGTAGAGAATTGGTGGCAACTCCGTCTTTTTCACACAATTGTTTTCAGCTTCATCATCTCACAAACCAGAGAGATTATACATTACGTGTTGATATGTGGGATTGGGAAGGCAATCAGGCGTATGCAGAATACCATACGATGAAGATATCTAGCGAGAAAGAGAAGTACACGTTAAACGTTACTGGGTATTCTGGCAATGCCGGCGATTCACTTACGTTCCATGAAGGCATGGCGTTCAGTACCCAGGATTACGATAACGACAGACATGTGAAGAATTGTGCAGCAGATAATAAAGGTAGTACTGACCATACACTGGGCAAATGCAATTTTTAGAAAATAAGTCGAACATTATGTTGAAATAAGTGTCGAGATTTGGTTTTAACCCATGGTTTTTCGGAGAGTCCGATTCAAAGTTTTATTTTTCTGTCTAAAATCACTATATTGGGCTTTAAGAAATCCCCAGTAGTCGATAGAGAAAACTGATTATGTCTAGAAGTATATTGTAACCAAATATTATTCTTGATTTCTAAACCTTCACATTTTGTTTTCCCAAGGAGGATGGTGGTTCCATAGCTGCTTTTCCAGTCATCTGAACGGCGTCTACCAGAAACGCTGGTACTCGGAGAATGGACGCTCCTTTGCGGATGGCATCGTGTGGTACACACTGAAGCATGACGAATTTTACTCTCTCAAGAAGGTGGAAATGAAATTGAGACCAAATTCTAATTAATTTATTTTGGGACATTTGATCTAATATCTACTTAATACTTATTCAAAAAGACAACATGCCACCAAAAACAATTAAAGGACGTGAAAAGAGACAACATGTTAAAGCCTACATTGTAGTTTTACGAAGACCTGGCCTTGGTGTTTGTGATATTTTCTTTTGGTTTGCTTTTTAAGTAAATTGAAGTTTGAGCAGCTGAACTCTTGAGAATCAAGATGGTCCAATTCTAAAAAACGGATAAAAACGTTTTGGCAAGAGTAATAGTATATACATGTACATATTATTTTAAAACCCTATTTCTGTAAATACTTCTGAAATACATTGTTTATGAAAGCATACAAGCTGTACAAGCTAAATAAAATCAATCAATTAATTAATTAATTAGAGGGAGTTCAGGCCTCCTAGACCTCCACCAACGCGAACACCAGTTCTGAGCTCGCGAACTACGTTCCTTGCGCTCGATTTGAAGATGCTTGCGACTTGAAGATGCTGTTATCTTCAAATAGTGGATATTCATGCATAAAAACTGGGAAAATATTTCTTCCGAATTCCAAATCAAAACACTTCGTTGGTATTTAAGTCATACGTAATAATACGAATAAAATTACGGACTTTTTTCGATCAGGTGTGTGATTCGCGAGAACGGATCTTTGTTCGCGAGTGAGAAATATGTTCGGGACCGAAGAAATGGTGGTGCGCGGCTAAATATTTCTCATTCGCGACGTGAGAATCGTGTTTCGAGCGCAAGCAACGTAGTTCGCGAGCTCAGAACTGATGTTCGCGTTGTTGGAAGTCTAGGAGGTCTGGAGTTTAAGCTTGCATATAAAATCGAAACGCCAACCAAGTATACGTATGACCAATCGCCCATACAAATGCATCGCTTAAATATTTTCCGTTCCCGTTTAGGTTGTGAAAAACATTGCAAACGTAAACTCCATATTGTTAGAACATCTTCCCATTTTCAGGGCATATATAGTGTGAATTCCCCAAAACTGGCACTGTTATCACTTTTACCCATTTTTCATATAAACGTGTATACGAATGGCATTTAGGTCTATCACCATTGTGGCCTCTTCCACCGTTTCCTCATTTTTGGCATCATTGAATGGAGCTATACGATTGCTTCGCCTCCATACCGTAGTTGTCTTTTTTCTTTGGATTTCCAAATAGCGATCTTGCTCATGGCACTGCTAATCCTATGACTTTCAGGTGGTTGTTTTTCCATATTTGTGTAATTTGTTTCTTTGGAGATCAATTTTCAAGAATTTGTTTATAAATTTTGTATTGCAATTGCTTTTGTTTGTGTTTACTATAGAAACAATATTTCTATCACCAGGTAATTCTAATTGTGTAGTATGACATCACACGTCTTGTTGCTATAAAATATACAACCTATAGCAACCATTCCATTATCTAGACTGTATGTCATCACGATTGAATTTTTAAAATCCCTAATTATAAAAAATGACATCACAGTAGAATAAAGGTTATTCAGTTGTGACGTCATAATTGAGAAAATTCTTTCTGGGAAGTAATTTATATTTGTCATGGTAACATTCATAGTTGTTAGGTTTGTTTCATTCGATGTGTATCCCTTCAAACATAAATCTGTATGAATCCTATAAAAACAATAACATATTTATTGACTCCACTACATACACTCTAGGCATCAATACTTCAATCCGATACCCCGGGGTGGAAAACAAGAAGATGATACCTCTTTTGTAATTGAGTTTATGAATAGAGTACACGAAAAATAAAAGTACCAATTAAGTACATAAAAAATGAATATTTTGTATTTATGACCTAAGGGACAAGATAATTGGTATTATTTTTTTGTTAACCTAATTCCTATCGGAGAGAGCGTAATTAAATCGAAGTTTTGTTATAGAAAATACATGAATTTTATCAGTGGGAGTACCGTTTATTGAGAGCCAATTTATTAATTTATGATGGTAAATATGAATTTGGAAATCTTCACTCAGTAGATTTTGGCGATGAAAGGGTGAGGCTTGTCAAGACAAAAACAACAAAAAACTGATGTGATGACAAAAAAGACAGTGTTCATTATATTATGAAAACTGATTATTTGAAACGATCTACAAATAGCATTGTTTTGGATGGTCATTTTAAAGAATATGGAACGCTTCTCGAAATTCCGTTTCATTCTCGAGCGCAGATGACCATGCTAATCTTTTCTGTTTTGGTCTTTAATATGTGTACTATCAGTAACATAGTTCAACTTTAGTAGGCCGTTCAGTAATTGGAATCTGTGGATCACAAATTATTCAGCTCTTCTTGTTCTGTTACATTAGTACTGTTCCTTTCATTATCGCCTGAACAGCACTTCCACTTCAGTTTCTGTTTTTCCTCTTTCGAGAGCGACCTCTTCCATGCTACGACTTCATCGAAGGTCATTGGCAGAGGACGATTTAGAGTCTCCGGGAGAAGAATACCAAGGAAAGCTGAGATCAATGCCGCTACCCCGAACGTCACACCGCTGAACCAAGGTATGAGTGTGTCCTATTGAAATTAAAGTGATAAAATCTTGAGCACCTTATTAGTGCCAACGTTTTAAAGGTGTAATAAATCAATATATAAATAATTAAATAATTCATCTTTTTTTATCAAATTGATTGATTCTGGAATATTTTATAAAAACTAATATAAATGATGGTTTATCTCGATTCATATTACCACATATCCTGTATATGGTGCCAATATGCCTGCAATTCTACCAGAGGCAGATGCAAATCCTAAGCCAATATTCCTGCCAAGATATAAAACACGATCATATTTAGGCACCATAACATGTAATCTGTGCATAAAAAATGAAAAATTACAATGAAAGTACAATGCAACTGAAAAATAAATATCAAAAATATAACTATACTAGTACAGAATAAAGTGATATTTTATTCCTAGCTTGAAATGATGTGTTTTAATTGACCCGAGATTTTAACCAGTGGTTTGCAATTTTTCATGATCATACGTTTAACGTATTTATCCATTACCAGAAACCGACCAATTTTGCTAGTTTATATGACAGCAGACGAACCCTGAACGACTAAAGGATCGGAATAGTACCTGAAATTGGTTGGGTATATTTCAGGAGCGTATATCCAGAGTATGCCAAAGGAAGAAGAAATTGCCAGTTTCCCTATCATCACCAAAGCTGTGCTTAGACCGCCAAGTCCTAAAAATAAAATTGAATATTAAGTTTTTTTTAAAAGAAAGGTTTTAAATCGCAGTCAAATGAGAGAATTTGTGTTGTCGAATTGGATTTACAGTTAAAAATAAAACACAAAACCATAACAGCAACTTCACATTATAAAATAGAATCCTGCGCACAAATTAAGTACCTTTTGGAATGAAGGGAGACGCTATTAATGCCAGTCCTGCCAAAATATGAAAGAGAAACAATGGATGGCGTCTCCCCAATCTGAAAATGCAATATGATGTTTAAGAAAGCATGGATGGAATGGCGTCAAGGAGTTGAAAACCGAAAGATAAACAATCAAAAATTGAAAAATGAACGATAAACAATACTAAAATTGCGTTTACAAATCTGCAAAGGCAAGACTTTTAAAGATTAAAGAATACCGTAATGCATAATTTCTACCAAATACCCAATCTGCAAATGCACACATACAAATATAAGACAAACAAAGGGTACTAAAGTCTATCTCAATGAATCAGGAATGAGGATTTTTGTTGCAATATTTTTTTATACATAAAAGAGAAAAGTCACTTATATGGAATGCTTCTATCCCAAATGAATTTGTAATTGATTGAATTGGAATTAATTGACATTGGTTATTCACTTAATCAGCTGAAATATTTTCAGAGGGAAAATTCTGTTGGATTTTGTAATGTCAAATTCTCATTAAAGTTTTGTTTTCTAGCTTTAAATAATTACAACAACTAAGGAAATTCACAAATTCATTTTGGACAGACTGACAGAGGCATTCCATCAGCAACATTATAGCTTTTCTAAGCACATTTTTTTTATTGCAAATTATAGCAAAAATACTATTCTTATTCATTAGGATAGACTTAAAATAGTGTAAGACAGCAATAAAAACAAGAGATGTGTAATGTATTTTGTCAAATAATTATGCAACATTTTCCAAAGCCAGACATACAATATTGTATACTAACATGTGTAATAAAAACATAATGAACAGGTAAGCAGGGAGTTCCACGATTCCACCGATAAAGAAATTCACGAATCTGTTTCCAGAGAGATTGTTCGTACTCAATGCTAATCCGTAGTAAGTTACGGTATTCACAAACCTATAATAAAAATCATAAGTTTAACATTTCTTGAGGTTAAAGATAACGACAAATGCCCCCCTCTCTTGACTGAATGCTTCCAAGTATGAACTATTTTTCGAGGGATAGAATCAAGAATCGTACCACAAAAAAGCCATAATTCCTGAGTATAGAATCATTTTGGGATGTTTCAGGAGATCTAAAACACTCGTTGAATTCAATTGTTTTCGCCATCCTAGCCATAGTTTAAGCCTCTGAAACGGAGTTGACTTCTCCATAGCGTTTACTGCATCCACTGTTTTATGTTCAACAATCTCGTCTTCCATCATAAGTTTTGATAATGTTTCTTTCTCATCAGACTCTGGATCATTATTGTTGATATTGTAAACACTTGCAGTAAGTACAGCATCGGGTAGTTTGATGTTGTTAAACTTGGCCGCTTTCTTCAACGTGTCAATAGCCTCTTCTATCCGACCATTTGCGACTAACCAAGTAATCGACTCTGGAGTAAACCTAACAAGAGTGGACAGACACACAAATTAAAAATATATCACACATGAAAATGAACCATTTTTCTCTTAAATACAATCCAAAGACTTTGTTCGATGTTAGCGACTCTTTTTATAAAGGTTGTGGTACAATACATGCTACCTACCAGTACATAGGGATTGTTAGTACGGAGGGAATAACTAGCACAAGCTGTAAATATCTCCAGTTTCTGACCAAATATGCTACAGGTGCTAAGAGGGCCACCGAAATTGCCCAAAAACAACATATTATACTGGCAGCCATCGTTCTCTGGTCTCCCGGGAACAATTCCTGCGCTAGTACGAATGCAGCAACATCAGCACCCTAGAAAAAAATTCCCTAAAGTATCGACAGCACAGATAAACCAATCAATATTTTCAGACATTTCTGCATGTAAGTGTTCTCCCCGATACGCAGTTTTTAACTCAATCTTGCCTTTTTCATGCTATAACCCTTTACCTTTTACACCACACAATCAATGTTAACTCCTCATATTTAGATGACAGCTGCATGTTTCCTTACTGCCACATTGTTCTTCACATGGCGGTGGAATGTTTTGGATTTCTTTTCTGATGTTGGCCTTAAGTTTAGCCTAGGGCTTTTGGCCATGGATAAGCATAAAAATTCTCCGTAGAATAGCCCCAGAGAAAGAAGTCCGTGGATGACGATGGCAGAACAATCACAGAAAACAGGTCAATTATCGTCAAATGATGTAGGAGTCATACTTTAGAGAGTTACGTAGGCTAGCTGATATCCGAATGAAAACACAGTGGTATCTTAAAGATAGTCTTTCCATACACAGCAAGAGCCACACGAGAATTCCTACAAACGCAGTTTCTTGAACGTCCCCAATTCACAAGATTTGACACCCCGACGTTTTTCTCTGGGGCTATTTGAAGGACCATGTTTATGCTAATTCCAAGCCAAGAGACCTAGAGCAATTTAAGGCCAACATCCAAAAAGAAATCCAGAACATTCCACCTGAAACATTATCAAATGTGATGAACAATGTAGCAGTAAAGGTACAGGCTGTCATCAGTAGACGAGGAGGTATAATATTTGTCATGTTTGTGGTGTAAAGAGTTACAGCTTCAAAAAGGCAAGACCGAAAAAAACTGTGTATTGGGGAGAAAACTTGCATGCTTCGGGAATATGACCATGCAGAAAATGTCTGAAATTATTGATTGGTTCATCTGTGCTGTTGATATCCCGGGGTTGATACACTTTAAGGTACATTTTTGAGACACCCTATAGAAGAACATCGAGTGCCAAATGACCACTGATACTAAATTCCAATTGGCGTTTCGATCGGCACTGTTGAGAAAAAGCTCGATTCGAATAATAAGTCATGTGAGAAAATACAAAAGAAAATTACAAACGCAAAAACTATATAAATAGATATGCAAAAGAGTACTCCAAAACGATTTAAGAATTATGCATGTTAATTGAAAATTGACATTCTCCGAACGCAGGGATCAAGGCATTATCCATTCCGTTCCTAAAGAAGGCAGGAACAGAGTGTATGATGTCTGAGTTTCTACGTGCGAAGGGTGAAGCTTTAGTTGATGTGCTTATTTAATTAATATCATCTGATATTTTTTCAAAGGGTATACCTGTTCGAACATACCAATAAAGAAACTAAGAATGGCGAACGTGGTGTAGTTCTGAGAAAAGGACCTTGAAATGCCGATGACAGCCATCATCCACGCGCAACCAAAGTAAACAGGTTTCCGCCCTATCTTGTCTGTAACAAAGATATGCTTTACCAATAGGCTAATAGAACAATAGGCTATATGTATCAGTCCAACAATAATGTAAGCTACTTATTTATCAATGGGTATTGTAAAACGTGTCGTACTTAATGCCAAGAACCCAGAAGGACACTGTGAATCCAAAAGCAAAGGTGACATTGTGCTGTACACTCGAAAATTACACATGTAGAAACAAAATAGACGAATGTAGAACAATCATGTATGTTCGAGAGTAAAAAACAAACTATAATTATTAAGTCTTACTGAGTTCGAATCTTAAGTTCAGAGGATAGTAGGTTCCTGTTTGCTTTGTAAATACACCTTAATTGAACTTGTGTTGTACTAGCACTAACAAAGCCCCTAGAAAAATCTCCTTTTTGGAAATCGCCTTTTTGACGTTATGGATGTGGATTTTAGCAAGGGGCTTTTTTTTTTTTTTTTTTTTTTTTTTTTATTTATCATGTTTTATTTAATACAATAATATATGTAAAAAGAAAATTTCCAAAAAGCCGACTTTGTTTAACATTATAAGTCGCAGGGTTAATTATAAAATTTTATTTCAAAAAAACAATCCAATTGGTGAAGCAAATTGGTGAATAAATTAAGCATAGAAGGTTTGATAATTGCTGCTAACACTCAGACACTTACACACTTCTGGAGAAAAGAGGCACTAGTTTCAAGAACAGTTATGTTTGTAGCGTAGTTAAGTTTTGAGCTGCCAAAAAGAAAGAAATTCAATTTCTCTTGTTGGGTCTTAAAATTCTTTTTATATTGGATTTCAAGGTTATTTAGTTTAATTTCGAAGTCAGTTAGGAGGGTCCTACGGAGTCTGCAGTTAAAGATGACATGCTTGGATGTTTCACTTTTGAATCCACACTTACATTTTGGTGTATCAGCTAGAGTAAAGTTGTGGGCATGAAAATGAGATTGAAAAATCAAGTCGACTCTAGTCCTATTAAGACTGATTTCCTCTGGTCTAGGTAAATGCAATGAGGTAGATGATATGATAGGTTCTGGATAAATGAGAAGTGTCAATTTAGATTTGAAAGTACTTAAATTGTCTGTCTCTTGGAGTTGTTTGGGTAGTTTGTTCCATTCTGAGATAGCAGTAAAAATGCATGTTTTCTTTAATATCACAGATCTTTTAGCGGGCAAGACAAATTCAGTTGGATTTCTCAAATAGAGAGGAGGTTGTTGTCTCTTATATTTATCAAATATGTTTTGAACATATGAAGGAACTTTCTGATTTTGGACATTGAACATGAGGGTTAGTCGATGAAACTTCCTCCTCGTCTCTAGTTTAGGCCAATTTAGAATATTGAGCACCTTTTCAGAAGATGACCCATGAATAGTTCCACTACAAATCAGAGCTGCCTTGTAGTAGAGTTGGTCAATGCGTTTTAATTTGGAAATATCTGCACATCCATAGAGGATGTCGCAGAAATCAAAATGTGGTAAGATAAAAGATTTGAACATAAGATTTAGATGGTTTCCACTAAGTTTTTTACTTAATGCTTTAAGTGGATTTAAAAGCTTATCAATTTTCTTTGCAAGATGGGTAATGTGGAAATTGAAAGATAATTTAGAGTCAAGGATAAAGCCAAGGTGTTTATGCGAAGCACACCTAGGTATGGATTCAGTTCCCAATTTTAGGTCAGGGGTTATTATTTCATTCTTTTTTGGACTACTAAATGTCAGATCATCACTTTTAGAGGGTTTGAATTTTAATTGCCATTTATCAGACCAATTGTTTATAGAATTTAGATCAGATTGGAGGGTGTTTATACATTCAGGCATATTATCATGGCTGAAGGGCTGATAAAGAGAAGTGTCATCTGCATACAGAAAACACTTGCTTAAAATATCATCAGGTAAATCGTTTATGTAAACTAAGAATAGCAGAGGTCCTAAGATGGACCCCTGGGGAACTCCCGAATTGATATAGTCGCTGGCTGACCATGGAGATTCGTGTCCGTCAATAAGCACTCTTACTTTTCGATTGGTAAGATAAGATTCAATAAGTAGCATTATATTTGGACCAAAACCGTATGCATGTAGCTTCTTAAGTAATAGCTTATGGGGTAAAGTATCGAAGGCGGCCGATATATCAAGAAAGACTGCACGAACATCATTACCATTATCCATATTAGAAGTTAAAAAATCAAGAATACTTAGTAGTTGGTGTTGTGTACTGTGACCTGGGAGAAATCCACTTTGAAAATTAAATAGAAGATTGTTTGTTAGCAAATGGTCAAACATCCTTTTAAAAATAACTCTCTCGGCTACCTTTGAAAGGCAGCTTAATAGAGTTATTGGACGGTAATTAGAAACAAGATTTTTGTCACTTTTTTTATGGCATGGGATAATATTCCCTAGTTTCCAGGAATTAGGAAATTTTCTCATTTCAAACATCTTATTGAGAAATTTTGAAAATAATTTTGATAAAGATGGAGCTGCTAACTTGAGCATTTTATTACTTAGTTTGTCAGGACCTAAAGCTTTGCTAACATCGAGTGATAAAAGAATTTCATAAATCTCTCTGTCATTTGTTGAAAGGATATTTAAAAAAGAATCAGTTCTAAGGTCAAATTGAACACTGTCTGTATCTACGTTATGATCAGAATGAAAATTTTTGATGAAATGGTCAAGAAATAAATTAGCCTTTTCTGTGCTGGTGAGTATAGAAGAGCCGTTTTGGTTGGTCAAAATAGGAATCCTAACAACTTTAGTTTTGAATAAAAGTTTAGATATGACCGACCAGTAAGACTTGCTGCCATATTTAAGGGAGTTTAATTTCTCATACATGTGTGATTCATACTCAAGTTTGGCCTTTGTTATTTCCTCGTTAACAATATCACATTGGTCAATGTACTTTTGATAGCGTTCTTGATTGTTGTTGTGGCGGTATTTGAAATGTAGACGATTCCGTTTATTAATTAGTGTTTTAATGTGAGGCTTGAACCATGGTTTATCATTGCTCCGGACCTTTATAAGTTTATTTGGAATGGTATTAGTAAATATTTGGTAGAGTTGGTTAGTAAATTGATCACATAACATGTCCATATCATATGAATTTTCAATAAGTTGATCAAGTTTTGAATTTCTAATTGAGTCGTTGATATTTTGAACATCAGCCTCGGAATATGACCAAATTCTACGGAAATATGGCAGTTCCTTTACTGTACCAATAAATGAGGTACAGACTAGAGTGCTGTGGTCAGTATTTCCGATTGGAGGTGTAACATTTGAAGAGGATATAAGATTTGGTTGATTAGTAATAAGAAGATCAATGCAGGATTGGCTTCTATTTGTGACGCGAGTTGGTTGGTCAATTAACTGCGAAAAACCCAGACTTTGGAGATGGTTATTAAGCTCATTTCCAGAAAGGTTTTCATTGTCAGCATCCCACCAAATTTTGTTACGAGCATTAAAATCCCCATTAATGACAAGCAGGTCAGCATTGGCATTAGTCAAAATGTTGGAGCAGGTATCATAAAATCTTTTAAAATATGCTTTAGACTGTTGAGTATCTTGGGAAGGGGAACGGTAAAAAACTCCATATATAATGCTCTTGTGGTGGAGCTTAAGTTCAATAAATAAGGCATCTCCCTCAGCATTAACAAAATCATGTCGAGCTATAATAGGGATTTCTTCAGATATATAGATAAGTAAGCCACGATTTTTAGCCGAGTAAATTGGAGGATGGAAATTAGGAATGGAAAAACGATTGGTAATTTCATCTTGGGTAAAGGTTCCGACTTCACAGAGACCTACAACTTGGCAATCTTCTGTTAAGATACGTGTTTTAAGAGCATCAAACCGAGCGCCAAATTGAGCACTGATGCTATTTATGTTGGAGAACAAAAATTTTACAGTTGACCAGTTATGAGGTCCAGGATGTGATTCTATGTCGCCACTTAAAATAAGTAAGGATTCAATGGTGTTGGGTATATAGCAAAGTTGAGGAGTAAAAACAATGATAAGAAGCACAAATGAAGTGATAACATACTGTATATCATATTACGCAAACTATATGAAGTTGCACTACATGCAACTTGGACATAATTGATAATACTTAAGACTAGGAAGCCCATAATATTTATATAAACAATAAACACAGTTATGAGTACTAAGGAAATCATATGCGGTGAGAGATTAAGCAATACACCATTGACCGTTGTAAGGAGCAATAGTAATCCAGTCAATAGTTGAAAGAGTACTTGAAGCATTTGGCATTTACTAGGTTTGGGAGAGTCAAGTAATTTATTTGTACTGCAGATACTACTGAATAGACCAATGGCTCTACGCCAAGATTGAGTATCTATGCCCATTGCCTTATTAAGCAGTTAGCATAAGAGAAATATACATTAAAAAAAAATCAGGTTGAGGTATGGAAAGATGAGTACATACGCTACATTCTTCTATGTAAGTTTCATGAGGAAGAGGTAAACAAAGTGTGTAAGTGCCAAAGTGAATGAACCTTTATTAAGACTATGACAAGTTTTTAACCTGTTAAATAATAGATGGCAACTAAGTTGCTATCTTGCGAGTGGTTCAGAGTCTGGCAGCAATAAAATAAGAAAGGACCAGTGTGTTTCACCAAGGAGGATTATTGGCTTGGTTTGCAAGGGAAAAACCTTTGTGAATGGGTCACAAAGTTTGTAAGTTGGTTCAACAAACAAAAGGAACTGGTGTGAAAACAAATTAAGGTTTTCAGGATCACACTGTGATTACAACAAAAATTAGTGTATGAGTGTTTATAAACATTGGCACTGAGTCAACTTTGAGAAGAAAAGGTAACATGTACTTATACATGTTATAGTATTTGTATACTGACACAATTAACCCTTTGGGTTGAAAGTTCAGAAAAGAGATGAAATATCATCTGTAATGTCAACCTGTTTTCTTTGATCAGATATATGTCCAATTGCCCAAATTTTACCATTGTAGGCCCATGCGTCCTTAACATTAGTTGCTTGTTTCAGGCGCCACAGGAGATTCTTGTTCAATGGGGAGAGACTTTCATGTAGAGACACTCCTGTAGATTTAAGGGACTTGCGTGTCTGGATTAGATGGTCACGAAGTTTACGGCTTCTAAATCGCACAATTATTGGCCTCGGTTTCCCATTTTTGCCTTTAATCCTATGAGCCACATCAATATCATCTTCGGTGACGATGGTGTTTGGCATAATGGTGCTCAGCTTTGTAGATACAGCTTTAATGCAATCTTCATTTCGTTCATTAGTGTCATTTATACCATGGACAATGAGTTGGTCCTTACGAGAGTACTGATTGTTCTTGTTAATGTCACTTTTCATGTTGTTTAAATCACCTTTCAAGTTGGACACTTCAGCATTCAGTGATTGGACATCTTCTCTTAGCTTTGTGTTCTCAGCTTTGAGGGCATCAATGCTGGTTTTGAATAAAGTTTCCATTTCCTAGCAAGGGGCTGTTTTCAAGAATTACATTGTATTTAATATTGTGTAGAGATTTCTTTTAAAGTCTCCGATAAATCGGGCTACGTATACCGCCGTGTTTACATTAGGGGATTAGAAGAGTTTATTTTTTATTTAGGTATGCAAGCTACGTATATCAATATTAGGCCTTCATTCATGTACTCGTGTGCATGTAATCAGCATGCCCTTCAATATTATGTAAACCAGGCTATTCAAGTACTGTATAATGTACACTATTTATGTGTGTACACAATACAATTCCATGGGAAACAAAACACAAATACTTTTTATATGTTCAAAATGAGCCATTTGATTGATGCAAACACTAAATAGCTTCATAAATAACATCTACAAAGTATATCTAATAGTAATTTTCAATTTCAATGGTGAAACTTCCCTGGTTACGATTATATGGGAAATCATCATGAGACGAAGATCGTTCGCCTTCCTGGCTTACCTCTGAATCGTGTACCCGGTAATCTCTTTATATAGTTTAGCGAGAGCGGTGCGCCTGCGCAGTTTTAAACTTTGGCGCACACTTTAAAGAGAGTATATCTCAGTGAATTTATGAATTTGAATTCTTGTTAGTAGTTTTGCTTATAGAAGGACCCTTGCTGTTTAACCCCGCTGTAACTTTATGAATCTCCAAAGGGATTTAGTTTTTGTAAAAAAATAAATCAAAGATTGCTTTAAAGTATTGAAAATAGTAGGTCTGCAAAAGAAGATAATACCTTAATGGAAGGTCTTTAGAATAATGTTAACACTATACGAACGTACATATGATTTACTAAAGAATGATTACGTTGTTACCTGCCAACGAGGTGAACAAAATAGCTCCCACTACTATCCCCAAGCTGAATATCACCGCAGACGTCTGGACGTACACAGCTTTGCCACAGACAAGGTCCCACTGGAAACGAATGCAACTTAGTAATGTTATCAGCTTTAATCTATTTTCTTACTAAATCATCTAAATCATTGATTGTTATTTTTGGTACATCTCGAAATATGAATATTGTTAAAACAAGTTGAACTTGAAATTGCTGATTATTCAACTACACGTTCAATTGATTCCAAGGGGTTTTCGAGATATCTTATATTTTTGAAAGTACATGAGTTCAGAACTGTTGTAGAAAGCTTTTACCTTGATTAATGTTTAATTTGAAAGATACTTCTGACTTAATACTCCTATCCCCACTTACATCTGTGACAATTGTAGATTCAAATTCATCCCCATATTCCCAGCCATACATACATGGAACTGTAGAATTGGTACCATTGGCATACATTTGACATTGAGATGGTACGAAAGCGCCATCTCTAAGCTCATATGGGCTTGATTCTGTGATATTCCTACCAGGATGAGGTTTGCAGTAGTGCTCAGGGGTTGCACCTGTAATGATTGGTAAACACAAATCCCAAATTAAGCATTAAGGAATGGATCACCCGGTCCTCATAGTCAAATACAAGTGTTTGTTGAAAAACCGGGTGCCAGGTACACAATCCTGCGAAATCCACCATGTCTGATGGAGAATCTGGAAGTGCGTTGGAAAAACCCCGTTTTGAAATGAAAATGTGCTCGTAACGTCATCTGCCATTTTTAGCTCACATGGTGAGCTTTTGCAATCACTCACTTGTCCGTCTGTCCTTCCGTTGGTAAGTGGTCCGAAAATGACTTTAAACTATACAAAATTTTTCCGGTTTATACACATGGTGTATAGTCTAAATAGTCCATTAATCCCATACCCTAGGCCTAACAGGTTAAACATAATTTTTAAATAAAATAAATATACATATGATTTTTTTAAATAGTTTAAAATACTGAGTAAATGGTATAGATATATGAATAGAAAAATAAAAATGAAATAAATAAAAAAAGTTAACTATAAAAATGGAAAACAAATGAAAACCAGAACGCAGTGCTACGCTGGAAACACACTTGATGCTCAATTAACTGACATTGAAGCAATGCAACAAGCTAAGCGTAAAATGCTCAACATTTTTTACTCCATCAAACCTATTGGTATTGGCAAAGGTGGCATTAACCCCCTTGTTGCCGTTAAGCTATTAAAAACAATTGTGTTTCCCGCTGCCATGTTCGGCTGCGAGTTATGGACAACATCCAATGTAGAACTTCACGCACTTAACGTTACCATTCGAAAAATTGCAAAAATAATACAAGGATTTGAGCAAAACGTCTCATCGGAAGTTGTCCTCTCTACGCTCGGTTTACTGTCAATTGAGAGTTATATAGATAGAGCAAAGGTGTTGTTTTTTGATAGACTATGCAGAGCCACTCATGTTTTCACAAAACAATTGTTTCTATATAGACTCTCTTCATTTTTAGTTCAGAAAAATGAAATCTGTAATGGTCTTATTAAAGACGTCATGTCAATGGAGTATGACTATGTACAGGAGTCAATTCAAAACTTTCTCAGATCTGGCCAACTTTTGACCAAAGTAAAATTTAAAATGATGTGTACTAATCAAATAAAATTAAATGAAGAAACAAAATGGCGTGCCCGAGTAAATGCGGATGATTCATTATCATTATTTTCGAATGTACAATTGTCAATAGAACCTTCGGTTTTATGGACACTTGGTCAAAAGGCTACCGAGCAACTTTGGGAATTAGCCCACATATTGTATTTGACCACACCTGCAAGATTTAGGTTATATCAATGTAAACGTTGCAAAGATTTTACTGGCTCGATAGTCACACATTTCATGAAATGTGGTGAACTTATAAATGAAAAGAATGATTTCATTGAAAACTATATTTTCAACTCCCTGTCCGTAGAGAATTGTGTCAAATTACTTGACATGGAGGAAAATATAGTCTTAGAAACAATACTTGGCAGCAGAGTTGACTTTCAACTCGATGATACTCAATTTACCGAGTTCATTCTTTCGTGTGCAAGGGGCTTAGCACACATAGATATTTTCTTTAAATCATGCTAATTCAATGCGCGTATATATGTTTTATATGAATAGGTGTAAATAGATACTTACTATGAAACTCTGCGATAATTGCAGAACTACTTTGTAATATGTAAATTTTAAAGTTGTTTTTGTTCTATAAATTTGTAAATCTTCTTATAAGGAGGAAATAAAGATACAATACAATACAATAATATAGTTCAGGGAACCAGTTATGTCTTATTTATTGAATCCATACAGGGAAGGGGAGTGTTTCCATGGACTAAAACGTTAAACCCACCTATGCCCAGTCACAAGCCTGAGGAACCTGCTTTTATATCTAATGTGGATTTTTATCTTACCAATCATGACTTAAATATTAATATGGGTATTTCCTATAATTAATATATACTGGATTTTAACTTACCAAATATGACTTCAATATTAATATGGGTTTAAACCTATAATAAATTAAATACTGGATATGACAAATAAATAAAACAATTATAATCTACCTACATGATGTAGATATCCAAATGCAGGTCTGAATTTATCTTTGTGGAAAGATCGTATGCTTCAGTTGCTCTTTAACAAAACATGTGGGACAGGGTATCTATATATTACAAGACGTCCATCCGTCCGTCCGTCAACAATAGTGGCACGTTTTAAAACCTCTGTCGATAGGATTCCTGTTTTAAGTTATTTCTGTTCAACATCAATACAGAAAACTCCCCTATGACTCCTGGTTCAAAGCTCGCCCATTTTCAAAATGGCCGCCATTTTTGTCTCACGAAATTTACTTTTGACCCATTTCCTAGCTTTACAAATAATTTCAGGTGTCCTACATTGTAAAAATCCATGTCAATGTAAAGAGTAGATATATGAAATAATTTTGTTACAAAAAATCAGCAAAAAATTATATCTTTTTTCTTATTTTCAGCCATTAGTTAACATTGATTTGTCCATCTGTCTCGCAAAATCCATTTTTGGACCATTTGCCTTAAACCCTCTGTCGATAGGATTCCCGTTTTAAGTTAATTTTGTTCAACATCAATACAAAAAACTCTCCCATGACTCTTGATTCAAAAGCTCGCCTATTTTCAAAATGGTCGCCATTCTTGTCTCGCGAAATTCACTTTTGGCCCATTTTCTAGCTTTAAAAATAATTTCAGCTGTCCTGCATTGTAAAAAGTCATGTCACTGTAAAGAGTAATTGTATGAAATAATTTTGTTACAAAAAATCGGCAAAATTTTATATCCATTTTTTTATTTTCAGCCATTTAAGTTAACATCTATATATCTATATTTAAGTTGTCCATCTGTCTCGCGAGATCCTCTTTTGGACCATTTGCCTTAAAGGGATCCACCACCTTACAAAACTTCTTAACGGAGAGGAATAAGGGAAAATGCTTGCCGGATTCTGAATCTGTGTAATTTTTAATGATTTTTCACCGTCTTAGAATTTCAATTTTTTCATTTGAAAAAATGAGATTTGCATTGTTTTCCAATTAGAAAAATGAGTAAACATGAATAGCTCGAAATCTAATGGTGAGATTTTGTTTTAAAAAATCATGGATATCAAGGCTAAATATAGCTATACAGTAAACATAAAAAAGCAATGCTTGGACTCTTCATATTCACACAAAAAATTAATTAGTAAATGAGGTTTGATATTTGTGAGAATAAGTTGTACGAGGTGCAATGCTCTACAAACACCAGACTACAGGGCGGATTAGGATCAATGACACACATAAAAATTAATCTAAAAATATTTCATGATAATTATCTCAAACAAAAGCAGTTAGCGAAGGATACATTTCATTACACTCAATAAATAGTTATCACTTTTTACTTACATACATATCTCATGGGAATGTATTTCCATCTGCTCAAGATATCATATTTTAGCTTCGAAAATCACAATCGTTGGATAATACATTTGTCTCAGAATAATAGGCCACCCTGTAGCAATGTAGCTTTCACTTGAAGTGTACCCTTGAGAATAATGAACTTACTTTCAAATTTCAAATCTTTCCAGGACCATCTTTTTTCAAATGTATCACTATACGCGCATGCATAGACAGATAACATAGATATACATATAAATTATATATTGCACCTGTATTTACTTACATGGGAATATATTCCCTTTGGAAAAATGCAAATGCATGAACATATATTTTCATCTTATATATGACTTCAAGCTAACATATTATTTCATATTTATATTTTCATAGTTAGTTTAACATGAATAATAGATCCATGAGAACAATATTATTTTTTTAAATTGATGGGTTTACTGTGAATTCAAAAAATTACAATTTGCAAGGGGTAAGTATACTGTATGAGCTAGCTAGTGGCTTTGTATTTTATGTTAGGCCAGGGTAATTAAATTAGTTGTTTCTCTTTCTTCTATTTTTCAAAATTGATACGGGAATGACGGTTTTATATTACCTTTTTTGTCTATCTAAAATGCTGATGAGGGACGGGATGATTTTTTTCTTTAAAATAACTGTAAAAACAAATAACTAATTTTGAAGGAAATAAACTGAGTTTATGTTGAATTTATATGTTGAATTTAGCCTACTTTACTGGAATATTTGATCATATATCAGTACCACGATATTGTCAATTATCCTGATCCATAAAAAGTAAAAATAAAAAAAGGTGTTTCACACGCCATGGATGCGCGCGAGGTACGGTGTTTTTTCTCAGAAATGGCAGAAGAAGGTGGAGGGGGATTGGGCCACACGCGGGCAAGAATGAGAAACAACTTATTTAATTACCCTAACCTTAGTTCATCCAGTAGTACGTTTTTACTGCAAAGTAGTGTTTTTATATGCAGCTTTATAGCATAAAATATGTTGAATGAAGCATATTGTGTGGATTAGTCGTGTAACACACAAACTGACCAATACATGAGGGTATTAGCTACTTTTCACATAAACCAAAGGAGGACAGTGCTTTTATTTCAACTGGGAGCTTACCTCCACACGACTGATCATGTGACCATGGTGGTGGTCCCCTTTAAAACCTCTGTCGATAGGATTCCAGTTTCAAGTTATTTTTGTTCAACATCAATACAAAAAACTCCCCTATGACTCCTGGCCTATTTTCAAAATGGTTACAATTTTTGTCTCTCGAAATTCAATTTTGGCACACTTCCTAGCTTTACAAATTATTTCAGGTATCCTGCATTGCAAAAAGCCATGTCACTGTAAAGAGTAGTTGTATGAAATAATTTTGTTACAAATAATTGGCAAAAAATTATGTCCATTATTTTAAGCCATTTTACTTAACATCGATTTGTCCATCTGTCTCTCAGTCAGTCCAAATAGTGGCAAGTGGCTTGAATTAAGACCAATTTCATTTTGGCAAAAACAACATTTATTCAACTATGCAAATGTTATGTTCAAAGTGTGGTCAGTCACTACATACATACATAAATCTCGTGGACAAAATGTCCGTAACATCTCTCAAATAGCGTTGTAATCTTAGCGTGACCATGGGCTTTCAAGAGATTGTGTGACACTCAGTGGTTGATTTTTTAGTTGTTAGAAGACTGTTTTCTGGTTAAAACGACATAATAAAGCTTCCGAATGGTGCGTTAAAATGTGGTGATACATTCAATTTCGACGAAAAATACCCGCGACATCATCATTCTGAAGTTAAGTACACTGTTTGAATTCTCAGTCGTTGGCATACCGTAAAACGACATATAACATGACATAATAGCTTTCAAAAAATGCACGTTAAATGTTTGATCCTTATTCCGACATATCGAAAAAAAAAATATAAGGTACTCAAATGCCCCGTTTTTCAACTTTACCAGATCCCCCAGCAGGGAGTATAAAGTTCTTGGCCCCACTATTTTCGACAATCCCTAAAAACAAAGTTTTCACAAGGCATTAACATGACAAAATGTCACCACCTAGTTAGGTCATTGAAGGTCAAGTGTCAAATCTTAAGTCAAATCTAAAGTCAGATTTGAATTTCTGAGAACACGTAGATGAATTTGAAATTTTTTTTTAGTTAATTTGAAGCAAGTTGAAAAAAGACCTTTTTGACCTTGAGAAGGTCATTGAAGGTCAAAGGTCAAATCTAAAGTCAGATTTGAACTTCTGAGAACTTGTAAAGTCAAATTTGAACTTCTGAAAAGATGTAGATTATTTTGAAAAAAAAATTTGGTCAATTTGAAGCAAGTTGAAAACAGACCTTTTTGACCTTTTTTGACCTTGAGAAGGTCATTAAAGGTCAAATGTCAAATCTAAAGTCAGATTTGAATTTCTGAGAACATGTAGATGATTTTGAAAAAAAATTAGTCAATTTGAAGCAAGTTGAAAAAAGACCTTTTTGACCTTTTTTGACCTTGAGAAGGTCATTGAAGGTCAAATGTCAAATCTAAAGTCAAATCTAAAGTCATATATGAATTTCTGAGAACATGTAGATAATTTTGAAAAAAAATTTAGTCAATTTGAAGCAAGATGAAAAAAGACCCTTTTGACCTTTTTTGACTTTGAGAAGGTCATTGAAGGTCAAATGTCAAATCTTAAGTCAAATCTAAAGTCAGATTTGAATTTCTGAGAACACGTAGATGATTTTGAAATTTTTTTTTAGTCAATTTGAAGCAAGTTGAAAACAGACCTTTTTGACCTTTTTTGACCTTGAGAAGGTCATTGAAGGTCAAATGTCAAATCGTAAGTCAAATCTTAAGTCAGATTTGAATTTCTGAGAACACGTAGATGATTTTGAAAAAAAAATTTAGTCAATTTGAACCAAGTTGAAAACATACCTTTTTGACCTTTTTGACATTGAGAAAATCATTGAAGGTCAAATGTCAAATCTAAAGTCATATTTGAATTTCTGAGAACATGTAGATGATTTTGAAAAAAAGTTTAGTCAATTTGAAGCAAGTTGAAAAAAAGACCTTTTTGACCTTTATTGACTTTGAGAAGGTCATTGAAGGTCCAATGTCAAATCTTAAGTCAAATCTAAAGTCAGATTTGAATTTCTGAGAACACGTAGATGATTTTGAAATTTTTTTTTAGTCAATTTGAAGCAAGTTGAAAACAGACCTTTTTGACCTTTTTTGACCTTGAGAAGGTAATTGAAGGTCAAATGTCAAATCTTAAGTCAAATCTTACGTCAGATTTGAATTTCTGAGAACACGTAGATGATTTTGAAAAAAAAATTTAGTCAATGTTGAAAACAGACCTTTTTGACCTTTTTTGACCTTGAGAAGGTCATTGAAGGTCAAATGTCAAATCTTAAGTCAGATTTGAAGGTCAAATGTACAATCTAAAGTCAAATCTAAAGTTAGATTTGAATTTCTGAGAACATGTAGATGATTTTGAAAAAAAATTTAGTCAATGTGAAGCAAGTTGAAAAAAGACCTTTTTGACCTTGAGAAGGTCATTGAAGGTCAAATGTCAAATCTAAAGTCAGATTTGAACTTCTGAGAACATGTAGATGATTTAGAAAAAAATTGAAGTCAGTCTAAACAGTATTAGTCAATTTGAAGCAAGTTGAAAACAGACCTTTTTGACCTTTTTTGACCTTGAGAAGGTCATTGAAGGTCAAATGTCAAATCTAAAGTCAGATTTGAAGGTCAAATGTCAAATCTAAAGTCAAATCTAAAGTCAGATTTGAATTTCTGAGAACATGTAGATGATTTTGAAAAAAAATTTAGTCAATGTGAAGCAAGTTGAAAAAAGACCTTTTTGACCTTGAGAAGGTCATTGAAGGTCAAATGTCAAATCTAAAGTCAGATTTGAACTTCTGAGAACATGTAGATGATTTAGAAAAAAATTGAAGTCAGTCTAAACAGTATTTGTTAAGTTATAGGAAGTTGTAAGAAATTGTTACAGACGCCGGACGCCGGACGCCAACCTCCAAGCACCAACCACCAACCGCCAACCACCAACCGCCGTCGCAAAAAAACGGAGACCATAACAATATGTCACCACTTTTGGTGGTGACATAATAAACAAGTACCAATCTATGAATCTGAATTGTTGCAGTTGTTTGAGTGCTGTCATTATACAGGACTCTGAATTGAATTGCTAAAAATGACTCGCAGCAGTGCATATAATCCATTCACTTAGTATATATATCCCTCTATGGTACACTTTGAAGTGCAATATCCGGTAGCAATGTCAAAGTAGAGTCACCTCTCTTGATAATTAAGTCAATGATTTATGCTACTTCGATTTACTTACCTATGAAAACGATACCAAGTATACTCCAAGCATCTGGTAAACACGAAAATACACCAAGGAACACCATATAAAACATTTGCCATCGACTATAGCGTCCCAAACTCGATAACGCCTTGTCAACATTCATGATGTATTACATTCACGAAATAAAATCCAAAATGCAAATCATGTTGTGATAGAATGTGAAGTCGAAACAATGATAAGAGGGCATCCCCTTCGTTTGAACTCTACACCCCCCAATAAAAATGTGGCAATCAAAGGTCCCCATTTGGCCACCCCCAAGTCACATTAAACTAGACTATCTGAATACCTACTTAAAGGGACAAAGTGCGTAAATGAAGTCTCACTTTTGATCTTCATAGTATTTCCAATGGATAAATAAGTACCCGATCTTTCATTTGACACCAAAACAGCTCAAACAGACCACATCAGAGTTGACACTAGATCATGAAAAATATTTTTGATCAATCAATTTATATGTGTCAAGTTTTTAGCCATGCCATAGAAAGATGGCATTGTTGTTTGCATTAATTATCCATTCATTTTGATAGGATTTTCAAGCATACGCCATCTTTTAATCCAAGAGTTATTTAAAACATCCACAAATGTGAAAAGTGGTAATTCACTTTTTTCAGTCTCTGAACTTCAAATGCCGTTTTCTATACGAGTAATTTTTTTTTCAGTTCAGTATTATCCCAAATTAAAGTTTTTATCATATTTGATTGGCTGTGTGATTGACATGTCTCATATAATATTTTGTCCTTTTTCCTTCCAAAATAGGCACATTGCCTGTTTAAAGTGTGAATTACTGAATGGGCTAAAACTGTGCGAACGGATTGAACGGTGTTGGAACTTTTTATGATCGTTTCACAATCTTCATGGATGAAAACTGACAAAAGTCCTTCAAAACTTCGAGCTCGCTTTGATTTCTGCTAGCCATTGCGTTCTGCAATTAGACAGGGTGACAACGGACTTGAACTACATGAATATACAGAGAACGTAATTCAGAAACAGTATCAAGCAGCCATCCGGTTTACAAACTAATGTGTATTGAGGGAGATGTATAAAACTTGTAAAACTATGTTTACAACCGAGTTTATCTTCAAGAGGGACAGCTAACGTGTGAACAATAAAGTGTTGATTATATGTTATTATACTATCAAATGATAATCACTCGTCTTTTATCTATAGGATGCCAAGCATTTAGTATGATTATGTTACCTTGTTATTTTGCGGTTAGCCAGCATAATCTATCAGTTGAAATGGTTGTGTACAATGTACACAACCATTTCAACTGAACATGCGTGTAGAACTAGAGACCCGGGCAAGTGCACGACTTGTTTGAAAGGGTGTCTAACTGCGAGACAATCGAAAAATTAATATTGCAATTTTTATTGACTTGTCTGAAGCTTTCGATGCTATAAATCATGAGATCAAAAATGACATGTTTGGAGTCAGAAATAAACGTAGGTTGTTCATTAGGCTGATCTCTCTAACCGAATTCAAGAAACAATACATAACGATAACGTCTTAGAAGATTTATAATCACGTGTGGTGTTCACTAGGGTTCAATCTTTCGACCCATTCTGTTCCTTATTTGCATTTTTACAACATCTTCCATGTATTAGCTCACTTGTTGGCGAGGCTATGAAATCACCCTTCTATCCGTTCGTCCCTTCATCCACCCTATGACGTGTCTGTTTGAAAACCCGAAATTTTGCAATGTTACACCATGGACCTCCAGTCTAGCTACAGTCTAGATTGTTGGAAAGGTATGCGAAACACTTATTACTATAATAGACCTGCAGCATGCAGGAAGGTCAAGAATTTAACGTTTGACTTCCAAAGTACTAGTACCTTGTGGATAAATCATATTCCGTTGGAAAGCTTATATACTCAGGTGTATGAAACCAGGGCTAAATAAGGCTTCAGAGTTGTATATTCAAAAACATGAAGAATCAACAAAGTACAAATTTTGTGAATAATCATTGTATTTATCATATTATATTATTGCAAGCATTTTTACACAGGAATGTTACATATGTGAAATGTAATCTTAAAAAATTAGTTGTCAATATGAAGTTGCTGTTTTTACAGGGTAGGGCAAAAACAATCCCCAATTCAAATTATGGAATAGAAATTACTTTTTGCCCACCCTGTATTTAAGCCTATTTGTTCTACACAGATTTTGTCTGCACTATTTGTTCTGTTGATTGGTCATAGCCATTATTTTGTTGGCCGCCCTTGGGCACAATGGACGTCAGCACAACTTGATTGGATACATCCATGTCTTCAATTTTTGCACTGATTCTCGCTGGGATTAGTCTATGCAAGCAGACACTGGTAGCAGCGACACCTATAGTAAATAAAGCAACTAAAATAGCCATTAACGTGAACATTTGGGTCTGCCAGTCTAGTACATGAAACATTATAGATACGCCAATCATCACAGCATATCCGAATAGAAATCCAAATATCAAACCGACTTGTTGTCCGGCCGAAGGGGCCTTAGTGGTAGGACCTCCGTTGATCTTTTTGTCAATTAATTGGAAAAGGGCGACGAATCCCCAGATTACGAAGAAGAAGATATATATTATGCCTGGTATTCTAATAATTTCCTGTAATCTTGTAAATGGCCGTCCTTGTCTGTCTAGAATCTGACTGTAACTACCGATCGTAGCCGCGAAGTAGAGTACAACGGGGGCCAAACGGAACCATCCTGATATTTTTGACCAGAATGGAAAAATGTATATCCAAGTAAAGCAAAGAGTAAAGAGGAAGCCAAACAGGAACATTGGCCAAAGTAGAGTCCCATTGAGTACGTTCGGGTCTCCAGTTTGAAGAGCTACTAGCAACGCATGAATAGTGACCCATGCTTCGAGGATGAATCGCCACCATTTGTTTTGATGAAATTTAGTGTGCATGAGACTGCCTTGCAATACTAATAACCAGGTGTGGACGAAACCAAATGCGTGACCGATGGTGTTCTCCATAGGATGGTACCAGAAGGTGTATATGGCAGCCCATGATATGGCATAACCATGGTATTTTCGCATTAGTCTTACAGCTTCCAATGGTGCTGTTCGTATTTTCTTGGCCACTTTGTCATGATCGTTCGGCCCTGGCCATCCTAACCAAAGTCCACGTTCGCTGTATTCTAAAAATATGACAAAGCACAAAGCCATGATGACAGATCCTTGGGAACTTGCAATTGAAACATCTTGCGCTGTGGCATCATATGTAGTGTGTGTATTAATTAAATGTAGTATATGAAAGAATGCGTTCAATCCGAACGCTGCCCAATTGTATTTGTCCATAAAAGGCGTGTACTTCTTTTCGCCGAAAGGCCTAGAGGCCTTTGCCACCTGCGCCCTATAGGTCACAAACCATATGGAAAGCTGGTGACCAGCGTAACCGATCCACATAAAGGCCCTACTAGCAGCTGTCACCTTGGCAGGGTCCAGTTTCCAATAATACCAGAGACCGGTTCTATCAGCTCCTGACCGCCATTTCACACCCGGCTCTTCGAGATATGGCTCCGGGAGGAAACGGTCTAGCGATGTTGCACTAGTATTATGAGTGTGTCCTGCAGCAGCGTCCCATCCCCTTGCTTCTCCTAGAAATGAAATAACATATTGATGAGCAATAGCTATCGACAATAGACGAGCTTCATTTGTAAGTGCGTTGATAACTTATTTATCAAGTCTGACCACGGTCCCCTGCTAGTTTTGGCTATAGGGCGATATAGTTTATCTAAAGAGGGCAGGTCAATCAATCTGGTTGATAGGATTATACTGCTGCTGCCATCTTTATATCGGCCAAAAATCTGATTTCATTTTTGTTCGGACAAGGAACAATTATTCTACGGCCGTATTTAATATTTCGAACATGAATTGAACAGTCACTCACCGATTCCCATCATAGCTCCCATGAGGGCAAGGATGAACAGTATACCACCGAACCAAGCCCAAATATCGTGCCTTCTGTACCAGACGATCTCTTCAAACCCTCCATCACCAGTGCTTGCAGGCTGAAATAGAGATCATGTCATTGTAGTCCCGATTTGGGATCTTGTCTGTACTATAGCTACCAAGCCGATATATTCTATGTAGAGTAGTATACAGATCGGCCAAAATAAGGGAATCTGTGAGAATTAGATGCGATCTTTCGGATTTCAAGTATTTTGACTGTTCTTTTCTAACTTTTTGTTTGTATTAAAAGTTACGAAATATATTTTTTGTTTCGTAAGCATCAAAACAGCAGTGGACAATGGAAAGCGATTATGCGATTGACTGTACGATATATTTTAGCTAAAAATGCGATATTTAGTTTAGGTTTAAATCGACAAAAAACAAAACCAATGCATATGCTCATAGAAGAAGGAGGTGAACTTTCCAGTATACACCATAAACCTGCAGCTACCAAACCCGTTACCAAACAGCATATTCCTAATGTTTATCGATCATCTACTGTCTACATACCTCCGGAAGCCCATTTACTACACGCAGTAATGGTTAAAAGTTCTGCGTCCATTTCAAAAAATTGGAATTGATATTAAATTGGAAATTATAACTCGGAAAGGGTTTATAATATAACAACTGTACTTTTGTTGCGATTCTGTCTTCTCCAACATTTATAGAATTTGGCATGGCTCCTCGTCAAATAGTCGAATCATTTAAGATTTTCATTAAATTAATCGAATGACAGTGTTAATAAAGTAAACATCTAAACTCGATAAACGTTTATCAACTGCAAGCACTAAAATGCACGATCTTTGTGCGATGTTGTTTCAATTGTGTTTATGCTACGGGAAAGCTGTCATCACCTGGTACCTCGACTTAATTTGATTTTATATCGTTTGAGAGCCGGGGACTCCGGACTAAAAATCATTCGTTACATTTAAGAATCGGGCTCATTTTTTCATTTTTTGTTCACTTACTTCAATTTCAAAATTATCTTCCCCCGATTGAACGATCGGGTCTTCCAATTTCTTTTTCTCCTCCATCATATATAAAGCAGCTAGAATCAGCTACCAGCTATGATTTTCTGTAGTTTGTCACTGGAGTTTTGCCCATGTATTTGCCACTTTTATATCTGAAACATAAATAACAAATGAAGGTTGAATAACACACTGCGATGCCGTGTTCTAAACAAACAGACGTAACAACTCGATGTTTTATCATAACAGTAAAACCTGCGAACAAGGAACGCTCTCTAAATTGGCCAAAACAGTTCCTTGTAGATGTACAGGTGTTCCAACAAAGGTTTCAAGTTTTGATAAACTCTCAAACAAAAAGCTGAAAAGGCATTTAATTCTATTAGATGATGAGTTACTGATGTGATATGTCCAGAGATGTGGCTTATATCCAATATACATCAACCTCTTTTCATAGCTGTTATAATCTGCAAGTTTGGATCGTTCAAATTCCTCAAAAAACTTGGCTCAAGATGACATAAATACAAATCTCCAAAAACAGTTGTGTCAGTCCCTAGATGAGCACAACTAATTCAGATGTAATCAAGCTTTGTTGACAGTTTTGCATCGCGTCATGGTAATTAATAACAAACAGATTAAAACATCATATTTGTTATGTTCATAGAAATAAGCTAACACAACCATTTTGATAATATTGTGTTTTAATGAGCACAACTATGCAGATGGCTACAGATGTAATCAAGCTTTGTTGACAGTTTTGCATCGCGTCATGGTGATAATAACAAACAGATTAAAATATCATTTGCGAAATCAGTAGTATAGGCCTAATTAATATTGGGTGAAATGTCGAATTTTTCCATGATATATCAATTTTCTGGTACATGTTTAACAATTGTTTAACAAATGTCTGTTCGATTATTTGTTTTGTGAACGTGTTCGGATGACGATAGATTGATACAGGGTACATTAAGGTCTATAGTCTGTACCTCTCAGTTTGTCGTTCCTGTCATGAGATAGCAGTTTTCAATTATCAGTTATTGCAATCCAATAATCCAGGACTCTATATTGATTTAGTAAGATATGAAATGTCAGATATTGTGAAATAAGTAGACATTCTTCATGAGGTCAAGAGAAAATTAATTTTAAGGCTTTGATCATCAGACCTTGGGTGGCGATGACCCCCCCCCCCTCCCCCTTGGCAAATCCTGGCAACGAGCCTGGGTGCAGTAGGATAAGTTGTATCATACATGAGTATAAGTCATGAACATTTTATTCTTAAATGCCAATAAAAATGATTAAATCTAAAATATTTGATATAGCATGTATAACGAAATGTGATTGCCGACATAACAACACCCCTTATTGAACCAACCGCACTGAACTGTATGAACTTTGTGCCCTTGTTAAATGACCAAGGGAAAAGTAGATTTAACGTAGTTTAAGCTCAATATAGAAGATCGACCTTAACAGCTTAAGACTTTCCCTTAGCCTGTGTTTAACAAAGAATGCAAATTACATTATTTAAAACAAAAATGCATATCAGAGTCTGGAAATTAAAGCACTTTTAAATCTTTTGGAAAATTCTTATTTTAATACTGTTACGAACACCTTTATCAAAGTGGCAGTCTCTGACAAACACAATTTTGAATTTCCGAATACTAGTAGTGTATATACTTTTTTCAAATATGAAACTACTTTCTGTTGTTGCAATTGGCTCTGACTATGTCATGCCGATGATGGTGTCTGTATCATGTTAGGTTCAAGATGTATTAAATGGTCAGTCTCTTGCAGTATATCATGGTACCATGGAAAAGTAAAACATTCATGCCGACGCTTTTGCGATTCGTAACAATATATGTGCTAAAATGAATATATGAAAAATGCATACTAACTACTAACCTGTTTTCTTGGGCAGAAATCTTAATATCCACTGAAATAAAATGTACTTTAGTTGAGCGTCCGTGCATTGTTGTATTCAAGTTCACGAAGACCCGTGTTCCAACATGTGAGAGAAACTCTTATCAGGAGCAATATTTGTTGTAACTCTTGTGAATCAATAAATTATCCACTTATATCAATTGATGTTTGAATAATACTACAGTACAGACTTAATGGTGATTCCCCTGTGTTTAGGACTGGGAACAGGATGCACTTATTGCTATTTAAACGATACAGGCAGTACGCGAGTTCAGGGTCAATACCCATAAACAAATCAAATCCTTTATTGACGTGATTGTGGTGACACCCTCTGGCGGACCCAGGAGCCAACTTTTTAGAACTTTTAAGGCCCAGTTTAGACAATTTAGCCTATAAAGGCTAATATAAGTAATACCCAAAAAGCCAACTAATTGAGGCCCTACTAACTTTTTGGGCCCAATTTTTTTCCACCAGTGACACCGACTTTGGACCTATATAGCAAGCCATATATCATTTGTTCCATGATGATGATTTAGTAAGATGATAGTTGTGGAACTCATTGGAGGATTCATGGCTTTTTCGATTATTTTAGTTTTTCTTCTTAGCAATGCGCTGCCCACCCAACTACAAACTGAGGCAACCCGTAAACGAAGACTGCAGTCACGGTTGTTGTACACACTGGTTCATTCGAATGTAACGTCGTTGGCCCATTAAAATAATTCATTTAGTTGTCTTGCTTAAGCCCTCATGATTTCCACCCCACTTCGCACCTCCCCACAAGGGCGTTGAAGGTAAGGACAAGGAGGGATCCACTCATAGAGGAAGACTACTTGAAATCTATGTTCATCACACTTAGGACATGTTAAATTAATTGACATGACTGGTACGTGACACCATATAGAAAATTTTCGTTTGCCGGACCTATGCCAGTCTTGTCCATTCAAAACCGAGTTTTAAATTAAAACTAGAAAACAGCAACTCCACGGAGTAGCAAATCCCAACGAACACTATATAAAAATCATGTACATTCACAATGTAATATAGAATTGTCTGAGGCACAAATCAGAAAAACAATACCATAATTGTGACCTGCTCTGAAATTCCTTCAATTTGAGTATAATTTAGCCATACTTTTAAGAGATTAGAAAATAATTGCGAAATCTTACATTAGTCGGCCATTTTGAATTTTACGATGCCCGAAACAGAAAAACGATACAATATTTGCAATCTACTCTAAATTGAAAGTTCATTTGAGTATAATAAAGCTATACTTCAAAAACATCTCAAAATTAACGCAAATTCCCGTTGTTCATGGTCGCTGGGGGTCAGGGTGAAATAGATGTTGTGAATATACTGCTAAAATTTCCAATAATAATGTTTATTATTTTTGTTCAAAATGAAAAACATAAATTTTTGCGAAAAATTCCATTTTTAAAATTGCGTGAAACTATTCACCAATATACAGCTTTCTCCCAAATATGAAAACTGTCAACTAGTATTCGAGTTATCTTCCGGACAGACGGACGGACTGACTGACGGAGTGCTTCAATATATCCCTACTGAACTTCGTTCGTTGGGATAATAAACACTTGGTTCTTACTGCTTCAAATATGAAATACAACTCTCATGAGCAGCCCAATAAGTACGTTATATCATTGAACTGTAGCGTCTATGTTTGATGGATGAAGGGGAGAAGAAATTATAAATATTCCCAAAGGCCCACTGTGCTTAATTTAGAAGAGGAAAATATAACCATTGAAATATGTAACTCACTCAAATATGACAAAAAGCTTAATTTGCTTTATATTGCACAAAGAAAAAATAACTAACTAGAAAAAAGCATTTGGAGATCAGATATCCTTAAAGTCCAGGCCAATTTTTGACAAAAAGCATGTTGTAAATTACTCTTGTTTTTTAAAAGATGTCGACACTTCTATGAAAATAAATGAATCTTGTAATACAAACAACCTCGCCATCTTTCATTGACATTGATAAAAACATGATATTATATAAAGTTTGACAGATTGAAAATATTTTTTGATGATTAATTATAAGCTTTGATGTGGCCCGTTTGAGCTGTTTTTCATGTCAAATGAAAGTTAGAGTACAGTACTTATCAAAACATTGGAATCAATCCATGATGGTAGCGTTTTTATATCTTCGAGAAACTGACGCATTTTTGTCACAATTATTTTATTGTGAGGCAATACTCAACGTTTTACACATTTTCATACAGTAACATTCATTTTATTGTGAAGAGACACACATGTATCCTCCATTTTACATACAATGAGAAAATGTAAGTGCTCTTACATGTAGACTTACATTTTACAAATAATTCAGGTTAATCTGTTGTTGAGAGGTGATAACATTATCCAATCTCCATACATGTGTCCATATTTCTACATACTTTCTATTTTTGAAACATACTCTAAAGGAATATGACTACAGGTAAAGTCCTTCAGGAGTTCCTTCATTTTTACGATATAACACATTATCCTTTGCTTCTTTGAAATCTTTATTCCTAACTTTCATACGTCTCTCTCTAAGAGCTAGTAGTCCAGCCTCTGTACATACAGCCTGAAATACATACAGATACCGGTTATTCATTGCTACAATTTGCCAGATTAAAATGTGACCCATATAAATTATAAAATAACGAGTTACTGGAGTTGTATTTTACCTTAATATCAGCTCCCGAGAGTTCATCCTTGGCCATGATATAATCTTCCAGGTCCACATCTTGTGCCAGAGTCATACGATTTGTGTGAATATTAAAGATACGTCGCTTTGTTTTCTCATCAGGAAGAGGGAATTCTATTTTTCTGTCAATACGACCAGGTCGAATCAGTGCAGGGTCAAGAGTCTCAATTCTGTTAGTGGCCATTATAACCTAGAATGAAGATACATGCCTAAGTTGAACTTTGTCTATTATATATAGTGTATATGATAGTGGAACTTTACACAAGCAAATATGATAGATTGGTAAATAAAAACACTGTGGTATATTATAGTTAAACTTTTCTCAAGCAAACAAGATGGGCTGAGAAGTGGAAACTGTTTATTGCACATAAAATGTGAAACTTGGTGTAAACACATTGGTTGAATACTTGGATTGTAGAAAACAGCAAAAACCATGGTCAAAACGTTACTTATAATACATGATATGATTAAAACTTTGATATACATAATGTATTATGCTTGTAGCATACATAATGTTCAAAATTTCTCCATCACACAATGACAGTTACTTACTTTTACATCTCCTTTGGAGTCAAATCCATCTAGTTGGTTGAGGAGCTCTAACATGGTACGCTGGATCTCTCTTTCTCCACCAGAGTTTGATTCGTATCTGAAACAATATAATAACAAGGCATTAATATGCAAAATGTCACCACATGCCATTTGTTACAGATGCTAATGGCTAATTGCGGACAGTGAACACTGTCCAGTGTCTACAAAAAAGTAAGAGTGAGGTCATTTGGTACTTCTTGTGGTGATGACATAATCAGAACTATTTTAGAGTCTAATTCAATGTACTCATTTAATAAATAAACCATTGTTCAACAAATCACAACGCACGTGGTTGCCATTTTGAATTCAGCAGCTATCTTGAAAATATCTTCTTGAGTAGAGGATCTGTTGCTGAGGCATCAACATATTTTTTAACGAAAAATAGAGAAAATCCATCAGCTGGTATTTGCACTATCGCATGGACAGACATACACAGAGACAGGTGCAATAGGCTGAATCTAACAACAATACCTCTTGACATTAATTGAGCTTCAACATAGGAAAACCGGTCTCATCATAGAAATTAAAATTGTGCTTCAGAGGCAAAAATGTGCTTAAGATTAAGAGGAAAATGTGCTAAATTGAAATCCAACTTTTTGGTCTATATCTGCAAGGAAAAATTGTAAAGGCATAAGCTATGGGTCATTTGAAAGGCCTCTTTGTGCTTTTTAAGATAAACAAAGAATCACAATATTGAAAAAATCTGTGATAACTTGTATTTTGTTAAATGTGGTATTCTAAAAAACAGATTTCTCTAGAATTTGCCAATTGAAAGAGCTGGTAAAAACGGTGTAAATTACCAGTATGACACCCGTCCCCAAAATGCTTATTAGCATTAGATTGGGATTAGATCAGACAAAGTTGACCTGAATCTAGCTTTACTGGAATGTTTAAATCATATCTCTAGGTTTAATGACTAAAAATAAGTAAAAACCTTTTTGTTCCAACAGCGTCTATTTCATCTATGAACACAATAGAGGGCGCATGCTCCTCTGCTACGCGAAATAGCTCACGGACAAGTTTTGGTCCATCACCCTGGAAACAAAAACAACAAACATTGTTCGATAACAATCAATTTAGCCCAAAAGCATGTCCATATTTAAATGATTCAAAGACAATATCAGATATTACTAATTTTCAGTTCATATCAGCATTGTAATGCGTATATAATTCAAAAGTTCAAATGGTATATTCCATATAAATATTTTATACCCAAAATGCAATTCATGAGAATGGGATTAAAATACACTGGGTTGTGAACAACACAAAACTGCACACAGAACATATATTCAACAAGTATTGAGGTTTGACTCAAGCGATATTATAATAAACAAAAGTGAAAGTAACTGATTCATACAAATGGGGCTTGTGTGAGGGCACCATATTAACATAAAATATGACAGATTTCAGATATGTAGAGTAGCTGCGGTGCCATACTCACCAGATATTTTTGTATAAGTTCAGAGCCTACAACTCTCAGGAAAGTGGCAGATGTTTGGTTGGCAACAGCTTTAGCTAACAATGTCTTGCCTGAAATCACAGTAGACGCATTATTAAATGATCTTTTGAAACCCATATTTTAGAAAATACAGTAAGACTTGTGTAACCTAAAATAAGTAACCTGAAATAGCGAGCATACATTTTTCAAGGTTTCTTCAACAAGGGACACAATGGGAGATTATAAAACTAGAACTAAAAAAAATTCATATTAAGGTGTTTAGTACCCTGCACGCAGAGTCTAGTTAAACTACACTCTGCCTAGTAGAGACCATATTACAGTTTAGTAGCCCCGCCCCCACGACGGGTACCGGTGACAGTTTGGGTAATAAATCACTTCTGACCTACGCGCTGACCTTTCTTCCACAAATCAGCGAGCTTGAAGAAACATATGCCAAATGCGTGCTAATTAAATATGCGCATGTCATTGGTCAATTCCGGGCTCAACGATGACGTCAGAAGGAATGACCATATATAGAACCTCGGTCAAATTTGGCCGACGAACACTTATTGGCGCGGTGAGTTCACAGGTTTATTTTAGTTTGAAAGAGTGAAGACAAAGCTCTCTTTTAAGAAGTGAAGTCAAACGAATGCAAAGGGTAGGTGTTTAGATGAACATTGCAGACTTATGAAACAGAGAATCATTCTGCAATTTCCGTTTCTAGAATGAGTACAAAAATGGCAAATAGATGACAGTAGCTTATTATGATGAACTAAAGAGTCAGGGCAATGCATATAAAAAGCCAATTGCTTCTTTATTAATCAATTATTTTCAATTGGAATAGATGTAATATTCCATAGATTCCATAGTTATTCCACACGTGGTTATACCTAATGATTATGACGGAGAAAATAATCACAAGATTTTGTTACCTGTCCCTGGTGGCCCATGTAGGATGACACCTTTAGGTGGCTTGATCCCCATCTCCTCATAGTACTCAGGATGGGTGAGAGGGAGCTCTACAGACTCCTGAAGAATAACAAGTTCAATTTTCAATTAGAAATCAGAACAGAGCAAAACTAGAATATACAATAGTGCAACATCTGGTTCTTGATGATAGATACTTTGTGTGTTACTTCTTAACTTCAAAGCAATATCTTACCTTTATTTCTTGAATCTGAGTATCTAACCCTCCAATGTCTGCGTATGTTTCTTGAGGTGCCTTTTCCAGTTTCATGACAGTGACCATTGGATCTGTATCATCTGCTAAAACACCTACTACAGCGTGCACCTACAATGACATCAATGAGTGTCTCTGTGAGGGACTGAACAAATGATAACAGAGATCTCTCACCAGGATTTCAAACTGTTCCCTTGGTGGATACATATGGGAAGCCATGTAGTATAGTAGGAACAAGGGGTTCCCATGCACCCATAAGGTGTGAATAAGTTACATACATTTTTGTAATCCCTAGGGTGTCTATTTAATGAATTCATTTGTTAACATTGCCAACTAATGTCCCATAGTACTTTTATGGCGGCATTCAGTTACCATGGTTACGCATCTTTAGACATCTTACCTTGGTATCTTAAATCATTTGTAGCTCTGTCATTATTTGGTCTATAGAAATGATATTGGTACCAAATTGAACCTCGTTAAATTTCCAATAAATTTCCGATATTCAATTATGCAAATTATCTAATTTGCATAAATTATGATGTCATCAATCTATTTTTGGTTCAGAATTTCCAACTATAGCAATGTATCTATTAGAACTGAGGCCGTATGGCAAAATTTCTAAAAGGTTTTGTCCTTTATTCTATTAGTAGAAGGTATAAGCAACATAAAAGTGAAAACAGATTCAAAATTGAATCAGTATTACGAAAGTTATGTAACTTTCGAGGCAGCTATCGTGAATGTCATTATTTGACAATAATATACATTACGTCTTACCTTGGAGTCTTGAATCAATGTAGCTTCGCCATTATTTGGTCTATAGAGATGATATTGGTATCTGATTAAACCTTATTAAATTTACTATATGGTTACAATATTCAGTTATGCAAATTAGCTTATTTGCATTAATGGTGACGTCATCAATCCATTTTTAGTTCAGAATATCCTAGTATAGCAACATATCTATTAGAACTGAGGTCGTATGACAGAATGTGTGCATAGTTTTGTCCCTTATTTGATGAGTGGAAGATATAAGCAACATTAAAGAGACAACAAATCTTCAAAATTGGATCAGAATTAACAAAATTATCCAGCTTTGGAGGCAGCTACTGTGAACGTCATTGTTTGACAATTATATAAAGAATATTAAATTAACAAAAAAAGTAACAACCATAGTTGTTTCAATTTTATTGAGTAAAAATGTGCATGTATTGAACTGAACTAATAAGTATGTGGAAAGGTTACATGTATTTTGACTATCATTCACAGGGGTCAAAACGATTATCCCAACCCTGTATATTAAAGATCCAATTCTATAATTTACCATGCACTTTCAATGATTCATATAAATAGTATACATATAGTCTGATTTTCATCATATTCTTCATATTCTTGATTCTTAAAGCATCTGAAGTATAAAGCATGATTAGAAGTGAAGATGATTCATCATATGGTTTATGTAATATTTCTAACATTTCAGATGCTATGGTAACATCACTTGATAATGAGGTTTTTACATTTCACGTTCTTAATGAGTTAAAAGAAAGTTATTCTCTTTGCTTTAGAGAAAAATACTCACATGAATTTGTTTAAAAAAATTATAACTTAATTTTGGTGAAACCTGGCAAAATACATTAATTATTATGTTCCAGAAGCCCCCAGAAGCTATATGATGGCCCCCAGTGGCCCCAAGAATCTATACAGGGGCCCAAAGTGCGCCCCAGAAGGTATACGATGGCCCCCAGAAGCTATACAAGAGCCCACAGAAACTATACTGTGGTCTCCAGAAGCTATATGGTGGCCCCCAGTGGCCCTCAGAAGCTATATGATGGCCCCCAGAAGCTAATTAGTGGCCCCCAGGAGCTATACGGTGGCACCCAGAAGCTATACAGGGAACCCCAGTGGCCGCAAGAAGCTATACGATGGCCCCCAGAAGCTATACAGCAGCCCCAAGAAGCTACACGATGGCCCCAAGAATCTATATGATGGCCCCCAATGGCTCCCAGAAGCTATACAGGGCCCCAAGTAGCCCGTAGAAGCTATACGGTGGCCCCCAAAGCTATATGGTGGCCCATTGGGGGACACTGTATAGCTTCTGGAGGCCATTGTATAGCTTATGGGGGCTACCGTATAGTTTCTGCGGGCCCTTGCATAGCTTCTGGGGGCTATCGTATAGCTTCTGGGAGCCACTGTGGGCCCCTGTATAGCTTCTGGGGGCTACAGTACAGTTTCTGCAGGCCCTTGCATAGCTTCTGGGGGCTATCGTATAGCTTCTGGGAGCCACTGTGGGCCCCTGTATAGCTTCTGGGGGCCACTATATAGCTTTGGGGGCCACTATATAGCTTTCGGGGCCACTGGGGGCCACCGTATAGCTTCTGGGGGCCACCGTATAGCTTCTAGGGGCTACTGGGGGGCCCTTTATAGTTTCTGGGAGATATTGGGGGCCACCATATAGATTCTGGGGGCCATTTTGTAGCTTCTGGGAACCACCATATAGCTCCTGAGGGTCACTATTTAGCTTCTGGGGGCCATCATATAGCCTATGAGGGCCACTGGGGGCCACCGTATAGCTTCTAGGGGCTACTGGGGGCCCTTCACATCTTCTGGGAGCCATTGGGAGCCACCATATAGATTCTGGGGGCCATCATGTAGCTTTTTGGGGCTCCTGTATAGCTTCTGGGGGCCATTGTTTAGCTTCTTGGGGCCACTGGGGTCCCCTGTATAGCTTCTGGGAGCCACCGTATAGCTCCTGGAGGCAACTAATTAGCTTCTGGAGGCCATCATATAGCTTCAGAGGGCCACTGGGGGCCACCATATAGCTTCTGGAGACCGTAGTATAGTTTCTGGGGGCCCTTGTATAGCTTCTGGGGGCCATAGTATAGCTTCTGGGGGCCATAGTATAGCTTCTTGGGGCCCCCGTATAGCTTCTTGGGGCCCCCGTATAGCTTCTGGGGGCCCCCGTATAGCTTCTGGGCGCCACCCTATAGCTCCTGGGGGCCACAGGGTTTCCTGTATAGCTTCTGGGAGCCACAGTATAGCTCCTGGGGGCCACTAATTAGCTTCTGGGGGCCAACATATAGCTTCTGGGGAGCACAGTATAGCTTCTGGGGGCCACTTGGTGCCCCTGTATAAATTCTTGGGGCCACTGGGGGCCATCATATAGCTTCTGGGGGCTTCTGAAACCTAACAATTAATGTATTTTGCCAGGTTTCACCAAAATCTTCAAATATGGGGGCTGTCAGGGGGGGGGGGGTTAAATTAATTAAGTTATAATTTTTCTAAACAAATTCATGCGACTATTTATCTCTAAAGCAAAGGGAGAATAACTTCCTTTTAACTCATTATGAATGTGAAATGTAAAAACCTCATTATCAAGTGATGTTACCATAGCATCTGAAATGTTAGAAATATTACATAAACCATATGATGAATCATCTTCACTTCTAATCATGCTATATACTTCAGATGCTTTAAGAATCAAGAATATGAAGAATATGATGAAAATCAGACTATATGTATACTATTTATATGAATCATTGAAAGTGCATGGTAAATTATAAGATTGGATCTTTAATATACAGGGTCGAGATAACCGTTTTGACCCCTGTGAATGATAGTCAAAATGCATGTAACCTTTCCACATACTTATTAGTTCAGTTCTAGACATGTACATTTTTACTCAATAAGATTGAAACAACTATGGTTGTTACTTTTTTTGTTAATTTAATATTCTTTATATAATTGTCAAACAATGACGTTCACAGTAGCTGCCTCCAAAGCTGGATAATTTTGTTAATTCTGATCCAATTTTGAAGATTTGTTGTCTCTTTAATGTTGCTTATATCTTCCACTCATCAAATAAGGGACAAAACTATGCACACATTCTGTCATACGGCCTCAGTTCTAATAGATATGTTGCTATACTAGGATATTCTGAACTAAAAATGGATTGATGACGTCACAATTAATGCAAATTAGCTAATTTGCATAACTGAATATTGTAACCATATAGTAAATTTAGTAAGGTTTAATCAGATACCAATATCATCTCTATAGACCAAATAATGGCGAAGCTACATTGATTCAAGACTCCAAGGTAAGACGTAATGTATATTATTGTCAAATAATGACATTCACGATAGCTGCCTCGAAAGTTACATAACTTTCGTAATACTGATTCAATTTTGAATCTGTTTTCACTTTTATGTTGCTTATACCTTCTACTAATAGAATAAAGGACAAAACCTTTCAGAAATTTTGCCATACGGCCTCAGTTCTAATAGATTCGTTGCTATAGTTGGAAATTCTGAACCAAAAATAGATTGATGACATCATAATTTATGCAAATTAGATAATTTGCATAATTGAATATCAGAACTTTATTGGAAATTTAACGAGGTTTAATTTGGTACCAATATCATTTCTATAGACCAAATAATGACAGAGCTACAAATGATTTAAGATACCAAGGTAAGATGTCTAAAGATGCGTAACCATGGTAACTGAATGCCGCCATAAAAGTACTATGGGACATTAGTTGGCAATGTTAACAAATGAATTCATTAAATAGACACCCTAGGAATTACAAAAATGTATGTAACTTATTCACACCTTATGGGTGCATGGGAACCCCTTGTTCCTACTATACTAATGGAGCATTCCAATCTATTTCTTCCAAGTCCATGCAATACATAACAGTGACATAATAAAAGCATATTATTGGAAAAAAAATCATGACTGTCTGTAGCATCTAGATGGCACAAAATTCAGAGAGGTATAAAATATCCACATGATTTTTCTCAACATAAGTTACATTTGAAGTTAATATATTTTATGTATTTTCATTGTATGTATTAATATTGTTTACATAGAGAGCCAGTCCTTTCAATAATTTTTTAGCTATCCTGTATTTTTACTGACATATATTCACTTACCTTGTGATTAAGCAATACTGAACAACCAGGTTCCAGGCTATCTTTGTCAACAAATGAAAGAATATTGACATAATGTTCACTTCCAACGGAGGTTGATACAATCGCATGGTTATCATCGATTATCTCCTCAAGGCTTCCAACTGACATGGGTGTACCACGTAGTTCATCAACTCGAGATCTTTCTTCCTAAGAAAAAATTGTTATTTTTCATGAAAAACAGGCAACAACTTGGCTGTCATATAATAATGATAAGATAAATAACACTTTTAATATCTCATACATACCTGTTGATAATTATCGATATACATGTTTTCTTTCCAATTCTATGACATATATTTATGAACCTCTCAGAATATATTTTACTGTAACATATTTATTTTTTTTATTCTGTGAAACTTTGTTTTCTTATTCTATATGTATTGTACATACCTCTTGTTTTTCTTCTTGTGGCTTCAGTCTCTCCTGATTTTTTATAAACTCCTCTTCCATCAAGAGGTAGTCCTTTATCCTTTCAAGCTTCAGTAGTTTCAGCCTACATCTAGTGTGTGGTGTGACTGCAATATAATGATATATTTTTTCCTATAAACTTTCAAAGTATCTAATTGATTTCATAACATGGAATGTAATCATTGAATTTGGTACCTAAATGGAGTCATTTACATGAACAACTTTGTTCGTAGAATTCAAGTATGTACACGATAGGCAGCACCTAGAGACGAAGGTCTAATGAATGTAATCACACAGATTGTAGGGATCTTCCATTGAGATTTGGTAACATTGAATACAGCATTATTGTACCAAATTTTATGGCACAAGGCCAAAAATTGACAAGGACATTGAAGGTCTTTTGGGTAATGTTTTTTTTGGGCCACCCTATATATTTTAGATCATCTGATCAGAATGTGAAACATAGTGGTCAGAGAGAAAATGCACATTAGGTCTATTCATTCAAATTCATTATTGTTTATACTTCCCTCGAAAAACTATGGGAGTTCTGGGACATGCTGTTAAATGTTGACATACCTAAGGGTAACTTGTTAGCCGCATCTGGTCCCTTGATCTTTTTCTTCTTCTTACCAACTCTGGTTGGAACGGGTGGTTCATACTTTCTCTTCTTCTCCTTGTCATCTTTTTTATCACCGCCAGCACCACCTCCCTGACCAGACTGTTGCTGACCCTATAACATCCAATAGGAAATTCCATGCTTCATTATTTTAATTTTGTGTGCCTGTCTTGAGGAAAATGAAAAACAAAAAATGACAATGAATAAAGAGCTACCTATGCTCTAACTGCTCTAAAATTTGAAATATAATGAAACACTCGGAAAGTTCACTGAATAGAATCCTGAATTTTTCAGTAAATGTGCCCAATTTATTGCTTTAAATGATAGGAGCTTTGACAATTGACCTTTTGCGACCAGAATTCTGTTTTTTTTGTATATGGATACTGTTGTCATGTATTTTGTCTTATGGGTGTGATGTCATATAAAAAATTATATTAGACATGATGGAGAGACCGTAAATGGCGGACACATGGCAGTTTTGAGCCGAAAAGATTTTTACCAGGAATGCCGATTTGACTAAATCATGAGTATATCTTTATATGTGTGAAGTTTTGGTGAAATTCTTACTAAACTTCAATGCCTATAAGCGCCCACCCATTTTTTCAAATTCGGGGGCGCTTACCGCTATCTAAATCATGTCAGTAAGATCTTAGTCTTTGCATATGGTGAGAATGAATGTTGATCTAGTCAAATCAAACACTTTTGTGGAAAATATAGAATGTCTTTTTTATACTGATAGTACTAAAGAATGAGTGATGGCATTCATGAATGTTTAGGCCTACTACTGCAGCTTCTGGAGGGTAAGTGACAATCTCATTCTTTGGCTAGATTTCTCTAGTCTGAGCTAGGGCTGTGCCGGAACCGGTTCGGACGGTTCGGAATCGGAACCGGAACTTGGTCTCACGGAATCGGAACTTTCGGAACCCCTTTTGGTTCACAAATGAAAATAATTATGTATGAGTGAGTTCGACGGCGATCATGACGATATCGTCGTCCAAGTTTGTCAGGTTAACACTTACCTTTCCTGTCAAGCAAGTTTGAATGTTTTTACGAAAGAAATAGACTCTAAAATCTGTAAAAAGAGAGAAAATTCGATCTTTTTTCTACTTGTTTTCACTTCCGGCTGCTCTGACCATAATGCGCATGCGTAATTGAATTTATTTTGTTTATGCGAGTAATACACATGCAAATTGGATGTAGTTTGAAGGAAAACATCACTGGAGGAACAATGGTCACGGATATTAACGATTCAAAGCAAGTACTAAGGTAAGGGTCCGATATTGTTCCGAAACCCTTCGGAACATGATATTAAAATTCCGAATTCCGGTATTTTAACAAAAGTCCGCGGTTCGGACCGATTCCGGTCGAATGGCACGGCCCTAGTCTGAGCAATAAATAAATGAGTAGACGTCAATCTAAAACTAATTTTTCATGACTGAAAACTCTCACATCTCATCTCACAAATACATAGACAATCTATTCTCAAGTGAGTGACTCGTGAATCAGCAGAAAATCACAAAAAATAGTAAAAAGATTCAAAGCACTGGTTTTTACACTAATTCAAAATAAAATGGAGTCAACATTGAGACATGTGAACAAATAATACTTAGTCGATGTGATAACTTTCAAATAAGATTGAGCGAACCATCAAATACATCAAAATAATACGAAAGATAAAAGAATTTACAAACCATTTCTTCTCTTCAGGTTTAGCCGGTATTTAATGCGCATGCGCATTTTTCATAAATGATCGTTCAGTGCAATTGTTCATTCTCCCTTCAAATTCCCGGGACAATATTAATCATCTAAAAATAATTTTATCTTGGACTCCAGTGGCGGATCCAAAAATTAACAAGGGGGAGAGGGGCAAATTTTGAGTCGGGAAAAAATTTCGGGCCCCTAAAACCAAAAATTGGGCCCAAATTTTGGAAAATTAAGGCCCATTTTTGGATAATTATGCACAAAAAGGCCCATTTTGTTAAGGCCCTACACAATTTTGGGCCCAAAATTTCTGGGGGGGGGGCTGTATCCGCCACTGGACTCAACAATAACTGTTATTCAGGGGCGTAGCCAGCAATTGAGGGGAGGTTGCATCACTGCAAACGTACCGAGTCCCAAAAACTGGGGTTCATCCAGGGATCCACAGAAACCGGCCAAACCATTGTAGAAGGGGATCAACATAGGCTCAAAAAATAATCTGGTGCATTCTAAGCATTTCAAACTATAATTTTTTAATGTTTTCCAAAAAAATTATGTTTTCAAAAAAGTTTTAAATTTTTTTGTGAGGGTTTTTACCCTTTGCATTCGTTTGACTTCACTTCTTAAAAGAGAGCTTCGTCTTCACTCTTTCAAACTAAAATAAACCTGTGAACTCACCGCGCCAATCAGTGTTCGTCGGCCAAAATTGACCGACGTCCTATATATGGTCATTCCTTCTGACGTCATCGTTGAGCCCGGAATTGACCAATGACATGCGCATATTTAATCAGAACGCATCTTAGCGTTGTTTCTTCAAGCTCGCTGACTGGTGGAAGAAAGGTCAGCGCGTAGGTCAAAAGTTATTTATTACACAAACTGTCACCGGTACCCGTCGTGGGGGCGGGGCTACTAAACTGTGATATGGTCTCTACTAGGCAGAGTGTAGTTTAACTAGACTCTGCACGCAGGGTAGAGGGTTTTGGGCGTGCGATTATTCTTTGAGACACCTGTTATCCTATACACCGACGCGGACCTTGCCTGGGCCACACACTAAGTTACCACGAGAACTTTTAAAATTATTTATGAATGTTTGGATGTCAAATTTCGCAGCATCATTAAATGTATTTAATGACAACATTTGGGCGTACGGATAATTTGAAAATTATTTATTTATCTGATTGAAATTAATTCATAGGTCAGGGAGTTGGACCGTGGTCATTGTAAATCGTTACGAAGTACAGAAGGCTCATAAGTTTTACGAGTTTCTCCTATATATTCCCTTTCGCTGTTGCTTGTATTTCAGAATAAAAGTTATTCATTGACATATTTCGGTATTATTACTAAATATATATTTGTTAAATTAAGATTTTTGAAGACAATATACTGTTTCAGTGATAAAACTATCATGAAAGTAAGACATAAAACATAATTGGAATCCAATTGACAGGTTGCCCGCTCCATGCTGACATAATTCTCTAAACGTCTCTGGTACTAAAGATTTAATCAGCATATCCATCATTCTTAAGATTTTTGATCTCTCTGTGAGTGTTGAATATTTTTCAAAGGTTTTGGAGTAATGTTTCGGTGTATTGAGTTTCAGAGAATTGTGTTTTGAAGTATTGGGGTTCGGAGTCCCCTGACCACACTTGTCAATAGGGGGGGGGGGGGGGTAACCCAGAATTCACCTATGCATATCCTCCTCTTGGACTCGTCATCACACATGACTCTCATTTAAAAATCACAAACATGTTATGTAATTATGCTGTATGGATAAAATATATTTCACAAATACATAGTACAATAAATCGAAAACAATATAGTCTAGTTGAAAGCCCATGGATATAGTAACATGTACCCTTATTTCCGATATGGCTGAACGGTAACACCACCAATACATATGTATATCGTATTTAGCTATCCAGATCTCTGACCATGAACGAAGCTACGCATGAGGCAGTCGAGGCCACTGCCTTGTCAAAAAATTTAAAGAAAAAAATTCTTAGAAATCTGGTTCATGAATGAAAACATAAAATGAAGACTGATAGCATGATGCACCATGCGATTGTAGACAATTAACTATACTGTACAGGAAGACTTGTATCATGGGCGAGGCGCATGATGCAGTAGGTGAAGCAACTGCCTCGCCATCATTTTACAAGAAAACATATTTTCAGGCACTTTCAACTAAAACCTTTGTGAAGTCAACATGCGTGGTAATACTAGTATACCTCCTTATATTACATGTATGCCTACATCTGCCTATTAATGTTTCCTCGCCTAATTTCAGGATCCGTCCGTTTTGTATTTCTCTACCACATATTACCTTGTACATTGTGGTCTGTCCTGTCACGTATTTACATCCGCTATCTATGCTGTACAATTATGTAGGCATTTTACGATGTGACCTATAGCTGTACGGTGACACAATCATATGACCTAGCTATTTGGTATAATCATGCAGATGCAACTTTCATGTGCTGGATGTGTGTATTATCATGAAGTCACATTATTTTGTAGAATCATGTAGAAATTACAACTTCTGACTGCACTATTGTTCAATCATGCATCTACATCACGACATTGTACTCTTTTTCAAACAATTAATCAGAAAGACACGAAGATTCTACTCCTTTGTGAGATTGTAGATAGTTGACAACTTCTGAATGTTTGAATCTCTTGGCATCATCCAATGGTGTAAATCCCCATCTGAAAATAGAACATTTTACTTTAATCATCCGGATGTATAAGTTGAGATTGACAAGGTATGCTAAACACAGGGGTGGATTTTCGGATAAAGTGGGAGATCACTATTCGACATCCAGGCACATTTGTGCATCCTCCGAGCGCAGGGCTCTAGACCGTGCATCATCCACTATGTTCCTTCCTTCTTCAAGAAGGACGAGGTACGAGTTTGTGAGACGTGTGTTCGGAGGATGCCTTTGTGTGGATCTTTATGAATTGGACTCCCAACTAGAAGAGACGTTCAGGGAGTCAAATGGCGAAGAACGACCAGGGCTAAGGAAGTGCTTTCCACCACTTTTTTTCTAAAAGGACCGAAAAGGTTAAAGGAAGGAAACTCATTCAGGAGTCATACGTGATCAGCAATACAATTGTTCATGTATTTGTGTTTTTTGTATTACTATGTATTTCCATAACTACGTCAATACCTGTCTTTTGGATTCACTGGCACTTTACATTTCTCTATGAGGAACTTAAGTACGGTCATGTGACCTTCTGCCGCCCCAAGATGCATCGCTGTGCGACCGTCATAATCTGACATAGCCATATCACATCCACACAACACAAACCTGAAAGAGTGTGGCTTAGATGATTAATTGTACATCTACAAGAGCAACTCTTTCTTAATTGTACTTAAACTGTACAATATTTATGGATGAAGTCTTTTAGAAATACTGGACGATAACTATGCGGACATTGCGCCTTTACACGTTTTTTGAAATACGAAAGAATGATTACATTTAAAACACCAAAAACATTTGAAATTGAATCTTCAAAAATGTAAGAACAGAGATTTAACAATTGTATTTGAAGTTTTAATATACCACATTCAAACCATTTTAACAATTGTATTTGAAGTTTTAATATATCACATTCAAACCATTTGGACAGGGAGCACAGCTGCAAACCTTGAATGATGTGCCATACGCATTTACATCCAGCTTCATTACATTACCTTCTTAATGCTGTAATATCACCAGTAGCAGCTGCGAATAAAATATTCACCACAGACTCAGCAGAGACGTCTGCCTTTCTGCTTCGCGGATCCATCTTTTTGGTAGTGTGCATCAGATCGTCATAGTTATGGAAACTGAACTTGTTTACTAATTCCTGAAAAATAGAAGTCCATAACCCATAAAAAGCATATATACCTGGTGGGTCATGCCCTATTGAACAAAGATACGTGTATATTCTGTTACAAGTAACAACAATAAAAGGATAAGGGTTTTAACCTCCCATCAGTTGCCACACTAGATCTCTCTTAAAGTAGACATACCTTGCAGAATGTGATTCCTCTGCAACTATTTCCAAGTTCATCCAAGGAGGGCGCCCACGTACAAACACCCATTACATTTGGTACCACAATAAGAATCGCCCCGGCAACACCGGATTTCGCAGGTAAACCACACTGCAAAGTAGAAACCCTAAACATTACAATATGGAGTAGTAGGATCTATGGTACAATCAGATCTCCAATATGGGCATGGATCGTGTACGTGAGAGAATTAAATACTATTAAATGTTTGATGGTGCATATCTGAGTCATGTGAGTAGGCCTACAACAGATTTGGTTAAATATTTCGAATTTGGAATTATTCACATCAAATTTTATACTTTTCCCAAGGATATGAGAATTTTTCCTCCTTCAATCCCGTTTCTAGTCCTTTGTTTGTTTGCAACCTGTTTTTATAGGGTAATTTTACATGACACACTGGAAAAAGGTACCTTAAATGCAAACTGCCCTGAGTAGTCATACATGCCACACGAGTACATTAACGACAATGTATTCCTGACAGCATCTCCAGTTAGTACTTTCTCACCAGTAGTAGGGCAGATACCTCCATTGGCGAGCGTAGCGGCAATCACAGCACCAGTCTCCGCCGTAATCTCAACCGAGCATAGCTGGACCAAAGAGCATAATACGGTCAAAATCATAATGTGAAGTGTTTTATAATTAGTTTAACTGTTCATAGCCATTCTGATACTCATAGCATCTTTCTGTTTCACCCGAAACATGCTCTGATATTATGAGGCATATTCTGTGATCTGAGCACATCAGATGGAAAGAGTTATAACTGTCAATAAGTGTGATGGTTATCATGTAATCATTTACCTAATGTCAATACATTACATAATAGGCATTGTATTTAACAGCAGATATTAGCACAGGTATGTGTACACAAGTTTAATGACCCCAATTAAATGAAATATGAGCTGGGATGAAAGATCTCAAAAATCCTCAATTTTGGGCTCTCCTGGATCGCCAAATCAAGCTCATTATATCATGGCATCTCAGGGCTGAGAAGAAATGAGATGTCATGGTATATCATGATGGTTCATAGCACTAATGTATGATTACAACTACTAGCTAGTGGCACCATCAAAGATAAATGGTGCATCCTATACAAACATCTTTACATAAGATGGAAAATACAAACTTAGAATCATTTATATTTTATAAGGACACATTATATTACACTTACCTGGAAATAAAACTCCAGCGTTTTTACCAGATCTGCATTTTCAGGGAAGCATTTATTTTCTCTCATGTAATAAGCTAAAGAGAAATTCCTATCAGCTGTCTCCTTTTCTGAGAGGTAGCTAAGTAACAAAGGTTAGCATGTATATATAAAATTACTGGATTAAATCCCGGATTAAATCAACTAGAGTATATCAATTTTACATGGCCACGTACAGTATAATTTGTTCTTAACTAAAAATGAATCCACATAAGAATTGCAGGGTCCTATTTTAAAAGATGAAGAGTTAATTACACGAACAGTATCACTGAGAACTTACATTAAATCTAATGACAAAATATGAACTTAACGGGTTTTATAACACTAAGTAGAAAAAATATTAAAACAACCAAAAGCTTCAATATTGGACCCGATATTTCAGGGGTCGGGTGCAATTAACTTACGTTGCGTTGCTGAAGCCGACAAACTCTCCTCCAGCTATACGTTTATATTGACTGTGCACCTAAGAAAAACATTCAAGAGAAAAGTAATTATGTTTAAGTTAGATTTATTCAAATTAATTTATTTTCCGATTTTCTTCATCACCAGTCATGTATTTCATTAACAAGATAATGGCAACATACATTGGCGGTGAGGAATTGGGTTATTCCATTAGTTGGTATTTTGTGGTTTGGATTCAGTCCGGCTACTTGTACATTTCGGTGTTCCATTTTCTTGGTTTGTTTCTTTGGGTATCCCTTTGACTATTGTGCTTACATAATTTAAATGATATGGTTGGCTAAGACTTACATAGTCGAATCTATCAGCTATCCTGAGTGTTGGTTTGAGCAGTGAGGAGGTAATGATTGCGCCCGCATTGATCATTGGGTTGTGTGGTTTATCTGTGGAGAAACAATAACCATGTGAATCATCGAGGGCATTACAGGCCCCGGATATATTGTGTAATGCTCCAATAATATGTGCCAACATATAACTGACAACTTATGACAAAGAAGAAGATGGGTTATATAATAACCGGGATATAACAAGTCAAACACCTCTTTTCCTGATAACTTTTTAAATTCTCAATAATTTTTCATGAAATTTTCACTTGATAAACTTTAAAGCATTCCTAACATATACAGTCTTTGTTTGACTCATCATCAGAATTTTTTATAATTACAGCTTTTCAAAAATGATGGCCCGATATGCTGCTAAGATACTAATTTTGCGTCTTTTGTTTGAAAATGATAAGTGAAATATCTAACTTTTCTTTCAGGAATAGGCGTCGTCTTTATTCCAATCAAAATTTTATTTTCTCCATTTGGATTTTCACCATATGACATAATCAGTTTCATTTGTTACCTTATTCTGCACTGACCTTATCTAATAACTTAAATTAAATATGTCTCATTTGTGATATTTTGTACAACCTTAATTTAGGGATTGCTTCTTGAATTCTGACCTACTACTTTCCAGTGAAAATTTCTTGAAAAATTATTGAGAATTGAAAAGTTATCAGGATAAAGAGGTGTTATAGAATTGTTCTGTCCCGGCTTCTATGATTAAACTAAAAATATATTAGCAGTATAAAGGAATTTGATAGGAAAAGTAGGCCTAAAGAGATGCAATCCTATATAATAACTTCTTACAAATAAATAACAAAATAGCGATTGAATATTTATTTCTGAAATTTTGCCGGTGAGGAAAACAAGTCCCATGCATGGCCATGGCGTCGCAAATATACACATAGCTACTGTTAATTTTTGTTTATATGTAATTAAATTAATTTGAAATAAAAAAATGAATGAAAAACCAAGCAGAGATTTCATTGCAATGGGTACATACTGGAAGAATCGAGACATATTTCATTGAAGCTCCTGCCGCTTGGTTCCTGACCTACATAGCTATGTACTTTCTCTGCTCCCATGTCTGTCAGCGCCAGGGCGTAGTTAAGCGGTTTAGAACATGACTGAATGCAGAAAGGGATAGTTGTGTCCCCTGCAGAATACCTATACAAATAGAAAAGACATGGTACATCAGCGCCGTCATTCCCATAAGGCTTCGCTGCGACTAAAAAGTGAAAATGAATCCTCTTTTTATGTAGTTTCTTTCCTATGAGACATAAACTAGCCTATATGAGCGCCAAGCCAGAGTAAAATAAGGGCGAGGCTACCTTTGTCCATCCACCGTACAGAGTGCCACGCCCCAGTTATCAGGATTAGCTCTAGCAAGCTGAGGGATATAGTCTGCCGGCTGGAACAAAATAGAAGTAGTAAGTCGTAGATAGGGTAAAGAGGGCAGGCATCTGTTTCCTCATACGCATTGCAATTCTGCCGGGATGAACCTCATCAGTCAGTTCAGTAATTATTAAACTACATTTCAAAAGAGACTGGAAATCAGGGTCACAAACTGAAAAGGACGACCAATAGTGGCATTTGTGCAGATTTCATTTCGGTTAGTCTAGCTACAGGCTTTGTGAGTTCCCCCCTCCACTACACACATCCTCACCTTGGTGAGGAGATGTGTAGTCAAGTAGTGGGAGGGGGGTATCACAGGGGCGTGTGGCACGACTACATTTCGGTTAACTTGTTAAATTCCAAACAATCAATAATATTGTATTACTAGAAAGTTGAAAACAAATTAACTTTGCAATTTGAAGTCGATATAATATTTACACAAACGTAGGCCTACCTTTCCTCTCCTGTCGTTCTTACATATTTCATAGATGTCGTGTATCTGCTCGGTGAACTGGATGAAGTCAGGGATGATAAACTGATTCTTAAAGGCTTTGCCTATCAATACGATGTTTTCGTGGATGAAGCTATAACGGAAAAGATATCATTTGTTAAGTTGGCCTTGTTGAAGAACTTTTAATTCGACCTATTTACCTATTTCAGTCTATTTTTTTTATTCTACTCGACCTTCCATAATGTATCGTTTGTGAAATCAAATAATATTGATAAAACACATACAATTCAGATCAATGTTTTACCCAAAAGTTGGATCACAGTGAAACGAGTGTATTGATTAGGGTGGTGATCCATTCATACTTACTCTTTAAATCGTTGTCTATCTAAGACGCTGTCTCCTGATTTTGAAGTATCATATGCCAACTGGTTCCGCATGGTTTGGAAGTGCTGTCTTGTTTCTTTCAGTCTAGGATCAGTTTCTCGTAGACCTGTACAGTCCAATGCCTGGAATCAAATTATGATCGGATATTGTATACATTATACAGGGTGTCCCGAAAGTATGGGGCCCCCGTAGGCAGACATGTAACTTTTTCCCATTTGTAAGTTGAACGATGATACTTGGCAAATCAATGTAACTTTGGATGAGCTTTAAAATGATATATGACACATACTATGGGAACATTGGTGTATGTCTGCCTAGGGGAGGGGGGGGGGTCCCATACTTTCGGGACATCCTGTACATACCTTAAACGGACATCAATAAGACATCAAAAATGGGGTTAAATTCAAGTTCATTGGTGATGTTTGGTTTGGGCCAATTCTATAATGTACACTTGAACTTTAAGTTGAATAAATTGTTTTCCGAAATTCTTGATTCTAAATTTCAACGTATACCGAGTATTATAATAATCTATTAGTTGAGCTCATGAACTGCACGATATACGATATGAGCTGTACGTATAAAAATGTCACTCACCGCCCAGAATTTTGTGATGGGGACATTCTCCTCTGAATCCTTCAATAGATCAAACAAAACGTCATCAATATCAGTTGGCTTCTGAAGATTTGTCAATTTTTCCTCACTGAAAATATACAATAGTACTTTTTATACCTAAATGAATCTGCTTATAAAACTACAAGTAAATTGACAGGCGGTATTCATTTTGCCAATGGTCATTCCAAATGACAGAACCATTCGTCTTCGGAAGATTCTTATTAAATCTCCCGATTAATAAGAAGAAATCACAATAAAGGACACATAAGGGTGCGATCGCGATACAAAAGGTTTCACGTGGATGGGGTTGGGGTGATGGGGCGTTGTAAGCAGACATCGCTAGACAGGCATTTAATTTGAATTCATATATAGAAATATATTTCCATTCCAACCAACATGTATCAGACACTATAATGTGCATTCTATAATTTACAACAGATTAATGTTAATTCTATATTTAGTAAAAATTACCCGTTTCCAACAATTGCACTCGGATCACAAAACTAACAATCCGTTTTAAGATTAACAAGATGTTATAAAATATTTATCTTATTTATTTTTGTCAGCCTGCCAGGGACCCATCGCATGTACTTTACGTATAAAGATTTGACCTTTGAGCTGACCTAAATTTGACCTTGACTTGCTATGAACTCAAGTGTTCCAGGCCAGGTGTTCACCCCTTATGCTGTAATCTTGCAACATTGATTCAGGCACCAAAAAGGTAATTAGGAATACCTGAACAAGTGCAGTAAATCTTTTGCAGGGAACTCCTCCCTCTTTAATAAAACTCCATCGTGCAATCTAGACATACTGACTATACGAGCTTTAGTCCTCGAGTGTTATAGTCATTCAAAACCGGATTAGTCAATCGAGTATATCTTCCGTATAATCCGTTTATCATTTGCGGATGTTCAGATGTAGATCCTTCGTGAATTTATTTTATTTTCCGATCGATATATCCACCACAATGTCCAGTTGTTCTTTTATCCTCTTCTAAAAAAACGATATTCATGTATGTTGGAGCAAGTTACACAAGCATAGACGTTGCAAGGTAAGAGCCGGCTGATTACAAAAGAGATGAAGCCTAGACGACCGTGAACAAATCGCATTGGTGAGAAAGAACGAGAACACATTGACCTCAATTAAGTCTAGTTCATGGTTACGGAAAGTTACCCTTTGCATTCGTTCAACTTCACTTCTTAAAAGAGAGCATCGTCTGGTAGTTTAACTAGACTCTGCGCGCAGGGTAGCGGAAAGTACCGTTCAACGATTTATCAAAAAAAGAACTAGGAAAATGGCTAGTTCACATGATGTTGGTTGTGATACTAATATACTACCTGCATGCATGTCCTTCCTCTCTTATACAACTCCATCATGCAATCAAGATATACTGACTATACGAGCTTTAGTTATGGAAAATTTGAGCAAAGTTCACGTGCGCAAAACTAAATCATTTTATTACAAAATAATTTTGGAGATATCACCGTGAATATAGCCTGGAGGATATAGATCAAACAAAATGCGTATTAAAAGAAGTTTACTAACATTAGGGAGAGTCAAGGCACTTAAAAGTATCACAAATCACAATTTATGAATATTTTTTTACATTTATAAAATTGGGAGCTGTCAGACACTTCAAACATGATTGTAAAATCACAATTTTACGGGTAATTTTTTTTATCAAAATATAACCGTTCCATCATACCAATACAGCTTTTTATGCCATCCCGGTCGGTTATCGCAAGGTGTGAATACCAAGGAAATTATGAGCGAAGCGAAGAAATTTACAAACAAGATAGGATTGACTTTGTCTACCCCTGTCAGTACAATGAGTGATTCTTCATTTTCCTGTTGTTTGACCTTTATAACTTTCTTCAACAAAGCAGTTTCGTCTGCCGAATAGCCTAATCACTTGAACTTGAACGTCAGTTTGCTTGTGTTCAGCTCACGCTATATGAACGTGCTCTGCAGTGGCATAACCATGATTTTGATAGCAGGTACGCGAGGCCAAAGGCTGAGCAAAACTTGGGGTTCCGGGGACGGCCCTCGGAATATTTTTGATTTGTAGACCTTGAATGGTGCGTTCTGAGCGATATCAGACTGTGTAATGGGGGTACTACATCATTTAGGGTACGCAACTGCCTACATGTATGCCTGGTTACGCGTTTGCTTTGTTCAACTACACCTGCAGACTGTTTATATTACTCATCTGCGTACCCAGGGACCATCTGAGTGTAGTAAGTGAATAATACGACATCTATTGATAAAGGGAAAGTTTTATTTTATTTTTCAAGAATGCTTCGAAAGATTGGCTAGGCTTGGAGTTAGCCGGGGAGTTAGCAACAAAGTAGGATATCTTGGATCAAAATGGAGGAAGGACGAAGGGGCACACTCACTATATTTTCTATCGAGGCAAATATTTGTCAATGAGGCAGAAAATCACCGACTAAGCCAAATAAATGTATCGTCGGCGAGGCAAAGATTTTGACCCTTGCGAAACGTGAACAGAAAGTCTTGCATGGCGTACAGTGCATGAACACCCCATACATACGGTGCTTGCAGAAAACGTTCGGTGCGGATGCGATACGAGTATCATGCGAACGCGGTTCTCGCGGTGCCGATTTAACCGTCATTCTTGAATTTGATTCCATGATATTTTCTAAACCATTTTGGTAGATGATACCCAATAAAACGGTGTACTATATGGTGATAAAGTAAGATTTGTTACTAGATTCTAGCATACTGTCCCTGTACATTGTCTATCTCTGATATCATAACTCTGCACTGCAACCTCTCAAGGCAAAATGTACATAATTTGAGGCAAATTAAAAAGATGACGAGGCAAAACCTGTCGGACACCCCTTGGCTACGGCCATGATTAAAACCTTTGAAAACAAGGAGATGGGAAAGTCCCACTTTATCAAGTATGCTTGCGAGGGATATAACAGGCGATGGCTTCCACGATGCTTCGCTATTGGCTATTTCGAGCCCGGCCTCCAAGAAAATAAGAACTTGAAAAATTCGAGCCTCCTGATGAAACAGGCATCCGAGATGCAGAACCCTCTTTATCTCTCTATCCTCCCTGATTGACAAGGCCTCAGTTGTTATAGACACCTTCAAAGTCGAAGATTGATCTATGCACATTGTATCATTGTATTCTAATCCATACCGATCAGCTTACCTCCCGATTTCAGCAATTATATTTTCAGTGGCCAGTCCCTCGGCCTTCACCTCTTGTTTATTAGTTGCCATTGTGGGATTGGCCAGTTAGTTCACACCTCCACCAGAGTTAGTTTGGTCTGCGGAACAACAGTAAATCCTCCAGTGTAGGACACTAGTCCTCCAAATTAATTTCCTTCAAATGTTTGCTTTAATATTGAAGCAAAGAACTACATTGATCGAACGAATGTTCGCTTACAAATATTGCCTTGAGATAAGGGGAGATATTTTTTAACCTTACTTGTTTGCGTTAGTGAAAATGATAGTACAGACATATGGCTTAGTAAAGGTATTTATAAACGAGCTTACTACAGCTGGCAGTGAGAGAGAACTAGATCATAAATAACTAAAGTTCAGAGAAAAATGATTTATTTATTTTAGTTCTGTTTACTTGGAATGTTTGGGCTAAAAGCGACATATTTTCCTTCGAGTTGAATCTAATGTGTACATAAGAGTTCATACATAACACAGTACTACCATAGTATTATCACTATCATTGCTAAATAATTTTTGTCTTGGGCATGTAGCATATGTAACTGAGAGGGTACACTTGAAATATGCAGTTAGCATGATCCGATCGGATAATCTGCTAATCGATAAAAGTGATATTCCGCACGTAAACGAGGCATTTATCGATGATGGGCAGCATATCTGCAACAGCCAAGTTGTTTCAGTTGCTCCTTAACCTCATTTTATTTTATTACCACTTTGAGAGCCGAATATGAGGTTCATATGTAATTACTTATTATCCAGATCTACCTTGAAACGGGCCCTATGAGAGCATATTTGGCATGTGTAATTACTTATCTGGGTCAAGAAGGCTCGTGCCAGTTTAGTTTCTAATCATCCTCCTTAGCAGGTATCCAGAATAAAAAATAGAATATGTTCTCTAATCTGGATTTTGAAGCCCTGTGATCGGAGGATGGTTTCTAATCCAACTCGTCATTTTCGCAATTCAGCCTTGATTTCCCATGCCAGAATCTGGTTTCAAAACATTCTTGCTTATAAATAGGGCTTTGGAATTCATAAGTTTCTAGAACGAGAGGGAAACTTAGAGTGTTTGAGTAACGTTTTTTATGTTGCCATTTCTGCTTTTCATCAACCTGACGAGTAAACAATTGCAAAAAGAAGCATGTTAAAAAATTCGAAATTCCATACTCACTATTAGATACTGATTCATATATTTCAATCAGATTAATATCACGAGGAAAAGCAGTTATGATGTATTTTAAAATCGAGCGAATTTGCCATGTAGCCAATTATTCCTTCTACACTGCCTACCTAATCTTAAATTGCTCATAAATCACAAACAGATCAATAAATGAATAGAGAGTCATTAACCTAGATAACGGTTAACATATTGCTGAACTAATACAGGGTGAGCCGAAAATGCTAGCCCAAACAATTCATAATAACTCAGTCATTGTGTTTTAAGTCATATTTAGCACGATTGAACCTTGTTCAATGATCTTTCATTCTTAAAAGTTTCATTAGTCTATGTCCAATTGTTACGATTTTATGGCCATTTTACAAAACATGCTCCAAATGCTAAAACATATCGAAATCACTCAATATGAAACCCTGGAATTTTATCTTTGGGCTATCTTTATCCAAGAATGTTACATTGATTAACAACCCTGGGGAGCTGCTGATACAAGTAACCATCGTAAAATCTTGAAACTTGAGTGATTGAAAGAACATTGGACAAGGTTCAGTTGTGTCAAATATGACTTCAAACCCAAACTGGATAACTGAGTCATTAAGATTCGATTCGGTTACCTTTTTTGGCTGACCCTGTACAATGTCAATATTAGTTCGGTAATAAACAACGTGGAAACTATATTACTTTTGTAGAATGAATAAAGTACATTTCTCCATCCTAAGCCTTATCTTTCACCAAGCCCTTGTTAATGCGCTGTCATACCTCCTGAAATATCCCATGTATACGATCTGGACCGGGATATATCATAGTCGGGAAGAGGAAGAGGCTTGATGCGAAACCATAGAGGGTGTCCATTAAGTCTCTTTTCAAGATTTGGAGACTATTTTATTTATAAATGCGTTTACGAACGAATGGACCATGGGGATTGAAGGCAACCTTAATGATAAATCATAATATCTCAATTCTTCTAGCCTTGAGATGTTTCTAGTGAAACAGCAGAACGATGCTATGAGTATCAGAATGAAGGCTTACTGTTTCGAGATTTCCTTGTGAAGGGACGACAAGCGTCTCCGCTCCGCTGCCTTTGATGATGTCATTGGTAGAGCTGCTCCTGTCGATGCTTCAGGCGCAGATGTCGCCATAGCTTAATAGAACGAAACTATGTGCGAGCTTACTAGCAGTGTCACTATTGCAAAACCATACGATGTTGACGCTGTAAGTGCACTGCGGGAGAATTTCAACCGTGGCAATGTCAGGTCAAAACAAGTAGCTAATCCATAAGATGATTAGATGCAACATAAGGCTTCTGAACTATTTATATTCTCTACATATGTCTATAATTTCACTCCACACACGTGGACCATTGGTTGTTTCAGTAAAAACAAAACTGCAAGATGCATCTACCCCTTCAAAAAGTTTATTTTGCTTCTTTAAAAGAGAACATTGTCTAACTCTTCAGTGTGTTTATTACTGATTATTCAGGGTAGCCATCGTTGTGATGCCCTGAGGTGAACTTAGGTTAATGCAAACAACAGAAGTGCCCTGCATTCGCAAATCACAAATCCTAAATCCAATCCAAATAATAGTGTAGTCTTTCTTACAGTTGTCTCCTAGTTTGTCACTGTAAATGTTCCTTCAAATTAAAGAATCTTGGATGACAGCTAGTAGGAGAACGAACATGTTCAATTTTCAGATATGCTCGGTTGTAAATCGCGTTGTGATAACTGTTTCATTCCTATCATACTCCGACTGCTGCAGATATATTTACATTCTATCTTGGCCGTTCATTCACTGGTAGTATTGATTGTGTGTTGGTAGCATGCATATTCATCGGCCTTCATTGTGTTTACATCACGTGATTATGCTCGCAGAATTGATTTTTTCAGATCTACGTTTTGAACCCGCGATAGCAGGATATACATGTAGCAGGGGCGGATCCACGAGCCAATATTGGGAGTGGGGGCATATTCCAAGTATGGAAAAAAATTCGGGCCCCTAAAACAAAAAAGTAGGCACGAATTTTGAAAGCATATGACAATATGATATTTACCGAGGGCCTTTGATAAACATATATACTGATTTATCCTATGCCAAGTAGAGTTTTAGGGAGATAAGTAATAAGTAAATAAAATCCTCAAAAGTGATATTCGATGGTTTAGATTTTCTAAAAAAAGTTTTTCAAGATTTTCTTTTAAAAAAATTTCAAAATCTTTTTCCTTCAAACTGTTTTTTTTCAAAAATTTTTTTCGAAATCTTTTTAAAAAAAAATTTAACATTTTTTTCGCTGGGTTAAGATTTCCCATGGGATAATCGGACAATCCTATGGTTTTCAAAAATATCAATTATATCCACTCATGGATATCAATATCTTCACTCATTTGCTGCGCTCACTCGTAAAGATATCAATATCCACTCATGGATATAAATGATATTTTTCCATATTTTTCCTATAGTATTTTTTAGTGTCATAAATAGTATAAAATTGTTATATTTCAATGTCATAAAGTTAAGTCGTATTTTGTAGCCTAAATGTTTACGGTCTAAAACCTTGGTGTTCGACAATCAAAAAATCCATTTATTCTCTCATTTATAGTCTGGTTTTCATACAAAAATCAGGTAATACGAATTTTGAACTAAATGATACCACTCCCCTCCATAAGTTTGGCAACCTTTTTCCCCCATTGAACTACGTGTTAAAGCCTCTTTACGTTTGAATTTTTATTTACTTAACCGGCGATGAAATAACATATAATATTGATGGAAACGTAACTTGACTTTATTTCCAATCCCTCCAAATTTTCTCAATTTTTTCCTCAATTACAATAGATCGAAAATTGAAGATAAATTTGATGAATTTTTGAAAATCGTCATTCCCATGTAATCCAATGGGAAATGAAGGGTTCGGGGCAAATCAGAAATCAGGATATCTTTTCAGTATAAGATTCAGCAAAAAATATTTTTATATAGAAAATTGAATTGTCTAGCTTTTTTGAACACTAAGTGTTTAGTTTATTTGATGAATATTAAAGTTACAGAGCTTCAAAGTCATTTTTGAAAATAATTTTTCACCTCCGGTGTTATTTCAATGGGAAAGGTTTTTGGAAAAAACAATTTTGACTTTAAAGCCCTATAACTTTGTCGAACCTGAAGAAACATATCAATTTTTTGTTAAATAAAGTTAGCAAATCCAATTGCCTGCCTAACTCGTATTTTTGCAAGGACTCAGATGGATGGATATTCTGTCATATGACTTGCGGCAAACCTACCATTTCCCATTGGTTAACATGGGAATGTCGATTTTCAAAAATTCATCAAATTTATCATCAATTTTCGACCTATTGTAATTGAGGAAAATAATTGAGAAAATTTGGAGGTATTGGAATTACAGTCAAATTACGTTTCCATCAATAGTATAAGTATTTTCATCGCAGGTTAAGAAAATAAAAATTCAAAGGTAAAGAGGCTTTAACACGTAGTTCAATAGGGGAAAAAAGGTTGCCAAACTTATGGATGGGAGTATGATGTTGAAGGTTAAGAAAATCATGGGACGAAAAGCTTGTTTACCGGTTCGTTGGTATAAAGGTAATCTGCATAATCGAAATTTTGCTGCATTCCTCTATTCATTGAGTCATGTGTTATTTTTCAAGAGAATCATTCCTTCCCTACATTGTCTACATATACATCTTTCCGTTTACCACAGAGTGCACCAATGAACCAAGAAAAGACTGGTGAGACTTGTTAATGTAAATGTATAAAAAATGTGAAAATTCTGTGACAACTGACAGGTGGTCACTAAATCTCCTTTGAAGAAAAGAAAAACAAAAGATGCTTCCGCATCGTAGGTTCCACCGGGTTTCGAACCCGGGACCTTCTGCGTGTTAGGCAGACGTGATAACCACTACACTATGGAACCTAGATATCACAAAAGAAATTTTATAACTTTTATAATATTCTGATTGGTTTTCGACAAATTATAATTTAGAAGGTATTATCGGGAGGTTTTCTGTTATATTTGAACTATTTTTACCCACACTGAATTTGTTCTATCTGTCAATATTGTCTTACAGACAGTCACAATAAAGCAAAATTTACCAATAGATGGCGATGCATATCTGCATTCTCCAGACAGGTGCACGTTACTTAGCTTAGTTTGGGGATTTAACCGGCAAAGTTGCCGCGTGGACCAATCAGATCACGACACCGTTCACATGTACACGTTGTAGCCATTTTTCTCACAAACTTTTCACTTTGCTCAAAAAACTCAAGGAAAATGCAAAAATTCATCGTATTTGCGGCTCTTGTCGCCGTGACATTCGCCAGTGATGTTATAGATTTAACTGATAGTAACTTTGATTCGGTTGTTAATGGTGAAGACATCATTCTCGTTGAGTTTTTCGCACCTTGGTAAGTTGTGTTTTTATTTTTCTGTTCACCTGCCTACAATTTTTTTTATAAAGACTTAAATCTTAGCTTCTCTACCTGGAGAGTAAGGTTAGGTCTAGGTTGTGGGGTTGATCTTTCAAATCACCCCCACAACTACTTGTGTATTGAAATCTCTTAGTTATTGGATTGGTGGTTATTTAGACAAAATTCAGCTTTGTGTCAAATACTGACAACATTTTCAACCACAAGATTTCAATACACAAGAGCAGAGAGTTGTGGGGGTGATTTGAAAGATCAACCCCACATTTATGGGTGTAGAGACTTGAGTCTGAAAGTGAGGTTTTTAAAATTTATAATCAATTGGAGAAAGTGGGACAAATATCTATGAAGCGGGACTGTTCTTTATACTAAAGGGGGTTGTGATACTTCTCAAAGATTTTTTGGTTCAGAATATCAGATGCTAGGCTTATTGAGGTCCACAACTTTCAAGTAAGTTGTAAGTTGTGGACCTCGATAAGTGCAGGCTAAATCTCGAGACAAATTATTTAATCTTCAAGCTAGGCCAAGGAGGATTGGAAACCATTATTCAAACTCGATACTCCGTTGCCTTGCAAGTTGCGTAGACCAATTTGGTAACAATATTAACTCATTCATTGAAGATTAGAACTGCAGAGGAAGCTTGAATATTACCATAATATTTGAAATGCACATCTTCTTATGAAATTCTTGGTCTTTAAAAGAACCTAATAGAAATAGTTTTATTAAATTGTTCCACTGCAGGCAATGGAGTATCTAGTTTGAATAATGCCTGCCAATCCTCCTTGGCCTAGCTAGAAGATTAAAATAATTTGCTCTGATAGAGTATATATGAATGGCCGTTGGTCTAGTGGTAGAAAACGGAGATGAGTGACTCACAATATTTCTGTCTTGGCGAGATTTCGTCTGCATGGTGATATTTCAGAGATGTAACGAACCACTGTTGGAGCCAAAAGTTTGCTGCGTTTAGATTTTTATATGTCTCTGCACCATGGAAAAAAAGTCATAAAAATGGGAATATTTCAGATCTTAACCATGAAATATCTTTACTTTTAGGTGTGGTCACTGCAAGAGGCTAGCCCCAGAGTATGAGACTGCAGCCACTGCCTTGAAGAAGAATGACCCCCCAGTAGCCCTTGCTAAGGTTAGCTAAATCAGTCTGGAATTAGAAATACTGTATCTCAAAATTGTTCAAGAGTCTAAATTAACTAGCAGTCTCTTCTCATGCTTTGATTACCAATGTGAACTTTGTAAATCAGTGAAGTGAAGCAATGTGAATCAAATTAGACAATAAAAGAATCAATAGTCTTATAAATAGTATTTTTATTTGCTAAATATTTAACTGAGATATTTGTTGTTTAATGTTGAAAATCAATTAGATATAGCTATATGTTAACATGCAGTTCAAAAATGATGTTACCCTGGGATAAGTTAGTTTCAGCTAACATGTGCCTGTAATGGGGAGTAAGGGAAACTGTCAAAAAGTCTAGTTAGAGAAAAGACTAGCCAGTAGCCACTATAATTCAGTTACAATATTGAAGCCATATGATCATTTTGGTATAAACTGTTTATTACTTACATGTACTTGCGGTGTCAGTTTAGTTTTTATTTTACAAACTGAATTGGTAATTAAGAAATGTCTAAATTGTATATATAGATGTACCTAGGTTATTTTAAGTATCAAAATAAATTAATGAAATATAACTCTATATAACTTATTTGAAAAACTTACATGCAAAAAAGAAATACCAAACAATTTTTAGATTGATTGTGTCGGTGATGGTAAAGACAAATGTCAACAATATGGTGTTAGCGGGTACCCTACACTAAAAATCTTCAAAAATGGAGAAGTTAGCGCTCCTTATGAGGGGCCTAGAGAGAGTGGTAAGACATTTAATGGATGGACAATTTTGTGTGAAAGAGTATATTTTTCCCAGTTTCTTTATTGAGATTTTGTGCATAAATATGCATGTATGCACAAAGCTCAAATAAAGCATAAATTGTGAAAACTATGCTTTTGCTTTTTATTTTATGTGATAATTTAAATTGTGCAATCTAGATCACTGAACACAGTTTGTATTGTTTGGCTGCTGTTAAGGAATAAATGTAGAATTTTGGTTTTGAGGGGGAGGGGTTGTTGCATAGCCATAAAATAAAGTATTCTTTGTGGTTTACTGAGAAGGTGCAGTAGTATTTGATCTGGATTGTACAAAATATTGCTTCAGGTGAGGGAGGTTTGCATCGTCATAGCAACCCTTCTAAATCACATTCATAAATTTTTCATTTTTAGGTGGACTGTACAGGGGATGGAAAGGGCACTTGTGACAAACAGGAAATCAATGGATACCCTTCTATAAAATTGTTCAAATCAAAAGGACGAAAGTCTATCAAATATGATGGCCCTATGTCGGCTGGTAAGGTTACACACTGGATGACATGTTTTTCATGTTTTTACTTTGAATATTACTGCTGCAAACAATATGAAATTTTCTGGGATGGAGACTCATCCCAAGGCTACAGAAAGTATGAAACCATGTTGGAATGCACAAGTTGATACATGTAGCAGTGATACTGAAGTCAGAACCTTTACATACATTTACATTTTTAATGTTGTCGAAAGGCCTGATTTCAGTTTCCATAGCAACATCAACTCACATGCACCCCACACTCCTTAGTTTGTTCCATAATCCTAGACATATAGCTTTTGTAGACAGTTTTCATAACCTCAAATAATTTTGGTCAGGTTGATTGTGACGATGAGAATGCGAAAGGAATCTGTGCAAAATATGGCGCGGAGGAAAAAGGGTTTCCACTGATGTATATTTTTCGTGATGGAGAATTTAGTATGGAATACACTGGTAACATTGATAAAGCTGGTAAGATCTCTAGAGATAACAGGGAATGTTTGTGTACTATATCGTCATGGCAGCTAGCGGAGAATGGGTGGCTACTATAGCAACCAGTACTATAGCAGCCAGTTAAATGTTGTTACTTTCAATTTTTAGGAACCTGTTTGAATTCAAAAAGCATGCACATACAAAGTAATATGCAATATGAACTTTTTTCTTCCTGGTTAAAGGTTAACTGTGACAAGTATTTGGATTTGTGTGAGCGAGAAGGTGCAGTTTTGAGACCTGAATTGCTCTATTATGTAAATGGTGAACTTGAAATCTATCATGGAGATTTTACAGCCGGTAAGATTGCTGTGAGCAAACAACAATGTTGTCAAGGCAAAGTGCAGTCAGGATGGATAATTAGATTGACATGTTATTAATGTTGTCATGGAGACAGAAGCCAGTTGTAGATAAGGTGGGATTTGGAACAGGAGCATGAGGAAACTGAATATTTAATATATTCTCCTTTCTCTCTATATAGGTTGATTGCATTGAAGCAGGCAAAGAGAAGTGTTCAGAATTCGGTGTATCTGGGTACCCAACCCTTAAGATTTTCCGTAATGGAGAGCTTGAGGCAGATTATGAAGGCCCAAGAGACTCTGGTAATCTGTTAATATAGCGATGTATCATTGTTGTGTTGTTGTGGCAACTTTCTTTTTTGTTTGACACAGAATCATTGTTGTTGTTTTGTCATGGCAACTTTCTATTTTGACGCAGCATGCTTTGTTTTAGATGTTCTTGAATTTTCACTTTGTGTGATTCCTGTTGTCTGGAAAGCTCTCAGCGATCGGGGGGGGGGGAGATTTTCCAAAGATGACATGTAGTATTCAGCACGTTCGATTACCAATTTTATAAACAGGCCTCATTTGCCATTGAAATGGATCTCACAATGTTCGTTGTTATTTTTTGAGTATTCTCTACAAGTTTGGATCGAGTAACTTCAATAGTATTACCATAGTTTTGAAATGATGATGTTGAAATGATGTTAAACTGAAGTCAAGTGAACAGTAGTCAAGTGGGAGGATTTTTCCTTTAAACCTCAATACCTTCTCTTCTATTAGCAATTGCTCTTACCAGTTAGAGATGTCTGAGGAATTACCAGTTGTGGATATGCCTGGGGAATTACCAGTTCGGGATATGTTTGAGGAATTACCAGTTGTGGACATGTCTGTGGAATTACCAGTTGTGGATACATCTGGGGAATTACCAGTTGTGGACATGTCTATGGAATTACCAGTTGTGGATATGTCTGAGGAATTACCAGTTGTGGATTAAGATTTTTTTTTTTATTATTTGTTTGATTTATTTGATTATTCCAGAAGTAGAAATTCCTTTTATGGAATATGTAACTGAATGTGTAAGTTTAACTGTTCATTTGGTTTTAGTAAGATTGGAATTTATTTGGTTTAATTGCAATACGGTACATTGTACATATAGAACTACTTGTATGTAAATTGTACCATGTTTGAATGTCTCATCTTCAAGATGTTAAAGTTATTTCTGACATCAGGTTGACTGTATTGATGATGGGCCAGAAGTCTGTGAAAGAATTGGCGTCAGTGGATTCCCAACATTAAAAGTTTTCACTAAAGGTGGTCAAAATGAAGAAAAGTATGAGGGACCTAGGACCTCTGGTAAGAACCACCCATGTAATATGAAATGGCAGGCTGGTTATAATTTCATGGTTTATTTTGGTGATTTATTACTTTGGTGTTCTCAATACCCATTGGTTGGTTATTATGAGAATGAAGAATACATCTAATTTATGAAGGGTATGAGCTGGGACATTGAACGCCTGATCCTGAAGGATGAAGTTATGAGGGTTCAAGAGTTTATGTTGGTCATTACTTTGCTTTTTCTGCTCAAAGCTCATGTTAGACATTCCATGCAAAATGACTCTTGGAGATATTGGCAAATGTTTTATCAACCAACTAGCTAATTTTGAGTCCTCCTTAGGCATCTGAAAATTTCAATTCTGGGTGGCTATCCCATGCAATAATCGTCTCTCCAGTGGTTTATAATTTACCATGCATCTCACAGCCACTAGTATCTTTCACAAGTGTTAGATATACAGAGTGGGTAGTGTTAGTTTGTCAAATTTTTACAAGGATGAGAGATGCAGAGAGTGGTACTAAGGTGCTTAGGTTCTTGTGTTCTTTTATTTTAGCTCACTTCAATGCACAGGTATAAACCATCGATGAAGCTTTCATTTCAATAGAGAAAAATGCTTCATTTGGTACCACGTTTTACATATGGTTCATGTTTTAAAGAAAGATTTTATTGTTCAAGTTGTCTTTGTCTGTTTATTTGGTTTAATTTTGTTATATAGTCCCAAATATGATGCTTTAGTTGGAGTTCAATATTTTTGTATTATGTTAATGTATTTATTTTCAGCTTGCAGAAAAGAGGAATTTTGATCTTATGATTGTATAAAATTGCAGTTTGTACACATACACATTTATGCTTGTTTAGAAACATGAAACTAGGCTAAAGTGAATATTTCAACTGTTAACATATCCTACCTGATTTTTTAAATTCATGATGTTAAACAGAATTTAAATTCACTCTAGCCTTACATCCTCTATTTAAATGAAATAGATGCACAGTATAAACATGCAGGCCCGTAGCCAGAATTTTCCAAGGGGGGGTTCGTTTTTCTGAAAAATTCTAGGGGGGTTCACTTTGGCAAATATGGCCAAAAATCACTCAAAAATTAGTCAGAATGGTGAAAAACTGCATGATTTTGGAAGAAATTTTGGCCCGAACCCCCCCTGGCTACGGGCCTGCCATGCTTATTGTGAAAGTTACAGCATATTGCAATACAAAGGATTTGTTCTCATTTAAAAAATCATAAATGTCAAGAAGAGGTTTTAATTGTACAAATTCAATGAATTACTTTTACATTCTAAATGTCAGTCATTGAGCCTTTAATTGATTTTTCTAGAAAATGAGTCAATCCTTTGTAAGGCGATTGATTGTGACCTCAGTATATTAGTAACAGAATCTAAATGCAAATTAAAATATAATTACATTAATTGTGGAAAAATATAAAACTAAAGATAGATAAATCTAACATAGTAGTTTATAAAAAAAATTTGAATAATTGTTGGCAATATTGATATTTTGATATTGTTCTGCATAATGAGTAATTGTTTCATTCCTCCCAAAGCAATGCTTTGAGAATACTTCAAAGGAAGAAACATGTAGATGAGCTCTGATAAGCCCTGCATTTGGAGGATCGTCCTTTAAGACGTCAAAACATCATTCACTGATTTCCATATATTTCAGCTGGAATTATTGGATACATGAGGAAGAAGGCTGGACCAGTAACCAAAGTCCTCAACAGTGTAGAAAATGCCAAGAATTTTGTTACTAAAGATGATGCTGATGATAATGCCGTTGTTGTTGGTATGTGGCATTTAATTCCATGACTAGGGATTGTGGGTTCGCTAGTCTTTAGGACTCACTTGGTCACTCAAACAATTGAAAATACATTATCCCACTCTTAAAATTAGGATTTGATTTATAGATTGATTCGGATGATGGTGTGATATTTCCCCAAAAAGACATAATTTTGCTGGATTCCATCAATATTTTCATAATTACCATCTTTCTAAAATCATGTTACTACTATATATTTGTTATATAGATGTACTAAAGGGGGATGTTGTCTATTATTCTATCCCAAATTAACTACTTACCAGTTATATTTAAGTTGATATGAGACACAGGGCATTCCATTAAAAAAAAGTAATTTATTCAAAACACAAAAATAAGCATTCAGAATCTTAAGCCATTCATATAATACAGTTTAGTTTATTTATTACTAATAAATTATTAATTTCATTACTACTTATTACTTTGTAATATATATATGAAACATAAAAGCAATAGCAATATCAGCTCAATAAAGCAATGTTTGAATATTGCAATGATCATTAACTGAGTGTTTCTATGCTTCAGGTTTCTTCGAGAGTGCAGACAGTGATGGAGCCAAAACCTTCAAAAAACTGGCTGATGCTTTAAGTGAAGACTTTATGTTTGGTGTCTCAACTGACAGCGCTATCAATAAAGAATTTAAACAAAAAGAGTGAGTTAGAAATAAATTTTATGTTTGGACACAAGACTGAATGCTGAAGATTTTGAAATTGATCTGTCATCTGAAGATATGTCTTTTGGCTATTAAACTTGCTAAAGCAACTAGTATATGAAATTTCTTGTACATATAAAATATGTGGATATTGTTAAGAAATGATTCTCAATGGATTTTCTACATAAATTGAATAAAATAAAGATAAAAATGCATTTACCATCATAATCTAATGGCTTCTTTTTATATTTTATTTTTAGCTCTGTTGTCATTTTCCGTCCCAAGCGTCTTCAAAATAAGATGGAGGGAGCCACAGCTGAATTTGATGGCGACGTATCCTCTCTCACTGATCTTAAAACATTTGTCAACAACAACATGTAAGAAAACTATAATATATCAGTAAAGGTTCATCAAGAAATGGAAAGTAAATGTGTGCACATCTACTTTAATAAAGGCCTTTATAATAATTTATTTAATGCATGCATTTCTTGAAAAGCGGCAATGGACAAGATTACCTAAACTAACAGATTCAACTTAAAATTGGTTTCAGTACATTACAGCTTGTACATTGTCAATGTAATATCTATGATTTTGCCAACCACAAAGTTATTCCATCAATAGCAGTAGTCATTGGAGAATGTTGATACTCATGAATTAATAAATATTGCATGTTTTTCCAGCAATGGTTTGGTGGGACATCGTACTCAAGGTAACCAGGAGCAGTTCCAGAAACCCCTCATTGTTGCATACTACGAGGTTGATTATAAGAGAAATACTAAGGGAACAAACTACTGGAGGAACAGGTATGACAATTTTGGATTGCGTTTCAGAGAAACACGCTTGTTTTTAATGTTCATCAATTTTAAGCGAATACAGCCAGATTTAATACAACAAATAAGTTTATAGATTTGTGTCAAAACAGATCAATTTGATAATGTTAGTCAGAAGAAGTATGACTGAGCTGTCTCTTCACTTGTCACATATTTATATTATAACTCAGAATCCTACTCCCTTTAATTGAAATTATAACATATCTTTAATATACATATATTGCATCCTCGCCTTCCAGAGTAATGAAAGTTGGAAAGAAGATCACAGAAGGCGGAGCAAAGGTCTTCTTCGCTGTCTCAAGTGCAACTGAGTTTTCACAAGAGATTGATGAATTCTCTCTCAATTTCGAAAGCAATCCTGTTGTAGGAGCATGGAACACCAAAGGTCAAAAATTCGTCATGACTGATGATTTCAGGTATGATCATGAATCCGATCTTTTCCTAATTGTGGGTGCTTTCCACAATTTTCTGTTTTCCTTTGATTTTATGTTGGTCTGAGGGTTTTCTGCAGATGTCTTTATTCAATTGCAGAAACATTAAATAATTCATGTAATTTTCTTGATTAAAATTACCAATAATTAATGAGATAGCTAGTATTATTTCAGATTTTTATGTAGATATTTATAAAACATTATGAGAGATCAAATAGTCAAAATTACATTTCAATTAAAAGAATTTCAAAAGTTGGAAACTACAGTGTACCTAAACTTTAATTCTCATGAACACAAAAATGGTTTTGAGTTGTGCAACCTGTTTTATGTATAAATAAATCGATATTCTGAGACCTCTAATTCATTTCATGTTTTCTTTGCAGCATGGACACATTTGAAAAGTTTGTAAATGACTTCTTAGACAACAAACTTGAACCACATATGAAATCTGAGGCTATCCCAGATAACTCTGAAAATGCAGTTAAGGTAGGTGAACTTTAAGTTTGGTTATGAAATGGTGTCTGATTATCAACATTTGTGGAAAATGAAACTAAATTAATGCTGAACTACAACTCATCTTTCGAACATGTCCCTTTATCACAATGACCATATTTGCTGAACCAAAACTAAAGGAAAACCAATAATATCCAAGATTTTAATAAAATAGATGAATAGAAACTCCCAATTATAAATATTTGATTCTCTGAAAGGTTTCCAAAATGTATTTTCACTTTCTGTCTCCCTTTTTATTTTTCTGGATCTTGAGAGTCCTGTGCATTCTATGTAATTTTAATCCAAATTATCCAGTAGATCATCTGATTCTTATAATTGCAGTTTATGTGCAGTTTACAATGTTGACTTTCAGGTTGCAGTAGGCAAGAACTTTGCAGACCTTGTAGATGATGAAACAAAGGATGTCCTAATTGAATTTTATGCACCATGGTGTGGACATTGTAAGAGTCTGGAACCAAAATACAATGAGCTAGCTGAAAAGGTACAGTGTAAAATACAATTTGTTGATATTTATCTGAAAATATCTGAATGGGACCAAAATAAAGCCATAAAGGGCAATTAATTTCAAGTCCATTTGATTCTCTAATATCTATATAAAAAGCAACATTACATTCGACAAATCAACATTAAACTCATGTTATAATTGCAAAGGACACATCCATATAAGCAAACAAAAACACCTTTTTCATGATATATGTTTGAGTACATTGTAAATACTAAATAGTATTGATGGGTTCTTATATGTGTCAGTTTATTGGAGGTGCCTGAATCTAAAAATATGAGATGTAAAAATATAAACCTTGGTTTTTTTGGACCCCTATACCTTGTGTTTGTGAGATGTTAGCATATATCCTTGAAAAAACCTTGATTACATTATTTCAATTGTTTGTTGTCTTATTGTAGCTGGCCAAGGAGGAGAGTATTGTAATTGCCAAGATGGATGCCACAGCCAATGATGTACCCCCACAGTATAATGTCAAAGGGTAAGGAATTGTCTTGTACTTGTATGAATTATTTCAATTTTCATTTGATATATTTTATGTAAGACTGAGAGCATTTGCAAGTACGAGTACATTGTCTATTTGTACTTTATATGTGAAAAGGCTATGGTATTAATCGCAGTGATCTACCCACGCAGCACCCACCTGAGATTTTGAAAATAGGCTTGCACCCACCTGAAAATCCATTTGCACCCAGTTGAAAATGAGAAGTCATGAAAAATTGTCCTTGTTATTTCCAGATTCCCAACTATCTACTTTGCTCCCAAAGGAAACAAACAGAACCCAAAACAATACAATGGTGGACGTGAAGTTGATGATTTTGTCAAATATCTTGCAGCGGAAGCAACAGAGGAACTAAGTGGATTTACTAGAAAGGGAAAAGCAAAGAAGGCCGAATTATAAAAAAACTCAAAATTAGATATTTAATTGAAATTCGAACCAATATTAATCTCACTTGTACCATTCCTGAAGTTTTAGAACATTTAAGGACAGAGCAGATGTAGATGTATTGACTGCAATTTTAAATCAACATCTGTGATTTGCAGATGTAGATATAAAGCTGTAGTTTAGTTATAACAGTATATGAGCTATCCATAAATAGCTATTTTATCACCATCCTGAAGTATGGAGATTTTTTCTGTTCCCAGAAACAACCATTTTAATTTACAAAAAAATTTCTGAGAACAAGAAAGTATCATTCATACTTGTATTTAGCATAATCGTAGATATCTTTTCTCAAATATCACAATCGTCTCCAATTTCTTTCATTAAATCAGTTGTTAAAAACATTGATTTGATTTTACTAAATGAAAGTCAATTTGACAAATTGTTGAACAATTGAATATTGCCAAATGTCCAATGGGCCATGTATTATTTTTACTTATAATAATGTAGAAGTAATTCTTTTCATCATATTGTAGTTGTCTGTGTATGTACCTAGTCCGGTCATGGTCATCAGTCATATCATAGGTAAACCAGAATAATGGAAGTCATAACACTCATGCACAACTCATCTGTCAATCATCTTTTTTTATTGTACGCAATTCAGATATCAGATATTGATCAATAAATGCTCATAACCGGTATTCAGACATGGTTTTTCTGTAGCCTGCACGTCAGTATATTGTAATATATAGGACTGCACTTCATTATACAACAGTAACTTAAGTACGTTCATGATCTTTATGTTTTTTCTCATGTAAGAGTTCTTGGTGTTTAGCCCATGGCACTTGTTTGAACATGTTGAATCGTAGATTTCAGTTTCAACAAAAAAGCATATGGGGATTTCTACTAAAAAGATCTTTCAAAACCAGGCCTATAAAAATGAGAACACTGTGGGCCCACTTTTGGTATAGGGATTGACGTTCTCTTTTACAAAGAGCACTTAAGTGAGAAACCATCTGATCTATATGAGGGTAACATAAAAATCAACATCATCAAGTAAAATATTGTTTGAGAGAAAGTGGATCAAACAATGTGGAGTTTGAAAGTTCTATGTGATGTCACACTGTAACCATGGTGTCACATTTCACTTGAAGTTTAATAGTGTCACATAACACTATTATTGTGGTATTACTGATACTTATTCTTAACTAGAGTGTTTTCATAAATAAAGGGAGGATAATTCCTCTTAAAAATATAAACATTGGTTAGTTTGTTTGTTATGTTTATTTACAACTCTGGTGAATAGGTGACCCATTAAAAATGTACAATTTGATGAATATTTCTTTACAATTCTACACATTGAAATCCTTACTAAATATAGCTTGAGCAAAATATATACAATACAATGTACGAGTATGTCCATTCTGGGTAAAATAATTCGAAAAATAGCACATGTTATCTGTGGATTTCTAACAAGAATAGTTATGTTTATCACGTTGACAACAGCGCCAGTTGATGCATTCAAATTAGCTAGAAGTAAATTTTTGAAAGTTGCCACCCGACCCCATAATACCATCATGATAAACCATATGCATGACATCTCATTTCTTCTCAGCCCCGAGATGCCATGACATAATAATGAGCTTGAATTGGTGATCCAGGAGAGCCCAAAATTGAGATCTTTCAGCTCAGCTCATATTTTATCTAATTGGCATCATCAAACTTGTGTACCTGTGCCTGTGTTAATATCTGCTGTTAAACACAATGCCTATTATGTAATGTATTGACATTAAGGTAAATGATTACATGATAACTACACTTATTGACAATTATAACTCTTCCCATCTGATGTGCTCAGATCGCAGAATATGCCTCATAATATCAGAGCATGTTTCAAGTGAAACAAAAAGATGCTATGAGTATCATAATGCCATAATACTACATTCATATGATCGTATATCGTCATAGGTTCTTCGGAATTTACGTCAAATTTGTTCAAAGAATATTTTGCAGAGGAACATTTTCATTCACTTGATCAATCAATATCAATACATAGAGCATGGCTTAGTTCAATAAGAGAAAAGATTTTGGAGAGGGAAACAATAGGGGATAATTATTGCCATCATTTGAAGCCCTGTTACTCCATTGGAAAAGGGCTTGTTGGGTGTCTCAAATTTGGAGTCAAAGTATTCAAAACACCATGCATATTAATCCAATAGAAAGCTGGGGATGGGAAATAATAGTGGGAAGATTTATTTTACTTGGGACTCACAAGGAAAATATGAACAAAGCAATTTCTGAAGAATTATATTTAACTAAGGGGTGTAGGTGTAAAAAGGATCCTATGTGTTCTCGAAATTGTGGGTGCAAGACAAATTTTCCTGATGGGTGTGGTCCTGCATGTCTTTGTCAGGGTAACTGTTTCAATCCTTTAAATATAAATAATATTGATATTAATAATAATACAGATGATGAAGATAATTCCGACTCTGAGTCAGATAGTGATGATAATGATGATGAAGTATGATGTATTTCTGCATTAAATCCATTGTCTGAAATAAGTTCTTAGGTTTTTAAGAGACATACAATCATTTATCTATGATTTTCATAATGATATATATCCATGGATCATTTATCTTATTTTCTTTATATTATCATAGGACATATACAGTAGCTTGAAATCTTTAAATTCTCTCTCTGGAGTGTTTTTAATCCTGAAATATGACAGTATGCATTTTCCAACAATGTGTGTTATTGCCTCTATATTTTCATGGGACATATAGCCTCAGAAATCTCTAATTTCTCCCTCTTGAGTGCTTGAAAGTGACTTTAATATGGCTTAAGGGAACTTTTTGAAATATGACAGTATGCATTTTCCATCAATGTGTGCTATTTGATTATGAATGAACACTTTTCATTATTCTTACTACACTCTTTTACAGTCCCATATGATTCTCGGTGCCTAATGTGCTCTTCATCCATCTTGTTTCTTTATAGGGATATGCATTGCTGACCATATTGTTCACCTGACTGATCAAAACATGCACATAGGTATCACACTTATGACTTGTGCAATACTTCAGTGAAGTAGACTATCTCACTCTAATTGTTAATGAACTCCTACACCGAGTCTTTATCACTATTAATCACTGAAAAATGAGGAATTAAAATCCCGAGTCTCTATCTCTATCTAATTTCAAGCCTCTACCAAACCTGTTATGTTGTTGTGTAAGATGCTAATGTCCTCACATCAACTTGTAGGTTTTGCCATCTTTTTACTTAAATATGTAGGTTTTGTCATCTTATTGCTTAAATATGCCCTCTCATTCATATACTAAACCTATTATGTTGATACTTATGTCCTCACATCAACTGTAGGTTTTTGTATGAAATTATTATCAGCAAAAAACTTATTCTTAGCTCCTACTTATAAATATTTGAAATATTGAAACCTTCCCAGGTGGGTGCTGTACCCATGGTACTTTTTTATCTAAAGATCCTTCTGTGCCTTGACTTTGGCTTGAAATTGATCTGATTCTTGGCTATGCTTTGAAATGGCTCAATCGGCTTATAATTATTCAGTGGCTAGACTTTTACTTGACTCTTGTGTCTTTTCGGAACCCTTTGAGTCTTGACCTTTAAAGTTACTTCTCCAACTCGGATGTGGGTGAGTTCTAACTGAAAACATGTCAATTGCCTTGTGCTATTCTTCAATATTATATTGAGACATATAGTTTGGAATCTCTCTTTTCTAAATATGAATAAGTAAAGGAGCCTTTCAAACCTGAAACAGATAATTTGTAATTTGCAGAAATAATCAAAACTGTATTTACAGTTTATTACATAGCCTTCTTGGCTTGTTTAATGTTCACATTCTGTTAAACTTAGTAATATTAGTTTTATATATGCAAGTTCTATGCACACACACAATACATTGTTTGTTTTTTGTTTTTTATTTATTTATACACATGTATTACATACCTAGCGAAGCATTTGTATGGAAGTCAATGGAGCTGAAGGTCGGCTATATATTCCTGTATAGCCGCCAAACTTTTTTACCATGACAACTTTGTGACGTCATAACATGTAAACAAAGTGATTTCGACTGGAATCGTGTAAAATTTTGGTCTTTTTTCATGTATTTCAACATATTATCTTTATGAAATGTTATGTAAATGTACTTTAGGTATGTAATACAACAATTATGTCCGTATCATTGAATATATGCCTTCGGTCCGTCGTCAATATAACCTTCGCAAGCTCAGGCTATATTGACGCCCGACCTCAGGCATATATTCAATGATAGGGACATAATGGCTAAGTATATATTTTGGTACTAGGTAGCTCTTAGATATATTATTAAATATGTACTCAAAATAATATCCATCCCAGTATCATACCATGTCTTTGTAAATGCTGTTTGAATAATGCAATATTTGTTTTGATTCCAGGTACCAGTAACCTCTACAGATGGGAAGGCTTCCTAGATATATACCCTGCCTGAAGAGAGTTTTCCTAAGATCTCAATACTTGCTCCTGAGTGACTGCAGCGATTTAGACTATCATCGATGGGAAGGCTTCCTGGATATATACCCTGCCTGAAGAGAGTTTTCCTAAGATCTCAATACTTGCTCCTGAGTGACTGCAGCTATTTAGGCTCTCATCTGTTCTAGTTATTGAAGGACTATATATTAAATTCAGCTTCACCTGACGCCTGATATTATTATTTTGGGATATGACTTATTCCATGCAAATATGCTGAAAGTAGTAGGTGTATACAGTGTTAATGTAACTAAAGACTCATAAACTGTTTTTGTGCCTTGTAATAATAATGCCTTGAAATGGGTGAAGTTGGAGAGTTTTAGATTTCATTGAATCTGAATTTATAAACTGAACAATGTGAATTGACTTTGGAAAGAACATGTCTCATGATATAAAATGCATTCTATCTTCTCCAATTCTTTGATCACCTTGGAAAACTGTTATTTTCTGAATGATAGAGTGCTTTTGGTGTTACATT